CTAATAACAGCCTTAACCTAATGAAAGTAGAAACCTTTAATGATAGCTTTAACTTAATATATATATAAATTGCTGCTATCTAGCTACTTAAAATATAATACTATATTTAATATCTTGTATAGAGACTTTTATTAAGACAGAATAACAAAAGATATTATATAGTTTATATATAACTACTACTATTATAGTAGCTATAAGAGCTAATAGCTTTATTAGAGACTACTATAACCTCTTTCTATTGCTAATTAGTATTAAACCTAGATCTCTATTAACTTTATAATAGACCTGCCTACTAAGGAAAAGAGAGACATATAGTACTTTATAGTTATTATAGACTGCCTATCTAAATACGTTTAGCTTAAGGCAATAACTATAATAAGTATAGAAGAATATATAGAACATTTTAAGACCTACTAGTAGTATTTCTATAAGTTCCTATTATAAATTATTATAAATAGAGAATTAAACTAGTTAAGTAAGTTCTAGATAACTCTCTACTGCCTAATTAGTATTAAATAGCTACTCTTAACCTCTTACTACCTCTAGACAGATAGAGGTACAGAATAAGTTAACTAAGAGGTGCAGGCAATTCTCTAAGTAGTTATCTGCTTTAAGCAGGTTAACTAGGCAGATTACCTTATAGCGTGCTAGTTAGCTCTAAACAACTGTAATTTAATAGTTACTAGTATAAGCACAAATAAAGCTATATATAAGTATAACCTAAGCCTAGTTGTTCTTATAAAAATAACTAAGCGTTCTAAGATAATACTATAAGGGCAGGCAGTAGCGTTGCTCTAGCACTTAAAGAAGAGTACTAACCTAGCGCAAGCTGTAATTGCTTACAACTAGCAGTAGCAATAGAAGGCTGCTAATAAATAGTAACGCCTAGCTGAAAGGTTCTAAGTAGAGAATTTAGTATAGTTAAACCTCTGTAATATTAAGATAAATTGCCTTAGTAGAAAACTTAATTAAGTTATAGTAAAGTATATAGTAATTAAAGTGCTATCTTTATTAACAGTAAAATTAGACATTCTATATAGCATACACTTAGTATTCTATATAAACCTTATTAAGCAAGCAGTATTTAACCTACTGCCTAGCTAAGTGCTCTAGGACTTCTGCCTGCTGCTAGTATTAATTAAGGCAGATAAGACTCTCTAAGGCAAAGAAAGCTATAAATATAAAGTAGAGAAAATTCTAGCAGTAAAGAATATACTTAGAAGAAGTAAAAAGCAAAATATATATATTAAGTAGAAAGAGTATATTTAACTAATATAGAAACTACTTAAGAGTTTTTAAAATACTATAGCGCTTAACTAATTTAAAGCTAAGTAGAGAGATATATAGAAGTATAATAGGCTTAATTTATAAGCAATTAATTCCTAAATAATAGCATAAAGCGTAAAGCTAATAGCTAATTAATTAATTAAAAAAAAAATATATAGAACTAGACTATAGTTATATTAGTACTAAGGCTAGCTAGCAAAAAAAAAATTAATTATTATTAAAACAAAAAAAAAAAAGAGGGAGAGATAATACAACTATAGAGCTTAATATATACTTAACTTACACTTAACTTGCGCTTAATATAGCGCCTACTAAAATAAGCGCTCTAGCTTGCTAGGCAACTTTTATTGCAACTTATTGCTAGTTAAATTAATAACTTAATTATTAGGAGAGAGAGGGGGCAGAGGGGGGATAGTATTCTAAACACTATTACCCCTATAACTACCCCCTTCCCTACTGTAGAGACAAGTTAGAGTCTTAGAGGTACAAGAGCGAACATATTAGCTGCAGGGAGTTGCCTCTCTACAAAGCGCATTAACTAGAGTGTAGGTTAGTTCCTACTAGTTAGCGCGCTTATAGTGCAACTCTACCTGCTCTGCCTGCTGCTTATATAGTATTTGCTTAACATTCTAAGCTATAGTAGCCTAGCCCTAGAAAAAATTCACTAGCATCTACTAGTTAGGAGGCAGTATATACCTGCAGCAGAAGGGCATTAATGCGCTAGTAAGTGCTAGCGCCTGCGAATTAGCGCTAGCAGCTGTATTGCTAGAGGATAAATTAGCTAGCGCATATAGAGAGCAGATAGAACTAGAGGCAATATAAGCCTGCTCTAACAATATATTAAACTTTTTAGTTATAGAATTAAACTATATAGAGAATTAAGCATATATACTAGAGCTCTTGCTTAACTTTTTGCGCGCAGTAGATATAATATGCCTGCTAGCATTTGCAATTTACTGCACCTTTTTCTATTAGTAGTGCAGCTTAGAATTTAAGGCATAGAGGTGCGCCTTCTAGACGCACTTCTTGCAGGTTTTACAGCACTACTTACAGGCTGTAGTAAGGCTAGGGACGCAACTAGTAGAGCTAGTATTAATAAGCTTGCGCTAATATAGTATATATATTCCTAAAACTTCCTCTCTATTAGAGAGGTTGTTATTATTAGAGTTGCCTTCTATAGCATACTTGCCTATATAGCAGGCGTTAGGGCGTTGCAGTAGGGGCAGTAGGGGCAGGGGAGAAAGCGCGCTAGCAGCAGTCTTGCTAAAACTAAATTAGCTGCGCAGTATAAACTGCATAGTGCTTAGGGCAGCAGGGGCAAAATAGAAGCAAAACAGAAAGAGAGGCAGGCAGCAGTAGCAGCAATCTTTAGAGACAAAAAGTTTTTAGTTGCATAAAAAGAGCATTAGTAATATATATTAGAAAGAAAACAATAAGGACAGGCAGCATAAAGTTGCTAAACTGTTTGTAAAGTAGAGGCGCATTAAGCATATACTACACGCAAAAAACATAGAGCAGGGACGTATAGTTACTAGGGGGATTAGCACTACACGTCTGCCCTTACTGCACAGCAGTAACACAGACAAACCCGCCAAAAGGAGGGTATATAATAGACTCAAGCTGTAGGCTTAAGTAGGTATAAGGCACTATATTAGTGCCTTATTAGATATACTTTAAATACACATTAAACCTATATATATATAATAGGCAGAAAAGGGGGGACAAAGAGCTTCTTCTTTCCCTCTTTTCTCTCCTTAAGTTTATAGTTAATACTAGTAACGCTTACACGCAGTAGCCTGTAAGGCCAGTCCTTAACAATATTAATACTTAAAGCTTAGGGCGTAAGGAATTTATAACAAGAAATTTAATATATAAAGCTAATTTACAACTATAGTGTGTAAGTCTTTAATATATTAACAGAAAAAATAGTAACTTGACATTAAATTAACAAAATAATTTAGACTGTTAGTTATTTGCCAAGATAGATTACAACTGCTTTGCTAATAAAGCGAAAATTATAGTTTGTAAGTTCTACCTCGAGTGAAATATTTTAATTACTATATACTAAGTACAGGAACTAGAACGTAAGGATAATAAATATATTAAGTTATCTCTATTTACTTGCTAACAATAAATAAAGAACGTAAGTCTTATTTACATGTCTAGTGTATTTACAAATTGTGTCTAACTAAAATACAACTCTAGAACGTGAGAGACTCTTGCAAAAAGAGTAGTTATTATAACAAACATATAACATTGTACTAGGCAGTAAGTTTACCCTTGCAGAAAAGTAATATAAACTACGAGAAATGCTAAGTTACTAAACTATTCTAGAACGTAAGACTATATAGACAAGGTGTGTTATATAAGAGAAGAATATACTAATATATGCCTTTAGTACGTTAGTATTTACATACTAAAGTTATACCATATTAATACTTAATTTTTCTTTATAGAGCGTAAGTATATTTTTACTTAATATACTGTAATAAAAGGAAATATGCTAATTCTTCTTTGTAGAGTGTAAGTCGCTGTTATATGCTATTACCTACGACTAATAGCTAATATTTATTAATTAATTTTAGTGCGTAAGTATTAGTTCTATATAGAAGAATACCGATATTGTGACTTAGCTAAAAATTCTATTACTATTAGTTTGTAAGTGTCTGCAATAATAGAGTAACTAAGCTAATTCCCTAACGCGCTAATATATATAATAGGCTGTAAGTATATTCTATACTTATTAACTTAAGTAATAGCAAAATAAATACTAAGCAATAGCTTTAGTCGGTAAGCTTAACTACAACCAAGATAACTTTAGTAAAAAGAGGTTTAGTACTAACATTAAAAACCTTATAGGGCGTAAGAAGATCCTTCCTAGCTAGAAGTGTATTGTACTATACATTAACAAGTTAACTACTATAGCCTGTAAGTAAAATATACACAACTTGCTTAAGGTATTTAAATAATGCTAACTCATAGCACTTGTAGTCTGTGTGTATATTTTGCTACTCTTTTAGGACTTCTTTATTGTTTCAAAAGAGGCTAACACAAAGAATATAGATTGTAAGCTTTATGCTTAGGGACGACTTCTATTTACAAGCACTAAACTTATAACATTAGCCGGTAAGGCCTTGTCTTTATTGTTGTCGTCTAAGATACTAATTAGATATCTAGCTTGTAAGTGTATTTATTAAGGCTTAAGGAGACTAGCAGAATTATGTGCTAATTTAATCTAGTCCGTAAGTATTTCTACAGGATTAAAGATTTATCACTGCTGAAATATTTGCTAATAACGTCTTGTTAGACTGTAAGCATACTTACTAAGACGTAATACTGCTATTAATGTAATGCTAACTGTAATATTAGCCTGTAAGTATATATTTTATGTTTATATATAAGCTGCTAGAGTAGTACTAACTTTGTATAGATTGTATGGATTTTTTTTTTCGAAAAAAACTTAATTGCAGATTTATTTACTAATTTAATTTAGGATGTAAGTGTTTTTTTTTAAGTGTAGCCTTATTAGAGTGCTATATATCCCCTAAGAGCAACTATACACTAACACATTATACAGATTGTAAGTATATTTAGCCTAAATAAAAGTTAAATTAAGCTGCTAACTCGAAAAATAGCCTGTATGTTAATTAATTTTAACTTATTACTACTTAGATACTAAAAACAGTTAGGCAGTACGTATACTTTCTGAAAGAATGCTTCTTATTTTCGTTCTAACTTCTTTTTTAGCTTGTAAGGTTCTTATATTTATGTCTAGTTATACATCTTTCTAATTATTATCGTAGCTTGTAAGTATATCTACTAAGGTTAAGGCTACTATTCGCATAAAGTTCTAATAAAATTAGAGCGTAAGTATAGCTATATAGAACATAATACTTGTTACAGCTAAAAAAAACTCTAGAGAGTAAGTCTATATATCTACATTTAATAAATTTCTTATAAGAAGACGCTAATTAAATCTAGCTTGTACGTAAATTAAGTTTTAAAAATAAGAGTCCCCGCAGTTATATACTAATACCTAAGCAGGGCTTGGGTCGTTTAGGTGGTTTAGACGGTTTAGGCGGTTCTAGTAGTGCTGGTGCTTCTAGTGTAGCTGCTACTAGTGGTGCTGGTGCTACTGACGCTGCTGGTGGTGCTGGTGGTGCTGGTGGTGCTGGCGCTGCTGGTGCTACCGACGCTGCTGGTGCTACCGACGCTGCTGCCCCTGCCGCTAATACTGACGCTGCTGCCGCCAATACCGACGCTGCTGCCGCCGCTGCTAATACCGACGCTTCTGCCGCTAATACTGACGCTGCTGCTGCTAATACCGACGCTGCTGCCGCTAATACCGACGCTGCTGCCGCTAATACTGACGCTGCTGCCGCTAATACCGACGCTGCTGCCGCTAATACCAACGCTGCTGCCGCTAATACCGACGCTGCTGCCGCTAATACCGACGCTGCTGCTGCTAATACCAACGCTGCCGCTGCTAATACCGACGCTGCTGCCCCTGCTGCCGATACCAACGCTGCCGCTGCTAATACCGACGCTGCCGCTGCTAATACCGACGCTGCCGCTGCTAATACCGACGCTGCCGCTGCTAATACCGACGCTGCTGCCGCTAATACCGACGCTGCTGCTGCTAATACCAACGCTGCTGCCGCTAATACCGACGCTGCTGCTGCTAATACCGACGCTGCTGCCGCTAATACCGACGCTGCTGCTGCTAATACCGACGCTGCTGCCGCTAATACCGACGCTGCTGCTGCTAATACCGACGCTGCTGCCGCTAATACCGACGCTGCTGCTGCTAATACCGACGCTGCTGCCGCTAATACCGACGCTGCTGCTGCTAATACCGACGCTGCTGCCGCTAATACCGACGCTGCTGCTGCTAATACCGACGCTGCTGCCGCTAATACCGACGCTGCTGCTGCTAATACCGACGCTGCTGCCGCTAATACCGACGCTGCTGCTGCTAATACCGACGCTGCTGCCGCTAATACCGACGCTGCTGCTGCTAATACCGACGCTGCTGCCGCTAATACCGACGCTGCTGCTGCTAATACCGACGCTGCTGCCGCTAATACCGACGCTGCTGCTGCTAATACCGACGCTGCTGCCGCTAATACCGACGCTGCTGCTGCTAATACCGACGCTGCTGCCGCTAATACCGACGCTGCTGCTGCTAATACCGACGCTGCTGCCGCTAATACCGACGCTGCTGCTGCTAATACCAACGCTGCCGCTGCTAATACCGACGCTGCTGCCCCTGCTGCCGATACCAACGCTGCTGCCGCTAATACCGACGCTGCCGCTGCTAATACCGACGCTGCCGCTGCTAATACCGACGCTGCCGCCGCTAATACCGACGCTGCCGCTGCTAATACCGACGCTGCTGCTGCTAATACCGACGCTGCTGCCCCTGCTGCCGATACCGACGCTGCTGCCCCTGCTGCCGATACTAACGCTGCTGCTGCTAATACCGACGCTGCCGCTGCTAATACCGACGCTGCCGCTGCTAATACCGACGCTCCTGCCCCTGCTGCCGATACCAACGCTGCTGGTGGTGATAGTGGTGCTGTTGCTACCAACGCCGCTGCTCCTAGTGAACCGGTATGTATACTGATATTGTGGCATTCTCTCCTTTCCATTATTGCGCTAACTTAGCTAAGGCTCAACCTGTTAGTATACTGACTAAATCTTATGTTTATTTCTACAAAAATATACTAAGTTAACATTACTTAGTTTGTAAGCAAGAAACTACTATTTTAACGCCTTTTCGGAATATCCTAAAGAGAAATCTAGCCTGTAAGTAAAACCAAAGTTATAATTTACTAATATATTAAAACGCTGAGGTTAAGTTCTAATTTTGGGAATTTAATCTGTAAGTATTTAATTAAGCTTAGGTTCTTTGAGATATAGGCTTACTTTTAAACTTAGGACGTAAGCACACAGACAGAAGTACAGTTATTAAACCTCAACATAAACTCTAATATGCAAATTAAATAATGCTTATTTATAGTTCTATAATGCAGTAAGATATACAATTCTATAACAAAGTAATATATAATCTTATACTAATTAATTATAGGATGTAAGCAGTTTTACTACTATTGTATCTTAAACTACTAGTATTATACTTGCTAATAATTGCATTTAGGACGTAAGTAACTTTATATTCTTTAGAGCCAAGTAGGAAGTTATACCGACTTGCCTTTCTTTAGGCTGCAACAGTAAGTATTTTTGCTGCTTTATCTTAGAGCTTAAATCTAAATACTAATTGTTATATATAGTCTGACCTAAGTTTATATAATCTAGGGCGACGCAGTAGAATATACTGACTTGCCTTAAATTAGGATTTAGTAAGTATTTTTATTGCTTAATCTAAGCGAAGCATTAGCCAGTTATGCTAACTGTTCTGTCTAGGTTGACGTAAGTTTCCTTGCCCTGTTAAGTTGACTTGAAGATTTAGTTGCTAAGCAATATACTTTAGATGGTAAGTAATTATTACATGTTAAAAATATAAACAGTAACATTGTACTAAAGTATATTAGAAGGTCAGTATTTCCCTGTCTGTTATTAAATGCCATTTATTAATATTTTCCACAGCGTGTAAGTATTTTATCGCTCTGTTACTACTCTAAAGATACTAATAAAGAATACAGGGAGTCAGTGTTTTCCGTCTGTATAGTCGTACTACAAATACTAATTAAATATGCTAGGGAGTAAGAGACTTCCGTACTATGTAAGTTACGAGGCTGTTAGAATGATGCTAATCAACTCAAACTACAGCGCCGGGCAGTAAGTACCGCCGTAGTCTGCACTCAAATTGCCAGCAGTATTTTAACTCATCTTGCCATTCTAGTAATTCCACATATTCAGATAGCTTTACGTCAACGTAAGCTTTGGCCGTTGTATGGAGTTCTCCTCTGGAGTTTAAGCTCGGCCGGCCACTGGCGGGTTCCTATCTCTACTAGAGCTATAGTTTCGGTCAGATTGGATTCAAGGTAGACTGGACTTTTGTTTCGATATCGTATAATTTGGGCATATGGGAAATAGAAGCCCGTGGAAGATTCACTATTTGTAATAATAATTTCTGCAAATAATGTAACACTTTAGGCCGGCAGCAAAAAAAAGGCCAAAAAACTCCTGCCTCTTGTCTTGTGCTCTTGACTTGTGGCAGTGGTCTACTGCTGGTGACTCCTCAAAAGGCGTAGCCCCCTGGTAAAGGCCGTAGAGCAAAAGCAACAAAGTCCGCCGGCCAAACCGAAACTGTGGTATACCCGCTATATATAAGCTAGTGGGCTACTTACTGTATTGACCTTGGTGCGCAATTAAGCTTCTTTCAAAGAAGCAGCTTAATAAGACGGTATCAAGGTTACCTCGTTTAGGGCAATAGACATCATCACAGTGCTGTCTAGCAGCTAGTAGTTTATGGAACGGACTTGCGTTGTATAATAGTACCCTTATATTTATTAAATAAAGAGTAAATTAGGTGCCCAGTCTTGAGCGATTGTGCTAATGGTGCGTCACAAAAAGGTCGAGGGAGTCAGTCCTTTCTGCCCCCCTTTTCCCTGCGAGCTCGACACCTTCCCACGACGCCGGCGCACTGAATGTAGCTACTGTCCATTTTCGATGCCTTTGACTGGGGTATTGGTTCCCACGCCGCCAAGACCGGGCCCGGAACTTCCAAGGGGCCCCCCTTCGGGCACTTCGGACTCCCCTTGGGACCCGTCTCCGGGCAATTCGGACTCTCCTTGGGACCCCTCTCCGGGCACTTCGGACTCCCCTTGGGACCCCCTTTCAGTCTTTAGCTGTTGAAGCACTTTAAGAGCTCCTTTGATGGAAGTTTGGAGTTGAGTGACCAGATCCGTCTCCTCAGTCGAAGGCGCTTCAGTACCGCCGTTCGCATCGGGATTTCCAGAGATCCCAGCATCCTGACCCGAAGACGATGCAAGACCACCGCTGTTCACGGGATTTCCAGAGATCCCAGCATCCTGACCCAAAGACGATTCAAGACCACCGCTGTTCACATCGGAATTTCCAGCTTTCATCGGAGGTGCCGCAAGCTGGAAACCACTGTCGTTCGGGGGTTCACTACCCTGCGAAGGCTCCAGGCCACCGCGAGCTTGGGAATCAAGGGGCATCGAGAAGGTGTAGGTGGCAACTACAGAGAAAAGCTCAGTCAGGCCTGGTCTTTGCAACTGGCTTCAACGGGGCTCTAGAGACCACAGACGGGGGCTCATAAAATTAACGCAACCAAGGAAATGTACGTACAGGCCACAAGGGCAACAGCGTCGATGCGAACCATTGTTAATTGATTTTTTTCGAGCTTTCAATGAATTGTAAGAGGTAGAGTTGTAGTTTGAGTGCAGATCACTTGATGAAGATGGAAGGTGCGATGGTATGGGACAAGAAGGCCAGTCTTTCGGAGAACTCTGCATCATTTTATACTCGATGAACGAGTCCTGGGCTCCGTGGACCCGTGAGTAATGCCAAACCCGGCAGATGGAGAATCGATGCCCATGAATCGTCATGCTCGCAAGAGACAGCATAGTAGACAGCACCGAGGACTGGCAAAGAAGTGCCCAACGTGAAATGGCAAGGAACAAGAGAGTTTCCCGGCCCGTAAATGTCCCCAGTCTTGGATGGTCTGAAACAGTCATGCTACAGTCTCCTCACTTTTATAAGCAGCAACTAAAGACTTCCTTAAGAAGGCGTGCCGCTGTCGCAACTGGCCACGTTGGAGATGGAGAACATGGCCGTTTTGCAACCTGTAACGCGGGCTTCGTGGCATGATTACTTACCATTATCCAAGCACGTCTTGTCGTAGAAGCAAGTGGAGATGGGCACGGCATGACGAATTGGCCATCGCCGTGGTCACATGGGCCACCTGTTTTTCACGCCACGTATCGTGAATCAAATATCTTTGGATCTTGCTCGATAAAGGGTGTCCCACCAAGTGTGTTTCCGTTGAGATACTGCCACCGGTAATAAACGTGAGAGCCATGCCCCAAGCTGTGAGGGACAATATGAAACGCGGCCCACATATATGTCCCGTCAAGTGGTAAAAGCTGTGGGATGTAGAGCTTCTTTGTAGATGCACTAGTGACAGTACAACGCTCTCTTCGTGTTGTTGGCCTTGTTGCGTCGTAGCAGCACAGCCGCGATACACGGCATTTTCCACCAGAGCGGCCGACATGACTTGTGCACCCATGCCCCATGACAGCCAACCATTGGCCACTTTATTTATTCGTTCAAGCAGCCACTGCGTAACAAGGTGGGAGAGGCTGAAACATATTTGGAAACGAGACATCGGAGGGCAGATCAACCAGATCGCGAAGCGAGGCCTAGGAAAACAAGCCACCAGATTTGGCCTGAGCCGCATGAATTCGAATGCGGGGCGTGAAACAGTTGACATTGAGTCGGTAGCCCAGCTATGTAGGAGCGTAGGTGGCCTCTTGAAACGGTAGCGGCCTGGGAATTCATTACGCAACGGCAACACGGGAAGCCACTGGCTGCGAGATACAGCTCAACCCTCACGCTTTCACTTATATTGTTGGTGCCACCTCGTCCCCGTTCGGACCAAGCGCTTATTAATTGTCAATATTCAACACCGACGTAGTCGCTTTGGGGCGGGTTTGTATCGCTTCATAAAGTGACATCGACTCGAGACAGCCTCATGGCACATCTGGCTATCACGGCCGACCGCGAGAGCTGGCAAGCGTCTTCAATTCAAAGACGCCCAAGTGCAAGATACGGCCAGTGCCTGCCATTGATGCGTCTGTGACGCCGTGGACACAACGGCGCAGAGTTCCAAGCGAACAGGAGAGTCCAGGTATTTTCGTTCTTTTGTTGTCTTCACCAAAAACGTGCTTGTTGCGTTGGCGACACTGGGGTCCTTGTCAGTCCGAGGCAAGGCTCATCCATATAACTTGCAACCCAAGAGGTCAGGTCCGCCTCGAGTGGATGGCTTTGTTTGAAAAGAATGCCCCAAGCCTTACGGAGTACATGGTCGGGATAATTCACACGGAACGCATCGCCCAAGCATGAAATACGAGGCTGCGAGCCATCACGCGAGGTATGCCATGCATGCTATGCAGCAGTATGAGCGAAACGAGCCAAGTTACATGAAACGAAACTGGGGACTCGGCCAGCATTGACAACGGCCACGCAATGCAGATCCACGGAGGATACCTAGCTCTTGTTTCATGAGAGCCCGTTGCCCGTTGTCCAGCCAGTGGGCACGATCTTGCACCACACGCCGTGCCGCTTGCGCCATTTACTCTCCAACTGGTGTAGAGCGCCGCGACTCGGGACGCAGACTCGTCGTGTCTGGCTAGATTGATGTGCATTCCCTGGCTGGGGATTTACCGCTGCCGGTTGCAACCAGGAACTGTCAACATTGTCGACGGCTATGACCCTCGCCGGCGCTTGAAGACGTCAAAGTGTGACGAGTCCGGGACCAAGTGAGTTCGCCTTGCCGGACAATGAGCCATCCACATGAGTGTTGCTGCATTGTCTAACAAAGTCAGTATGTCTGTGCATCTGCCTTTCTTCGCCGAGGTGGACTGCTCTCCCGACCAGCAGCGTACTCGCACAGGTGCAAAATCTTACTGTGCCACGCTCAAGCTCGAGCCGAATGTGCGGGACATGCTCAAACAGCTTATTTGATACCCGCTCTCTCGTCCCTTCGATATCCTTCAGCGGGTACGCCTTGCTGAGACCAAACGCGCAGATGAGATGCCGACGTGTTGGAGGCACAAAGCTGCCCGCAAGCCGGTCCCGAGCATGTTGCATGCGTCGATCTTGTTCCTCCCAAAATTGGGCTTGCCACTGCAGGGTTCGAGTCTTGAACTCATGTCTTGGAGGTGCAAGAACCTCTGTTTCACAGCTACATCCCGTGTGCTCTCCTTCAGTGCTTGCTTGTCTTTTCCCCAGGTCCGTATTCCGGGTCCATCTTCGTTTTGGGGAAATCCACCAAGAGCCGTCATGTACCGTGGGTTTAGAGCAATAGACTGACCCGTGACGAAATAGTCAAGTGAGTACCAAGGGCCGCGACCCGCGACCGCGACCCGCGACCGCGACTGCAGAAATGAATTGGGGAGATACGTAGCCGTCGTTCGGGACGGTTACGATGAAGAATGCATCTCGCGAGCCCGTCTGCCCCCGAGCAAACTCGACCAATTGTGACGTTGGTTTCGTATACGGTCTTGTTGAAGTGTACTTTGGGCACGTCAGGACGACCTATACACCTTGAAACAGAAACAAGCTCCGCCGTGAGGATGGTTCTCAAGCTCTGGGGTTGAAGGTTTGTTGGACAAGATGCGCCGGTAGATTTCAGAAGGATCTGTCAACCTGTGTCCGGTTACAGTAAGGATACTTGCCGCCGAGAGTTGTGTAGAGAACACTACACCGCTCAACGATGGAGGACTGGTTGATTTCGAAGCTGGGCGAGCGGCTCGTACGGCGGCGGTTTTCTTGCTCGTGCTGACCAGCAGCTTGTCCCGTGTTCTCGGTGCGAGATGAAGAGGACGTGGACATTTTTCGGGGCAGCTTGCAGAAGAGGCGACAAGATGCTGAGTCGTAGCCGTCGGTAATGTACGAGCATTCCGGCTTCCGTTTGTCGAGCCGTAACCGTCTGAGCGGCATCCGAGGTGTGGAAGTTTAGTCGGGCATATTAGCCGTGCGTCCCATCTCCGACCCAGACATTACTCAGTTGCCGCTAGTGTTTGACTCGACTCGACCTGGACAAGGTGTAGACAAAGTCAGCTGCGGTCTGGTATGACTCCCACCCGCCACTCCGAGCTCCCCATCTTCCACTCGGGACGGGGCCGTAAGTCATGCCAATACACGACGTAGTTTGTCAAGCTGTCCAGGGTGCCGCTCCGGCAAACGCGTGGCGTCGTCGGAATGGATTCCGTCCCCTCGTGGCCTGGTGATCTGTAGCCCGGCCATCTGCCTAGAAACATCCCCATGGCAACCAGTACCAGAGCACACACAAAGAGAGGCCGCTTGACGCATGAATAATCACCGCGGTGGACTTGACGAGCACGAGTGGCAAAGCTCCCTTGCATGAGGTCAGAGGGTACCTTACTGTGGCTGGAGCTATAGCATTGAAAGGCTAGTTAGTTGTCCCATTATTATCGTCTGATGCATAAGACCAACCTACTTTCAGTAAGGTATGAGCATAAGAAGGCATCCAGCATGGGTGGTCGTCATCCGCGTGGCACACAGCAACGACGCAGCTACGGGCTTCCTGTCATGTCACTAGGAAGATGAATGGTTCGAGGGTAGTACAATGTCGATGCCTGATGCGGGCCGCAGCATCCTGTTCATCTCTTGCCAGGAGATCCTGCGGCGCCTTGGCTCTCTCTCCTGGCATTACTCGCCGTCTCGTAGGCTCAGGTGCTGATTGTATATGTGCTCTTTTATCGGTCCAGGCCGTTGCGAGCGGAGCGCTTCATCATGCGTGGAGTCCACCGGGAGATGTGGGCAAACCTGTCGAGTTGCTGTTGCCGAATCCGTCTCGTAGCAGATACCAGTGGCGCACATCAAGAGTCGAGATGGGCGCGGTACCCAGCTTTGTGCGTAGCAACGCCAACAGTGACGGTCTCGAGGCAAGTTGCCGGGCCTGTCGCTCCAGCTGGCCCTTATTGCCCGCCTCCCGTCTCGGCAGCGGACTCCGATGGCAAGCCTGATGGCTTCTCAGACGCTTCTGGAAGCCTTGTAGATGCTGCTGGTGTCTGTGACGTTGAGCGCTGGCCAGTCAGCTCTTCAAGGTGCTGCAAGGCGATTTTTTTCTAGGCTGGGGCGTCTTCTGGCCGGGGGCCGCAAGATCGGATAGAATAGAACGAGCTTTTCGGAGCCTCTCAGGGCAATCATTGGGGCCTGGGTCGCGCCGGACTGGAGAAAACTCCCGCCGGGAGGCTGATCGACTGCGGCGGGCGTGATATTGACAGGGGTTGCCCTCGCAAGGCTCGTGGGAGCGCTCCATTTTTTCGGCCAAGTTGTCGACCGCCGCAAGAGCGAGGCCTCGTACAAGTGAGGGCCGTTGACGGGCCGCGTGTCGAATGACTCGACAATCTTGCCGGTTGGGTTGGGTGTCCCTGGCCTCGGAGAGAGAGGGAGAGAAGCCTGCCGTGAGTAGCGAGCTGAGCCGTTGCTCTCGATCCTCTTATTGTGGGACTGCGAAAAGGGCTAGGCCGTGGCTTAGCTTTGTGCTTGGCATGATATCAAAAGCATCACACTCGGTGGTGCCACGTCAAAGAGTTATTTCATGCGTCATCGAGTGCCGAGTCGCCGACTGTTAAGGGGAAAAGTGGAGTGAGTCATATGACCTAGGGAAATGAGGGGCATTATTACGGGGAGAACTTAGTCACGAAAACCTAGACAGAACAAGCATCAATACTACCTAATGCCCATCGAAAGCATTACATTTTGGTGATGAGACTGGGACTTGATGGTGATCCCTTTTTTTTTATTTTATAATTTTATTTATTTATTTACCTTATTGTTACTATTTGCCACGAACGAGGTCGAAAACACCACGAACGAACATGGCGACTCTCCTGATGCATGCAGATGAACTGTGACGTGCGCAAAGACGACGTGAGGCCGAACGGGGATGAAACCTGTCGAGACACGATCGAGAGATGATAAGCAGGATGGGAATGATTTGCAGACGTTGCAGACACAGATGCATCGACAAGCTGACGTCGGAAGGACGAACATCCCTAAACCCTTGAGACTGCGGGATTGAGGATTTGGGGAACGACATGTGGAATCTCAATACTGCGGGTTGGGACGAACGACACATGGAATCTCAATACTGCGGGATTGGGACTGACGACATTGGAGCGACGACATATGGAATTTCAATACTGCGGGATTGAAACTGACGACGTGTGGAATCTCAAGACTGAGGGATTGGGATCATGGAAATGGCGACAAATCTCAATGCTGCGGGATTGAGACTGACGACGTGTGGAATCTCAAGACTGAGGGATTGGGAAGAATCATAGAAATGGCGACAACAACAACTGGAGATCTTGGAACCGTGGGATTGAGGAATCGCGAGAACACCATGGGATTGTGCATGCAGCAGGATGCAAAGGAACTGGACATGAATGGAGACGTCCACAGAGACGTCACAACGATCGGAAGAACGATGTGTTGGGAAACCGCCGAAAACTCTGGAAACTCTGGAATGGGTTGGAACGGGAATCGGACACACCTGGACAGACGATCAGAACCTTCGACTTTGGACAGGGCATGGGAACGTTCCCTGGGATTGGAGAAGAAGATGGACGAGATGAGTTTTTGGAATGGGTCTGACCATGGAGTTTGGGAAGACGCCGGGACAGTGGCTGGACACATTGCGACAAGACGTTGTTTCCTTCGGCTTTGGGAAAGGTCTGGGAGCCACGCTGAGTATGGGGGAAACGATATGGCAACTATTACGATCGGAGACTTGGAATTGTCTGGACGACCGGACAACTTCGGACATGGAACCGACAAGACGAACGCGATGTGTGGTGCACCGACAGACTGCGATGATGAGAGTGTGGTGCACCGACAGACTACGATGATGAGTTCACGAAATGGAATTGGAAGGAACGATTGATACATGAAATGTGTCAATGGGAAGCAGCACATTGTGTGTTGATTGGTGTCGCTGGGGAAGTTTGCGGGTGCACTTGCACACATGTCGTCGATGTGGATGGTTGCGATTGCTGGAGTTGTGGTTCTGGAGGAGCAGCGGGGGAACTGCTGGACACTGGCGGACTTGGGTTTGGACTTCCGACTTTTGGGACCCCTCCATGACCCCGCACCAAAGTGGAAAGCGCTGGTTTTCGTGCACGAAAACTTCCAGCGCGACACCGGCGAGTGCACGGACCACTTTCTCCACAATTACCCCACCATCACACTTTTTGGAGACATTTGATTGGTGTCGGAAGATGGGATGGACTTGACGAAGTCATTGATTCAGACAAACATGAGAAGGAGCAATTGGAGAGCTGGAGGGACATGGTTTTCTTCATCCCCCCTGGGATGAACTTGTACTTAGATTCTTTTCCATCATGACCATCATGACCATCAATCAACTACCTGTCCAACCCATCAACGAATGAACCACGAACCAGTTTGTGTTGTCTACCTTGTGATGATTGCGACACAACCAGTTTGTCGTGGTTTTGGCGATTGTTGCGACATCGCTTCCATCCTTTGACTCCTCCTGGGTTGAAGACACTTTTGTTCTCTTTCTGAAGACAGACAGACACGTTTGTTTCCCTTTTCTTTTTTTTTGAGACGGATGTCAACTTGGGGACATTCTGAAGACCTTGGAACGTTGCCCTTTCCCACATTGCACAAGTCAGACCTGGAGTCAGATTTGGGCTCAGACCATTCTTCGACACAAATCTTCACAAAAGACCTCTCGCCAGGTCTGACACATTCGTTGGAAGACATCTTGCCGACATTCCCATTGTTATCACTTGGGTCGGAGAGACAGTCGTCACTCTCATCAATTGAAACCATGGATACCCTGTGCTCTTATCCCATGGGAGGGATGGGAGGAATTTCCTTTGCTGGACATCCTAAGGATGGACCTGCCCAAGACTACGTGGATTACTGCAATGCCATGGCAGCCCTGGCAAGAGTACCAGAACATGTGGAAACTTTGGCACGGGTACATTTCACCCATGGATTGAGAGGAAGGGCGGCGACATGGTATGAGGACCTGGACCATGATGAACGAAGGTGGGACGTTCTGTCGGCCAGGTTTGTCGAAAAGTTTTCCAACCCAGACCCATACATGGAAGTGGCCACAAGACGGGAAGTTTTCTGCTTTGCCAGGGAGAAGGGAGAATCGTTGACAGCTTACATCCAAAGAGCTGAGAACCTGGCGTCGAAGGTGAAGACAGACACAAGACAGATATTGCTCACCAACTTCGTCACCCATCTGGCCGATGGGGAAACAGATGCCAGGCTGCAGGAGCGAGTGTCTGACCGTCTGTTTGCTTCGGACAAATGGACACAGGGGATGGCAGCCAAGAACCTAACAATGGCAGACCTCAAGATAATCTTGTATGATTGTCGTTCATCTGCTTCGGAAAAGATCGCGAGACAATATGGGGAATCGATCCCAGCTGTTAGCTTGGACCCAATACGCGCATTGATGGACCATCAAGTGAAACGAGACGAACAATGGGCAGAACAACAAGCAAAGAGAGACGAGAAGATGTACGAATTGATCAAACAATTGGAAGCGTTCCGGGTTGCACAAAACGGTTCTGAGTCAACAAGACCATATGGACAATATGGGAGGTCTGGCTACAACAACCAGAACACCGACCGACAGATGGGAGGGAATTACACAAACTCGTACAACAACAACAACAATAATCCCAGGAAAGAAGTCCCATCGTTGCCGGCCCCAGGAACATCAGGTCCCAAAAATGACATGCAGAGGGATCCAGATTTCTTCTGGTGTTTTTCGTGCGGCGAATGGGGACATATGGGATACAGTTGCAGGAATCGGGACAAATGTTCGCCAGAGAAGTTCGAGGAACGACGTGAACAATGGCAACAGAACTCGCTCCAGATGAAGAGGGACAGACGTCGGGAACTCGACACAAGGATGCAATCAAACTACATCGGCGACATGGGCTGGAACCAACAAGACGCAATCCCACCTCCAGGATACGCGCTCAAGAAACAATCGACACAACCTCCACTCCAAACGTGCACAATGGACTTTCAGAACTACAGGCCGCCACGTGTCGAAGAAATGGACAACATGATGGAATCGATGGACTCTGTTAATGCCGCCACGCGGAACAAAGGCAAAGCCAGAGAAACCCCAGACCCACGGGGGCCATCAGGCAAAGTGACAAAACCATCTCAACGACCGGGAGTCCATTTTGATGGCCAGACCCGGGAAAGAGTGGAAGAGCTTCTGGATTCTGGTACATTGGAGGAACAATCTGGAACGGACGTTGTACGATCCCAACCATCTCAACAAATGCCACCAGTCCCAGAAATGACTTCTGAGGAATTCGAACGGCTCAGACCAATGATGCGATCACATTTGGAAAGGATGGGAGACAGACCCCATGGCACTCTTCCAGACCCATTGGTGGGACCAGCTCCGTTGGTGCCACATTCGGAGGAGGTTCAAATGAAAGAAGCCCCACCCCCAACAAAAACGCCTGCTAAACGAAGGTTGGAACTGGAGAAGATCCGGGCGACAGAGGAGTATCAAGTTCCAGCCTTTGACTTGGGAAAACAGATGAGAGACACAAGGCTTAGCATCAGCGTTCTACAACTCCTCCAACTCGCTCCCATTTTGCGACAACAGATGACACACTTGATGCAATGTCGCAAGAGACTGAAGAGCGACGCGGCAAAAGCAGTGGTGAACAGTCTCATTGCACCCTTCCAGGACATCATGGGACCTGAACAACCAACTGGAGCACCAGCGGTCCTGGGATACACCAATCTGGTAGCCTACAACGATGTGGCAAAACCAGACGGACAAGTTGCGTCCACGCTGGGATATGTCGTGGCGTACTTGGAAGGGTATCAGTCAGGTTCAGTGCTGGTGGATGGAGGATCAAGCGTGGAACTGATCAGCCATCGTTTCGTGACAAAACACAAAATCCCATCAGTGCAATTGAGAGGAAGCAAACCAATCCGGATGGCAAACGACACTGAACACTACATCACAGCATGCACGTACATCAACACTGTGGTGGGAGGAATTTTGGCGCTGGTGAAGTTCTACATCATGGACGCTCAACAAGACTGGGAAGTCCTTCTGGGAAAGACGTGGTTGCGTCGCATGTGTGCAGTCGAATACCATGGGGAAGAGAAACTAACCATCACTGGAGCTGGAGGACAGACACAAACCATCCCATTGTACCCATGTCCGGACATGTTTGTGCAGACTCACTCTGAACAACTTCCCATGAGAACTGAGCCAGACGAAACTGTGGAGTTCGTGGAGGATGATCGGGAAATCATTGAAGAAGTGGAGGAGATTCTCAAAGGACTTAACGGTGAAGTTTGCAGGCGAGTGGGAAAAATGGAGTCTGGAATTCTGGAATCGAAAAAATAACGACCGCAGGTAGTCAGACTGGCGACTATCTGCGGGAGTTGATGGTCGTGGACGACGATTGCGAGTCAGCGAATGGGGGGAACGAGACGAACACGAACCGATCGAGACCAGACACGAGGCAAAACTTGCCAGAACAACATGTTAATCAGTATAGTGTAGATGAATTGCGCGATCATTACGATCGAACAGCGAAGACCGGACGATCACGATCCACGGGCGAGACGAGACTGAAAGATGTCAAAAAGTCGCGACCCACGGACGAGACAAATTCGCGAGCTGTCCCTTGGGACGTAAACACCTACAGATTATCCCCAAACAATTACCAGACAGGAATGAAACTACCATTACCGTACTTACACGCTCAACCTGTGAAACGAGTTAACATGGTCTGGAACATTACATGGGACCAAGTGACGCGACGCATGGCCGCTTGGGATCGAAGATCCCAAAACTCAAATTCATGCCATTGTCTGAATGAAATCACAAACCACCAATGGTTGGAACAGAGGGATGGGTGTGACCGACAAATTGGCTGGTGCAAAGGCAACAAACACAATGAACACCATGACCGAGATGATGGACATGATCGACAAATTGGCTGGTGCGAAAACAATGGACACTATGAACACCATGACCGAGACGATGGTTGTAATGATGATTGCCAGACGGATCGAATTGAAACCCTTGCAGGGGGAAAAGATGACGATACGGACGAAGAGGACTCAGAAGAACTGGCACTGAACTTGCTGGACATACTGAAGGGAGGAATCAACATGAAGGAACCGGACGAACTGTGGGAAGACACATCGAGACAGACCGATCAACAGATTTGTATGGGAAAACAGGAAATCAAGGGGTCCCCCTTGACAAACCGAATTTCACATACAAATCGAACATTGGTCCTCCCTGGGAATGGAGATGGACATGGCACCGCTCATCTGGAGAGCATGGGAACAAGACGGACGGACGGACACCATACAGACAACCTCGGACAAGGTGGGAGGTCAATTTGTATGGGGATTTCAGCTTTTAAGGCTGACCCCTGGGAAAATGAAAATCCCCATACAAAATCGAATTTCTCCAACTCAACCGAGGGGACGAGGTCTGGCGGAAACTACTTGATGGGATTCCATGGTGTCATGGACCACACTGTCTGTGCAGACACGTCCGGACATGATGGAGACGAAGGGTTCCGACCACACTTGGGAATTGAATCTGGTGCACTCTGCGATGAAACTGGATCAACAATTGCATCGTGGAGGAGTCATTTGTGGGAGGAATTGAGACATGGAATTCCGCTGGAGGATTGTTGTGGTGTCGCCGTCGACGATCATGATGATGGGAAGCGGGGCCGAAATCATGGTGGGGCGGTTGGTCCGAGAAGAAAAAGTGGGGAATGGGTGGACGCGCACGGACGCGGACCCACCCCACTTTGTATGGGGAAATCGGAAATCAAGGCCTACCCCTTAAGATTCCGAAATCTCCATACAAATCGTCCATTGACCGGTCAGCGCCACGAAGCCATAGTTTCATGGTTTGAAAACTCCCGCATCACACTTGGAGACTTGGCGGGGGACGACAACCAACGCCACATGATCATGAGGTTGTGTTACACCTTTAAAGATTGTTTTGTCACTGGTCTTGAAGACATTCGCACCACCGATTTATTGCAACACCACATCCCATTGATTCCTGGTGCACTTCCTGGCAAGCGCAAACAATATCGGTACAGCGGATTACATCGAGAATTCGCGCGCAAAGTTTTTCCTGCCATGGAGAAGGCAGGAATAATCCAGCGAGGGGATTCAGCATGGGTTGCACCAACACTGTTTGTGGACAAACCTGGTTCGAAGGAACTTCGAGTGGTGCATGACTATCGCGACATCAACAGCAAAACCATCAAAGCGGGGTACCCATGTCACAACATGGAAGCAGATTTGAATTCGGTACATTGTGGGCGCTCCTCAATTTTCTCCCAAGCTGATGCTTCCAATGGGTTTTGGGCTATACAGATTGCTCCGATGGACAAACACAAGACGGCATTCACAGGGCCAAATGGCATGTACTACTACAACAATATGCCCCAAGGTTTGACAGGGTCCCCAGCCACTTACGCCAGGTTTGGGGACACAGCGTTCGGACATCTGTTCTTCCAGGACGGAACTGAGATGGAGTCAATTTTGGGATACATGGAGGACATCCACACTTCATTCTCCATCTACGTGGACGACCATCACGTAGGGTCGGAGAACTGGGAAGATCATTTTAACTTCCTTTGGAAAAGATACTTCCCAAGAGTGGCATGGGCTCCAATTGGTCTTAGCGGACGGAAGACGAAACTCTTTTCGTCGAGTGTGGATTGTGTTGGTTATTCTCTGGAAGATGGGAAAATTAGACCAGCCCGCAAACACAGGGAACGTTTTGCATTGTTGGCAGAACACTTCAGACAGAACCCGCCAAAGTCGTGGAACGAAATCCTGGTCCTTATCTATTTGACACCATTTTTGAGGAAATTCATACCAGGCAGGGCGGATCTGGTCTCGACAATCAAGAAGGTGTTTTTCCATGGAATGTCCAAGACCACAAGGCTGGGAAGGGAATCCATACAATGTCAGGAGGTCCCACGGGATGACCCAACATGGACACCAGAGGCTCAGGCCGCGCTCCTAAAAATCTGCGACAGCATTCAGACGAATGCGACATTTGGGGCGCGTCCTGGGACACAGTTCCATATGGCGACCGACGCTTCCGACACTGGAACGGGAGGAGTCCTGTTCCAATTGGAGGACACAGAACCTGGCACTCCAGTCACTGATGCCAATTTCTCGAAGACCAGAATCATCATGTGGATGTCCCACAAGCTGACCGACTCGGAAAAGAGGTACACTATGCCAGAGAAAGAAATGTTTGCCATTGTGGTGGGATTGAAGGAGACACAATGGTTAGTGGGGGGATCACCATTCGCTTTGAAAGTGTATACCGATCACAAAGGCATTATCGACTCTATGGCCAACCTTGGGGAGGTACATGGAAAGGTGGCGCGATGGATTGACATTCTGCAGGAGTCAAATGTGGAGTACATCCATCGCGCCAACACTACCAAGATCATGAAGATTGCGGACGGGATGTCGAGAATGCCAGACAACTTGAAATCAGATCCTCCATGGGTGAAGAGGAGAATGGGCGTGGAAGTTGTCCCAGCTACGACAGAACATCCGGTGCAGGTTTCAATGAATGTCGCGGACACGGACAATGGAGAATGGATACTGCCGGAAGGAAGTCCACAAGACGAAGACAAAACTCAAGAATTGACGGACAAACTTGAGAAATGGTTTAAATCTCAATGGTATGGAGAGGTGCTCACTGCCATGGTTTACGGACACCAAGCCATACCTACAGAACGAAGAAAGCTCATCCGACGTCGATCATTGAGGTACAGAGTCTTCCGTCAGACACTTTATTATCTGGAACAGGACGAGTCATTAGCAGAATGTGTCATGACGGAGGAGGTGCCAATGAAGATGCAGAAAGCCCATGACGCGTCTGGACACTTCGGACCAGAAATCACCATGCAAAAATTGAGGGGACGTTTCTTCTGGCCAGACAGAACAAGGGACGTGGAAGCATATTGCTTGTCATGTCTGGTATGCCAACAAACAGGGAGACGCTTACCAAGAGCCGATCCTAAAACAATCACTATTTTGGAGCCATGGGCTTTGGTGGCCATGGATTATTTGGGACCGATCACCCCAATAGCCCAGAATGGAGACATGTACGTGTTGGTGGTCGTCGACTACATGACGCGATTTGTTATGGCTCAATCCCATCGCGAAGCAACGGGAAGTGTGGTCACAGAAACTTGGGACAAATGCTGGGGTTCAATCATGGGATGGCCGAGGAAGATCTATTGTGACAATGGATCCCATTTCAAGAATTTGAACTTTGAAGCCATGACACAAAAACATGGGACAAAAATCACGTTTGGACCAATCTCCCACCCATCGACCACGGGGTTGGCCGAGCGCAATGTGAGACTCATCAAAAACCAATTGATGAAATGGGCGACAGAGAGAAATGGAGTCTCATTGGAAGCATGGAATCAAGCACTCCCGACAGTGGTGGTAAATCTCAACAACAGACACATGTCTACTGTGGGGACCAGTCCAGCGATGGCAATGTTGGGTTTCGAACCATACTCACGACATGAAAACATGGAGGACGAGGTCGTTGAGAGCTTCCAAGATGGGACAAATTGTGTCGAAGAATTGGAACGGGAGACAAACCTGATGCGAATCGACTCCCGAGAAGAAGGGAGAGAACGTGTTCGCACCAGGAAGACAGAAGCCATGAACGACAACAATCTGCGGAAGATTCCTCGATCATTTCGTGTGGGAGACGTTGTGTGGGAGAAACTGGACAAAGAAAATAAACTCAAAGGGAAGTTCCAGAGGACATGGGGAAATCTTTCGACGATTGTCAGAGTGGTGTCGTCGGTGTCATATGAAGTTGAGTCCATGGGGGGTGGAGCGACACGAAAAGTCCATGTCGATGACCTGAAGCAATACATCCCTCGACAGGAGCGACTGAAACCACCCAGGCTCAATTATTGGGACGTGGCAGATTGGGATTTGACACAATTGGAAGCCGATAATGGTTAATGTAATTGGTATCATTAAATTGGTATTGGTGTTGGTGTTGGGGTCAACACCAGTTTCCCTCCCCCCTGGGTTGTTAAGGGGAAAAGTGGAGTGAGTCATATGACCTAGGGAAATGAGGGGCATTAATACGGGGAGAACTTAGTCACGAAAACCTAGACAGAACAAGCATCAATACTACCTAATGCCCATCGAAAGCATTACACGACCATGTACGTGATCAGCCCGCCGGCCATGACATGACATGCGAAGGCGTCACTGGGGGCAAAGTCGGCAACGGTGGAGAGAGTCGTCGACGATCGAATTATTATATGAATGGGACCGGCGCCCGCGCTCAGCGACATGTTGAGCCTGAATCAACACCAAAGCATCCTCCTTTCCAACTTTCCAAACAAAGCATCCATTTCGTCGTCAAGACCCTCGCCCTCGCCAAGATGAAGTACGCCCAGCTTGCATTCGCTACCCTCTCTGGCTTTGCTCTGGCCCAGAGAGTGCTGCCTGACTCGGAGCCCACGGTACGCGGACCAGTCTGCCGTTGAGAAACCCATGTCAAGTTTAGCAAACCCGCCAACGCTTACGGATATAGACGCGACAAGAAATTTCCAGGACATTCTTTGGCCACAACATTGTCCGTTGCAGATCTGAGAATGTAAGCACGCGCACGAATTCCCCTCGGCGAGAGAATCAGCTAACGCGTGGCCAAAACAGGGCGGTGTGTCCTGCGATGCCGAGCGGGTTCCCGTGAGTCCCGTCTCTGGACTGTCTGCGCTGTGCCTCCCTCGTGATTCACCAATCTGACTACGCTGATGCAGAGAACCGATGAGCTCCTCAAATTCTGCCAGAGTAACGGCGGAGTAAGTATCGCTCCGCAAACGTAGGAAGGACAGTGGCTGACGATACGGGCAATCTTAGTGCAAGAATTGCCAGGCATCCACTGATGGCTTTACTGGCGTAAGTCTTCTGTCGCAGGAGGAAACTTTTGTACTGCCGTTTTGGCCTCTAATCCTTTGAGAATTAGGACGTCACGATACGCTGCCAATATACCTCCCGAAAAGACTTTGGCCCGCTGGTAGACAGCAAGATTAAGGAGAAGTGCCCGACGAACAAGTTGGATGAATGTAACAGCTTTAAGGAGAGGTGCATGAGACATTATGGACGGGGGCCGCGGTTCGAAGAATCAAACGCAGAGAGCGTTGCCTCTTGCGTTCGACGGCTGGTTCAGGCTGGTCAATAAGCTTCGAGCTTTGGCCCGTCACATGGCCTCGATTGAAGTCCAGCTGGCCGATCACCTGGGCGACATCAACTTGAGTCCTCGCCCGCGTCGCGTGGCGACAGACAGCCTGTCAAAGGGCAAATCTCGCATTCACATTCAGATACGTGGGCTATAGATTCAACATCTCAAATAGCTCTCATAAATCTATAGATCTAATATATATATATATATATACATTTGCACCTCTTACCCATTTCATAACACAGCCACGTGCTTGCGTACCCGCAGCACGGAGTCGACGCTTACCTCGTCCGTTGTCGCCGCACACCCTTCCCGTGACATGCGGAGATTTTCTACTCGGCAAAGTAGGTTGTGGACTCGCCATTTTTCCAACTCAACTATAAAACTTATTCAGCCAAGCTGCTTTGATCGCCATCTGCTATCCATGACCATGAAAATGAACTCCTCTACCCCATACAATGATATCGCCATCTCTAAGCCGCCACGGCTGACAGTCGGCAAATCAACGCTCGCGGGCATACCACGTGACACGGCTACGATGCAGTACTATCAATTCAATAAAATGTCCAGCGTGCGGTAAGGGGGGCCCAATTTCTCTCTATTCTCGTAGATGGACTGGTGTCAGTCACCCAGGCAGTTGCTAACCCTAACCCTAACCCACCCCCTCCGCACCAAGGCTCGGTGCGGATCAAGGTTCTTCCCGAACATTCCGCCAGCTTAACGGTGGCAGACGCGGAAGCTCCAAAGTTCAACATCAACAGCCATTGACTCGATGCTTGACCATCTCGGTACGTCGGCAGTATCCCGACTTTGTTGATTTTTCACAGACGACTCTGGGAATGAACCATCCAAGTCGTTGCACTCGGCAATAGGGGCAATATTCGCCCCCAACGGATGAGTGCCCAAACCCCGTCTGTCGACTTGACCCATCCACGGTGTCTTCAACAATCAACACCCTCGTCACTCATTCGCGATTCGCTGCCCAGCATTCTCAGTCTCGCTGGTCCGCGCTAGCATGGCATCGGCACTCAAGTATGGAGCGAGCCATGATGCCGGCCATGCCTCTCGGTCGTCCCCCTCTCAGCCGAGCCGTCCGTCGTTGGTCAAAGGCGCCTCCCTCCTCATCCTGTTGCAGCTGATATCCCGCCTCGTCAGCTTTACAGCTAGTCAGCTCCTCCTGCGCTTCCTTACGCCGCGGCTCGTGGGCCTCTCTAGCCAACTCGAGGTGTATTACTTGTCGGTTCTTTTCTTCGCCAGAGAGAGTCTCCGCGTTGCAATCCAGCGCCAGGGTAGCAGCAACGCGGAATCGTCCCCAAGCGACAACCAGGAGCAGCTGCTAAAGACAAGACGTCGCGACAGCCAGGCAGTCGTCAACTTGGGCTATCTAGCCATTGTACTCGGGCTGTTCGTCAGCACTGGCCTGGGATGGATGTACCTCGCCTACGCCAACGAGTCGGTTTTGGAAACGCCACATCTCGTCTCCTCACTCCGTCTGTACGGCCTGGCCGCCATGGTGGAACTGCTGTCCGAGCCGTGCTTCGTCCTCATGCAAAGGCGCTTGCGGTTCGGCACCCGCGCCACGGCCGAGTCAGCCGCCACTCTCCTGCGCTGCCTGGCCGTGTTTGGATCTACCGTGTTGGCGTCGCGGCGGGGCCTGGATCTCGGCGTCCTCCCCTTTGCACTCGGCCAAGTCACCTACGGCGTGTCATTGCTGCTGGTTTACCTCGTCTCTGGCTACCGTCTCGCGGCCTCGATTGGCTTTACGCTGTTTCCGAGGGCCGTTGCGGCCGACGGCGGGTCCCGCGCAAACTACATATGGTCATACTTTGACAGACGGACCATGACGCTCGCCAGTAGAATGATGGTCCAAAGCATCGTCAAGCACCTCCTCACACAGGGGGATACCCTTCTCATCTCTGCGCTCTCCACACCCGAAGTGCAGGGCGTGTACGCCATGGCCAGCAACTACGGCGGGCTGTTGGCCCGGATGCTTCTCCAGCCCGTGGAGGAGAGCAGTCGGAGCTACTTCTCGCGACTGCTGGTGGCTGCGTCTGCAGGAAAGGAAGCGCGCGACACCAAACCCACGGCGGCGGTTCAAGAGGCCAAGAAAAACCTGCAAACTCTTCTGAGGCTGTACACCCTCCTGTCGGCCGTGGCAGTAGGCCTCGGTCCGTCTGCCGCGCCGCCCCTGCTCTCCGTCGTCGCGGGGAGACGGTGGACAGACAATGGCGCCGGAGACGTCTTGGGTTTCTACTGCTTCTACATCCCCTTTTTGGCCCTCAACGGAATCACCGAGTCGTTCATCGCATCCGTTGCCTCCGAGACCGAGGTCCAGCGGCAGTCGATGTGGATGGGGGCATTTTCCGTCGCCTTTGCCGTCGCCGCATTCGTCTGCATGCGTGTCTTTCCCCTCGGCGCACAGGGTCTCGTACTCGCAAACATTATCAACATGTCTTGTCGTGTGGTTTGGAGCTGGGCCTTCATCAGAGCGTACTTTGGCCGGCACGGATCAGACATCACCATCAGGAGCATAGTGCCTGGCCGTATGGCTGTCGTGACGCTGTCGACGTTGGTTGCCGCGCACTGGCTTCGCGCGCCGGATGAGCCGGACACGAATCCAGTCATGACGCTCGCCAAAGTGGCGGGCCTGGCCGTGCCATTCCTCCTGACAATGTATGTATGCTTGCCCGCAGGTCGCAAAGACTTGTCACTGCGCGCTCATTCGCCCCATTCTGACCAGCTCCATAGGGTACTTCTCCAGAGGGATTTCCTGATGGAGTGCTTTCGCGCCATTCGGGAGCAGAAAATATCTTAATAGCGCCGATGCCGCTGTAAAATAAATCAGTAGTTACGCAACTTTCGAATACACAAAAGATCTCCATGCCCTGCCATGCAGTCACGCTCAAGCAACGTACGTGCCGTAGAACACGCACGCCAAGCTCAGCTGCGAACGAGTACAAGTTCATCCTTTATCCAAAGGAGTCGCACAAATGGCTTGATACTATTCATGATCATCTTGAATGATGTGTTATGAATGCTCTGGAAAAGTCTCTTGCACAGGTCAACGAGCAGGGAGCATTTGGCGGCAGAAGCGGAAGGGCAAGTCGAAAAAGAGCTAAAGTTGGCCACGGAAGATCAATTAGGTCGGCAGATGGGTTGGCTGCCATTGAGCCCGTGTTCTTGGGAGCCCAGGTATTCTTCACACTTCCCCAACTCGACTGGCATGGCGCACGAACTGCAGAGTCATCATCACAGACTGGACGCACAAGGCCGTCGATGGCAAATACGGTGTGTCTAGATGTAGACCTCTCCTTTGATGTAGATGGAATGGAGAGGACTACTGCGCGACCCGAGCAAGTGGAACGGGATGCCGAATGTGCCCGCCATGGGGAGCACCCGGACGAGCCACGGTCCCAACTCAAGTCGCACGCACGCTGCCGTCAACGATGGCCAGAGAGTCAGCAGCCTTGGCGATTCCCATCAGGCTGGCGAGAGAACGGCACGGCCGTCGACAGCGCATTTGAAGCTCCGAGGCGGGAGGCGGGAGGCGGGAGGCGGACCGCATACCGGGCATCCGCACCGGCATCGGCATGGGGGCAACCACGGCCACGGGCGGATTGGGAGACTACACGGGCCCCCTTACGAGGTCGTCGGGAGAGCGGTCCGGGTCGGCCAGCGCGTCCGGGACTCGAGGGTCGGCGGCCGCGTCGACGTCGGCGCCCAGGTCTGGGCCTGCCTCGCGTGCCACCTCTGCAGGGACGGCAACGAAAACTACTGCCCGAGGCTCGTGGACACGTACAATGCCCATTGCCCGGTATCCTGACGGCAGCTGGGCGCGGACTTCCACATGTTCGGCATCCCGGACAAGCCGCTTCCAGAATTGTGGCGGGGCTCCCAAGCTGACAGGGAGTCATCTTGGAAATCGCCAGGAAAACGGACGCGCTCCTGAAGCTGGCCGCCGATGAGGGCGTGAAGCCATGAGTCGAGCTTGCACCCATCTCGGAGGAGAGCTGCGGAGAGGCCTTTCAGAGGCAGAAAGAGGGCAAGTTTGGGTGCCGATGCACGCTCACTGACCCTGACAAGGCGTTTGGGAGGGCCGAGCCCAGGCGGTCGACTTGTGTCATGGGCGACTAGCGTGATTGGGGATCACCTGGTTGCACGAATAGTTCCGGTTTCGGGCCCGGGGCCAGCCTCTCATCGGAAGACGAGTGGTATCGTCCTGGCTAGTGTCGGGGAAATGGAACGAGTGACGTCCTAGGCTTGCCTAGCAGACCAGCCCTTGCTCGTCAAAGAATACACTTTGGCCGGTGCTCATTGCTTCCACGCCGCAGTCCCTGGCGGCACCACGTGGCATTCGAGGCAGCCATGGTCAAAGACGACTCCACGGCAGGCAACTGTGCTAGGTACGGGAAGAGTAAAGCCAGCCGCCGTGTATACTTCTGGCAACTTTGGAGCACACGTTCGCGCCTCAAAAGTGTTGCGCCTTTGCCCCGAGCAGCCGCGATGGCTGTCCTTGTCCTCGGGCTCCGTTCACATGGCCAGTATAAGAATGTTTGCGCAAGACTGTCGTGGCCCAACGTAGCTGCCTGGCAGTACGCAACACGACATCTCCTTGCGTGGATCGCTTCCCCCTCGCAAGACCAAACAGCTCAGCCGCAGCCTTCTTGTGCCTGGCGAGGAAAGTTGACTGCTGAGTAATAGATGCATATGCACTTAGCGTGCAATCTCTCATCACATATTCGAGGTCTCGGGTTCTCGAGACGGAAATAATTGCGCGGTACTCCCTCGCTCGTTGGGCTCTAACGACCGGCTTTTGCGCCCGACGATCCATCGCTGACGGCCGCTGATACCAGGGACTACCAAGACTATCAAGTGTTCGTAGGGGTAGGGGCACTCATACGGACGACACCCGTTGACCGGTGCACGACTTGGTCTCCAGCGCTGTCTCGACGTCCTTCCAAGTTCCCGTCCTCCTCGCTCGGGCGTTCCATACGGCCCCGGCCCGCTCTGTCTCGGAGGATGCCTTGGCCTGAAGAATCCTGGCCGCGGTGCTGCTGCGGTCGCCGGTGTCGACCTCAGGTGCCTTTTGGGGGCACCCATTTCCTGCCGCTCGCGAGGTATTTCCCGCCTGTCGAAATGATCTTCGGCCCCGAGGTCGTCTGTGGTCACGGCTGCGGTGACGACCTCAGCGAGATGCCACGAACTGTTCGTGCTCCAATACCGACTCGTTTCACCGTACCAGGCTGATCGTGTACGCCGCGTCTAGATGAACCTCGTAAGCAACCGCAGGGCTCGCTATCTCGCCGAGCACCTAGGCTTTCAATGTCCCTTGGGCGCCCAAGCAGGCGAAGGAAACTGTTTCCGCGATCGCCCCCCGCCCTCTGACCCGGCATATGCTCGGCTCCAAGGCGGGCCGGCCCATCATCATCATCCTACGATATCGACGCACAACGTGCGTGGTAGAAGAGGCGAGACCGTCGTGGCGTTTGGCTTCATCCAAGACGTGGCCGAAGAGTCTGACGGGGAGGAGCCCGGCCCGTGGCAACCGCACATCTTCTACGAGCGCCGCGATGTATCGCACTGGTTTGAAGACGTGACGAGCCCGCAGCCTGACCGCATGCAAACACCACCGCGCAGCACTGCCCGGAGCACGTTTCACCAAAGAGTCCGCCAACGCGGTCACCAGCAGCGGCACCAGACCGCCCCGAGCTCGACGGCGACTTCCGGCGCCGAGAGCGGAGCCAACAGCAGCAGCAGAAGGCGTCCCCGTTTCGCCCGAGGCGTGGACGAGTCCGTGGAGGAGTTCGAGTCTCTGGAAGATTTCGGGTCTGCGGGACACTTCGAGTACGCAGACCATTTGGAGTATGCGGAAGATTTCGATTCTTCGGAAGATTTCGACTCCATAGACGAGCTCGAATCCGTGGAAGATGTCGAGATCGCCGACGCCCCTCCGCCCGCGTCACGGCGAGCGATCAGCGGCTTGGAGCGCAGGACTGTGGACAGGGCCTTCCGCGGGCGGGAGGGCGAGGGCGACATGAACTGCTCCATTTGCACAGACGAGGTGAGGCTGCGCGAAACGGTCACGGTCCTCCCGTGTAAGCACTGGTTCCACGAGAATTGCATCGTTCCGTGGCTGCGGCTGCGTGGCACGTGTCCGATGTGTCGGAACCCGGTTGAGAGCTACTAGGCTTGCTGTGCTGTCCTTGACCGGCCGTCTCGGTTCACACGAGGACCTTGGGAGGCGTGGAGGGCTGATCCAGCTCGTTTGGCCGGAAGACGGTCCGAGTCGTTCAAGCACGCATGTTGTGTTCGAGATCGTCGCAACGACACAGTAACTTGTACTTGATTGACCTGTACATAGCTCCCTGAATTCGGAATCTGTTTCCCACAACGTCGTCCTCGTGCCCGCGCGTCTGCCGCTGCGCCGCCGTACACCACACGCGTGAACCGTCCCGTATCACCAGGACACGCCGAAGCCGAGCCCATCTGTCGATGTTGGAGTTTGACGCGCGACAACAAACCCGCCAACCGCCGGCGCAGAGCCACTCAAATAGCCAACTGGCAAAGAAGCGTTTGGCTCATACGAGAAGCCCGAAATGGCGGGGCTGTGACTTGTGCGCGCCTCGTAAAGAGTAGACCAAGTGAGCTCGTTCAAGAACCTGACGACATTGAATCCGCACAAGCATCTTCCCGCCACCCGCTGCGCGCGTAGCTGCAGGCAAGGTTACACGGCAGATCGTCGTTCGCACGCACACCGGGGAGAATGCACGTCTCGGTTGGACTGGTGAAACAAAAGCTCGGCTTCCCGCTAACCAACAGGTCTGTATGACGAGACGAGTTGGACATTAGAGACATTGATCCGAAGGCCGCTATTGCTCGCAGCTCAACGGTGAGCCCAATGAGCACGCTGACGGTTGAGCCGTCCAGCCATCCAGCCATCCAGCCATCCATCGGCGTCCTCTGCCGCAACCACACGGGACCCTCGCCCCCGACGACATGTGTACTTCAACACTTGACGGATGCTCGGGTGTCGTGCGACGAGCACGTTCGACTGGCCCGCAGAGCGGCGACTATCCTCGAGCTGCGCCCTAGAGCCTAGTAATACCCGACTGCGCGTCCCAGTCGACGTCTCACACAGTCCATGTCCTCGAAACACGGAGGGACGTCCACGTCGGCAGCGACGAGGCCTCCTGCCTTCCCTTGCGCTCGACGGCCCTGGCCTGATGGCAGCGTGCTGGCCAAGAGCATTCGGACCGGCAGCTCTATTCCGCGTTTCTTCCGTGCCACGCCAGACCTGATGTCCAGCCGGCGGGAGCATATGCGGCTGCGGAATCGACGGAGCGCGGCCGGCCAGTCGACTCGGGTTGCCGCACCTCCGTCTGTCAAGTATTAGTAGAGTCGTCAGGGGCAGGATTTCCGTGATAACGGGTGTGCTGAAGACACGGTTGGACAAGGAGCTCTGTCGTGACTGGGCTGCACCGTCTGGGTGCCTGGGCCGGCTCTATCGACCCGCGCTTTGCATTCGTTTTGCTTCTTGGTTGCAATCTATCACGTCGGCCTGACTTGACATCTGCCGGCATTCGCGCCCTCTCCTGCGCGCGACTCGAAATGACAAAAGATTGCAGTGAGTTTGTGCCAGAGAATGGGCGGACGAATTACCAAGAATCCAGTACCGACATGTATCTTCTTCGCCTCGGCAGCGCAGTCGCAACGGTATATAAAAACTGCCCGGCCCCGGCCACGTCGGACGTCCCGACTCCTGATATGCCTGGCCTACACCATCATTCCGTCACGGCGCTCCCAATAGCACACCATTGACTGCATCGCGATTTTCGCAAAAGGCACTCCTAGCAATGCGCTTTGTCCAAGGCGCCGCCCTTGGCCTCGGTCTCCCCGACCTAGCCCTCAGCCAAGTCCAATTCCAGCCCTTCCGCTTCTGTCCCAATGATCTCGCCTGCCCCGGGACCAAGCCGCAGTGCACGCACGACATGGAGGCGGAACCGTCTAGTGCCTCGGGCCGAGCCGTCATCATGGGCTCTGCGTCGACGCAGGGACCAAGCTCTGCTCTGACGGCAGGACGATTTGCCCGGGTGCCAAGTCCCAGTGCACCGTCGACGTCAGCGTCTACGTCGACCAGAGCGGCGGCGCCGTCAGCAGGCCCGTCTGCTGCGCTCCTGGCCAGAAGGCCCTCAATGGCGCCTGCTTCGACGGCAGAGCCACGCTCGTGCCGTGCTACCAGAACGGTCGTGTGCCGTACGATTGGACCGAGGGCTACTACTGCGCGTGGAGCGCAGGCAACGACGACTCCAGGTGCTGCAAGCTGGACGAGTACTACAAGGGCAATGCGCGTGTCAAGAAGCCACGAGCCGGATGCTGTGGGAGCCATGTCGGGGAACCATGATCTTATCTGAGATGCTGCATGTAGCATTGTGGAAAGAACGGTGGACGAGTACAGCCAAGGGTCCTAGGTCACAGCCTTCCTTTTTCACATGTCAGATAATTGCTTTCATCGTCCTTGGTAACAGCTCTGACCTCTGGCGGCCCACGAATTGAACCCTGGGGGCCGCAGGGCCCCTTGCAGAAACTTAACATGAAGAGAATAGCATTCTTTTCTTCTCTCTCATCCGTCAGTCTTTGCCCCGAGCCAGGGCAAATCTGAGACTTACAGCCACCAATCGCTGGGATGTGATGAGGCTTGCGAGAAGCATCAAGACTGATGGAAAGAAGTGCCGGACAAGGCTCGCAACCGAGGTGAACTGGGAAACCCCATACCCTTGCCTATACAGTTGCACGTGCCGGAATGCTTTCCTCCAGTCGTCCTTGATAATGACGACAACTGGTCTCCTCTGTCGGGATGCAGACTCATTCGTAGGTTGCGAGTGTAAACATCTTTTTATCATGGCTCATCCCCATCCGCATATTCCTCGGTCCATGCCAAGCTATCTCAAATCCTAATTCGTAAGTCATTAGTTGCCAGTCACAGACATATTCCCAATTAGACGAGACGGGCGTGAACTCAACAGCTCACCAATTGTTCGTGGTTGACACAATGACAACTTCGCGACATGGGATCGTCCTCAAGATATATTAATCATTCATTGAAATTAAAAAGGGATTATTTGTAGGTGCTAAAACTCTTGTACAAGGCCTGAAACCTCGGTTCCTCTGTCTTTGATAGGTGTACAATTCAAAATAAAAAGGGCCATACGTCGTCATTGGCCAGCGATTCGTTTACTCCGTGGACAGCCCGGCACCAACATCGACAAGAATCTTGACCTGGTTGTCTTTGTCATTAATCAGAGCGTGGAACCCTTCTTCGACGACCTGGTCTAGCTTGATGGTTTTGGTTATCATGCTGGCAGGTTTAATCTTGCCTGTTGGAAATAAAGCGTTAGCTTTTCTGGCTGAGGTGGTTAAGCAGCAAGCAGCAAGCGTGATACACATTACATACCAGTCGAGATTGCGTCCAAAACTGCCTCAAAGTCTCCGAGGCTGTAAGTGGCGCTTTATTTTGATCGTTAGATGACGCATCAATGCGCTAATGGGGGGAGTACTCACACTCCCATGTATCCTCTCTCGCGGAAAACAAGTCCATTCATGGCCAAGTTGGCTCGCTTTTCCCACACAGCGATATTGATCAGGGTGCCTCGAGCTTTCAATGCGTCAAACGCAGTATCGAGGGCAGCTTGAGCACCCGCAGCATCAAAAGCAACGTCTGCTCCGAGGCCACCAGTGAATTCCTCCACTTTTGCCACCACATTCTCATTGATGGGGTCAATGACGTGGTGTGCTCCGAAGTTGATGGCGAAGTCCCTGCGTTTGCTGCTGACTTCAGTAACGATGATGTTCTTGCAGCCGCGTCCGACCAAGACCTGCACGACGGCCAGGCCGATGGGGCCAGCACCAAGGATCAAGACACTGTCGGTCTCTTTGAATGGCGAAATGTCCACGGCATGCCAGCCAACAGCAAGAGGCTCAACGAGGGCGCCCTCCTGGAGTGAAACGTTGTCGGGAAGCTTTTTAACACAAGAGCCGGGGACAACCATGGTCTCGCACAAGCCACCACCCCATCCACTGAGACCGACAAAGCCGTTCTGGTCACAGCAGTTCTCGAGTCCTCTGACGCACGAGCGACAATCTCCATCGTAGATGATGGGCTGAACACAGACACGGTCTCCAGGCTTGACAGACTCGACGCCTTGACCAACCTCCTGGACAATGCCGGAGAACTCATGGCCGAGTGTGAGGGGAAAGGTCTCGTTGGTGATGGGATGCGGGTTCTCAGGCTTGGGGATCAGGTTGGCACCGCCAAGATACTCGTGCAAGTCGGATCCGCAGATTCCACAGAACTTGGGGGCAATTTTGACCTTGCCAGGACCGACTTTGGGGGCAACAATGGTGTCGAGACGAATGTCACGTTTGCCATGGAAGCGAACTGCCTTCATGGTCGGCTGAGGAGGGGATGCTGAGGCAGCTGTCGCGCGGATGGTGCCGACCAGAGTAGTGCTGTCGGCGGTTGCCGTCGTGGTTGCCATTGTAAATGGTCGATTATGGCGTGTGCTGAGATGCAGTCGAGCCTGGACTGCAGCGCAGCGTAGACGGACTGAGGGGTCAACAAATACACACAGAGCAGAGTGTGGCTGGCTATTTGAGGAATCTCGATGTGTCGGGACATGGATGGTGGAGGGAGTCGACGGCTCCGCGGTGAGAAAGATGCTCGGTCAGACCTAATCCGAAGGCAGAAAAGCCAACCAGCCAAGACGAGATGGATGCATTCATGGCTCGAGATGGAGAGTGGATGCACCTCGACGGGTTTGCACTGCACTTGAGCTTGAGTTTGTTTGGGCTTGGGCCAGTGAGCAGCCATCGATGGAGGCCGATAGCCGTCGTACCCCGTACTCGGCACGGTGGCCAGCTGTGACGGCCAGCTCAGCTGCGGGCAGCTGCGGGCAGCTACGGGCAGCCGCGGGCAGCCGTGGTCCCGTCAAGTGCACTGGCCGGGTTATTTGTTCGCGACGATCAGAGGCGGGAACAGCCGGCTAGCGTCTGCAGGTGTCGACGGCTGGTGCTGCCGTCCCAACCTCAGGCGCAGAGACGCATGTCATGTACTCCGTACGGACGGACGGTTTGCTGCAGGACCCGCCGGCGGGCCCTCGCCCAGAGTCCCGCCCCACCGACGGCGCGGACGTTGCCAGGCAGTGCGCGCAGAAAGCAGGCAAGGAAACAGCTACCCCGCAGATTCCGGGGAAGCTTGAGGCTCGAGTTACCTGTTTGGGTAATACGGTCATGACGCGCCCGCACGCGCCTCCCTGCCTGGAAGCCTGCCCCTGCCATCTTGTCCTTGCCCACGTCCACAACTCCGCCCGCACGGCATCGCGCTCCAGACTTGAGGCGACATCCAGACCACTTGACCATTTCCAGTTCCGAGTACTAATGGGTACTCGACTCGGCTCACAGTCTCAGATCGAAATATACCCGCCGCTTCCCCCGTCGGGTTTCCTAGTTGGGGACAGCCTGTCCGACTCTTTTCGCTCGCAACCAGGAGCGCAACAGCGCAACGTCGCCGCGTCGCACCAAGCATCAACCAGACCCTTCTACATCTGCGCATTCTCCATATTAGGCTCGACTCGCAAGCTTCCGCCCCTGGTGCCTCCATCCAGATTGTCGCCGAGGGGTGCAAACGCATATCGCCGCTCACACGCTTTGCATGCGGACCACGATCCAACTCCACCATGGTTTTTTACCTACGCGACTGTAGTCTGTTGGTGTCCAACACATTCCGGACTAATTCCCCCTTGCTAGGCTAACTGTTTCGCCCCACTAGCTACGGGTTCTTACTACGCTAACCGGTCGTCTCTGCCCATCGCCGACGAGACCGAACCCGTAATCTGCGATATTCCAATTTCACATCAGTCACGAGACTGCTGGATCCCCCTAGCAGCGGCCCACGTTGACGGATTCCTGGACCGCCTCCGGAATCATGCATGGTCAGCCGTGCAAGCAGTCACTCGTCTTCATGTGCCCAAGTTGACGTTCACGCGGCCTACCATGGCGTTTCCAGTCTTGCCTTGCGCAGACTGCTGCTACTGAAAAAGTATCCAATCGGTCAGTCTGCTCGGCATGACGTGTCCAAAGACAGCAAGCCAGCAGGGCATTGTTTGTCATTTCCCATGCTGCGGAGGACTCTCCCTGGCCATTGGCTAGGCTCTGGACAAACAGCACAGAGATGCTTCGTCTTCACTGCATCCTGCATTTGCTGGCGTCTGGGACTTGAAGACCAATTTTCCAGGCAACTTCAGGTGCGTTGATCCGGTTCTGCCCCAAGCACCATCAGTAAACAAACGCACATGGTTTTTTACAGTCGGCGGACGGCCGAGCCATCTTCAGGGAGAATAGATCGGCAACGTTGAGAGCTATCGGCTAAATAATGCGGGTGGTTTTTATGTCATTTCGTTTGGCAAGAATCAGCACGGTAGATGGCTAACTTGTTAACTACATTGTGCTTGCACCACCTCGCCGTGTGCCTGCGCCAGCCAACACATGCAGATAGAGGCATTTTGACCCCTGGCGCAGAAGCACACTCCAAGTCTGCGAAGTGGAAGCAAAACTGCAAGCGGGCGGCAAGCACACGGCAACTACCCGGCGGGTTCTTGAGACGAGCGGGATGGCAAGGGGCTCTGTGCGTTGTGTTGGGCATCGACGCACATGTAAGTACGTATGAATGAGTTGGCTGCGAGGCATGTGTCTCACGTTTCACGCTGTTCCTGTCTGCTTTTGTTGCCTCTAACCTGCCTGTCTCGAAAAGCTGGTGGTCCTTTCCGGCTGCGACAAGGGGAGACTGGAGCACCATGCTCGCTCGCCGGAAGCACCGAGGTTCACGATGGCGCGTACCTGGGTATTGATTGGTAGGGGCTATGCCATCCGTTGTCTTGCAGGTTGCGCTTCGTGAACTGGGCGGCGGCCCGCGGCTTGCTGCCCGGCAGAGACGGCTACAGATGGATTCGCATTGCTGCAGCAGGCGCAGCAGCAGGTCAAGGAGTGCAGTGTCGTGCAGTCTGCTGTTTTCGGCTCCCGGTTACCACTTGGGCCGAGCGCCGCTGCATAGAATGAGTGCACAGGCGAGCAAGCAGTGTAGACAAGCTGTTGGCCGGCATCATACATGTATTCATTGTGCGGTGCCCAAGCTCTACGTGATGTGCCGTCCTAAGCGGCCCCGGGCTGGTTTTTCCATCTTGTCAAGCCTTGTTGCTGACCAAACGCAATTGCTTGTCCGGATTTTCCGCCCATGCAAAAGTTCGCATGGCCTCTTCTTTACTCGACTTGCGGCTAGGTGCTCTGCAGCCGGCTGGCAAGATTAAAGAGGCTGCCCCCTCAAAAAAAAACAATTTAGTCATCAGCCTTCTTGCGATAACGCTATCTTTCTATTCCCTACGCGACGACGTCTTGATATTCCAGCCACCGGCGTACGGCCGATCATGTCGCCTTAACACGTAGGCCGGGCCACTGCTTGCGAAGGCAACGGCTTCGCGATGCGCTCAAAGTACTCGGTGGGCGCCACAAAAGACGCCAACCTCAAAACCAATTCCTGAAAATGAGATGCCTACAATGTGTGGATGGGCGACTTCGGGGCCCAAGACACCAGAGTGATCCGTTTGGCCTTGGTTTGCTCGTCTATTGCGGGCTCGTCTCCTGCCCAGTTCGCCGAGGGCAGGGGCGGAGACGTTGAGCCTAATGTCACCTGATATCACAGTCTTAGCTGCCAAATAACGCGTCAACTTGCAAACAGGCGAGGCTCACAGGAGTTAAGAGTCAGAGCGGTGTTTACGTGGCGCCGAGCCTCGGAATCCTGGAAAGTCGGGGCTCTAGGGCATTTACGGGATTTCCGTCGACACCGATAGGTATGCCGTACAGACTTCCCAGAATGGACGGCTGAGCATCGGCTCTGCAGTCAATTCGATTTTTGTGCACTGCATGGCATGCAGACGGAATCGTGGCTCGGGTTCATCGTATGCAGACGGGGGGCGCCTGTCGTGGGATCGCGCAAATGGGAAATTCGTTCCCAAGCCAGCTTCATTCGTCTCGCGGCTCGTATGGGGCGTACGCCACGTGCTTCGATGGCAGCCTCTGCTTCGATTGGTCAATTGCGATGGGTCATGAAGCTCCCCACATTCTCGACGCACCGCTTACGGCTCATCAGTCATGTGACTAATGTCAGTCATGTGACTCACGTGACTCTTGTCAGTTACGACCAGTCGGTTTGGCGTGGCAACGCAGAATCAGGCAGCTTGCCGAATTGCCTCTACAAAATGATGAGCGTATAATGTACGTACGTATCCGCACCCGTAACCGGAAAAAGCGTCCACAGGTAAATGACAGGCTGCAGCAGCTCCGAGGGTTCAAAATCAAGAAAGATTGCCGCAGGCTCAGCAGCCCTACAGTCAGTCCCACGGGCAGGGGGCGGGTCCAAACGCCAGGGCCGGGCAAAGCTTGGACCTGGGATATCGGCTGTCACCAGTGACCACGGCTTCCTTGGTTTACGTCATACGGACCCTCAGCCTGAGCGGCGGCCGAGAGACGAGGGTAGGCATGGCGTGTGGACAGTGGACAATGGGCATGTATCTACAGCGAGTGTCCCTCGGCCCGGGTGTTGAGGGAACAGGGAATATGACAACCACGTACTCCGTACTCCGTACTTGAAACAAATTTGTCCGTGCCAGGCCCGCGGGTCAAGTACGCGGACTGTGGTGTGGTGTAACACAAGACATACATGTGTACCGTCACCGAGATGCGAGCCTACACGGCCGAGCGGGTAATGACAAAAAGGTGTACGAAACTAGCTTGTATTATTCTATCATACAAGCGAAGAAAAAATCATGCCCGACTGTCCTCGCGGCAGCCACAGCCGTGTAGGCAATCCGATTCCCAATCCGACGCGTATCTGAGCCCCCTCCCACCCTCAGGCGGGCCCGGCAAGCAAGGCGTGAGCTGACCGGTGACTGTCGCGAATCACGCTATTGTCGCAGGGGATGGGCTCGAGAGCGCTCTGCGGGTTCGCCGTGTACTTGATGTGGTCGGTGGCGAGCTCTAAGCCGAGATTGCCGGCACCGGGGCACGAGCCCGGAGCAGACGTGGCAGATCCGGTAGATGCAAGCCCGGAGTTGGTGCCCGGGGACGGCGCCAGGCCGGGGAGGCCGCCGCCGAACGGCAGGCCGGGGAACTGCGGCACGGGAGCAGCCAGGCCCATCTGGGCGGCGGGCAGAGCCAGGGCAGCGGCCAGGGAGAATCTCATCTTGGAATAGTTGAATCAGACTAGACAAGTTACTCGAGGTGTAAGAAGAAAAGCCCGACGGTTGTCGTTGGGAACCACAGGCCAGCTGTCGAATTCAATAGATACGCCGAAGAAGAAAAGAGGCGGGTCGAGTTGACAAGGCGACGCTGCTTCCGCGTCAGGAGAGCATGTGAGAGACGGTAGGACAAGGAGAGGACTGGTTACCGAACGACGACTGGCCAAGACACGAGCGGAAAACAGAAGCATTTATACACGTCCTCAGCCCGGCGCGGTGCCATTGATGCCATCCTCATGCGGCTCGGCCGCCGGGGTTCGTGCTCTTGCGTCGCGGGCAACCGAAATGCGAAACAGGAGCCGACGGGCGTGAAGATGGCTACCTGACGCTCTGGGCGCATTGGCCGCTGCGTACGGAGTGTCGGGCGTCGCATCTTCCATCTTCACACGTGGTGGGCGAAACCGCCGTCCGCATCGGCAGAGTTGGTGATTTTGTTTCAAAGCTCTCGTCCAGGATCCACACCCCAGGTCGTTGCCGCGGTTCCGTCTGCCGGCTACGCCTTGTTCCGGGAGCCACAGCGCTGACCATTGTAGTTGACCTGACCTGACCTTTCCTAATTAGGCAGTATATATCCCGGAGTTAACCCAAACACCTAACCTTAACCCTTACCCTAACTAGTGCTTTTAAAACTAAGGCTCCCACTAAATTCTCCACTAGCAATGGTCAGGTCACCTCAGGTAGGCGAGCAATGGTCGGGTCATCTACACTCTCGAACTGAACTGTCACTCACTGGCCTGCGTTTCATTGTCAATTGCTCGGTACCCCACCACGCTATACTTAATAACTATTAACTAGTATTCTCTTCTCTCGCCTTGCCTCTAGTGTAGCTACTGTATAGTATCATAAGTAGAGGCAATGCAGTGCAAGGAAGAAGGTCTTTATATTAGTTTATATTTTAGAGACAGTCTTAAGCTAGTATAGTAGTGCTATAGACTAGAGGCTGAAAAGTTTTCATTTTTATTTTTTAGTAATTAATATAATAAAATATATATAATAGTAATTTCTTTAGTTTTTATATATGTTTTTGCTGTAAGTAGTATTTGCTATTAACAATATATATACAAGTATAGAAAGCTAGCTACTAGACTAAATTTAGATAGTAGTGAGGCGATAGTAGCCCCAATAGCAATTTTAGTAGCCCCAATAGCAATAGCCTGGTTGTGAGTCGTGACCCGTGACGGCGCGGAGGCGGGGACTCGGGGAGTCGCCATCTCACCTTGCCCGAGGAACGGCGACATCAAGCCAAAGGCGCCGAGTACCTCATGTGTAGACGGAACCCGCCGGATCGTGGACACGGCTCGCACCAAGATTGGCGAACAGCTCATCCGCGAGGCATGATGGTCATGGTGGTGCTAGAGATCCACGGCCAGCCAGGACTGTAATGTACCATGGATGCCCAAGTTGATGCACAAGTTTGAGCCCTTCAAGCTGGGATAGGCAGGACGCGATTGTTCGCTGCCACGGCAAAATGATACAAGATGAAAGGCGTAGCCTCGGCTAAGAGAGGTTTATCAGCCCTCTACGTCCATCGTTGGGCCGACGCGGCCTCAAGCTGCTTGTTTCCAGGCAAGCCAGATACCGGGCAACTGACAAACGCGCGACGATGGAAACTACGAGACCGCTTGCTAGATCTACAGCGGTTGGGCGTCATCACAGGACAAGACGGAATGAGGAGAATAGCACGATGGGCCCGTGGACAGTTGGACGGCGTGCTTCAACGGGCGTCATGGAGGCCCAAGGCTGACTCGCTGAGCACTGGGCGGCATGTATAGAAACAGAAACCGTGGACAACGCACCGGCTATCCAACCATGCTCCTGTATCGAGAGGCCAGCTTCTCAACTGGATAGAGTACCCAATGGCCGACGCGGCCGGGAACTGGGTCGTTCATTCGGCGTCAAAAGGCGGCACCGACTTCATCATGCTGATACACACAACGCTGCCAGTCTACCACTACTTCTTTTTCTTCTTTTTTTTTCTGGACATCAGACTCGAGGCAGGCGACTGCTAAATCGGCTACATGTACGGTCTGCCGCCAGTCTTCTACTACGGTACCGGCCTACAGACCTCGTGCCCGCTTCTCGCAACAACATGCCCCGGACAAACGGTCTGGCAACCGGCCTAGGCATTGCTCTCGCCGTCATTTTAGGGCTCGCAGCGCGTCTGCTGAGGAGGCAGATACTCTCATACGGGAACAATGCAGCCCGCGCCTCGCGACGACGCCTCAACATTGTCAAGCCGACACTCGAGGCTCCGCCCCTGTTGCCAAGCCATGTCCACGACACCGCAGTGGCGTCAAGCTCACACAACAGGTGCTGCTATATCTGCACCGGGCCGTTTGTGCATGGAATCCAGTTACGCAAGCTTCCCTGCGGGCATGAGTTTGACAGGAGATGCATCGACGCGTGGCTGCTCAAGCACCCTGCTACTTGCCCGGTCTGGTGCGTATTTGACCATCCAGCCCACGGCTAGAATCATCGGCCGTCTTCTTCGCGGCCCAGTTTCTAACTCCAATCAGCCGACAGACAGTCACCACAGCCCCTCTGGAGCTTCGTGAAAAGTTGCCCACGTCGCCACGGCCAACCTTTTTCCCGCGCGGCCGATAGAGGGCGGGGGAGGGCCGGCGCGAGCGTTGCGTGAATATTGTGCCAGTCTCCATCATCCCTTGGAGACCCAGTCTGGCAAGTTTATCAAACCACGATGGATACGAGAGCGAGACGGCAGAGAACCCCCCAAGTATAATGGCAATCGATTAGAGTCGCACGAACCAGTCAGTATATACAACGCCTTGAAACGTCGCCCTTGCAGTGCCCGCGCAAACAAAACTCGGCATGCCTGTGCGTCATATGCCAACCATTTCGTCTTGCGTACACGGGCCCTGATGGAGCAAGCTGTACTTGAAGCTCTGCCTGTCCTTGATTTGAAAGGTCACCGAAACCGTGTCCGCAGCACTCGGATACCTAGTTAGATGGCCATGCTCCGTCAGATCAGCCGTGTCTGCTGCGATGAGCAGCCCGTACTTGCCGCCTTGGATCCACGCCTCGTCACGCCCCTTGTACAGGCTTATGTGCGCCAGCCCGCTGATGAAGAGGACGTATCTTTGCGTGCGGCCCGGTCAGTCCAGTCAGTCTGGCGCAAGACTGTGAGGAGCTTTGAAGCACGTACTGAAAGGCCGGAGCATGGTGGAATCCGCCGTCAAACCTGGCGGGAATCACGCTGTACGACCCATTCGCCAGCTCTCCCAGCGACAGCTGCAAGGAGCCCGAGATGCCGGCTTCTGTGGTCTGCTTGAACGGGTTTGCGAGCCTCCAGCATTCAAGCGTCGATTCGCCATGGGCGGCTGTGACGGCCGTGAGGTTGAGGAACGGCGTGGTGAGAGGGCTGAGCTGCGCCGCGGCAGGGAGGGCAAAACCGACCGTGATCAGGCGAGGAAGCAACATGTCAGCGCGAAGACCACGCACACGGTTCCGCGGGATGTAAAACCTTCAATCAATGCCGTGTTCATGTGCTGGTGCTCGAGGTGGGGGAGTCTCAAGCGCTCAGGCAGCGCCGTGAGCACTTTGTGTGCACTGTACACGATGCACTGTGGGCCAGAACGTGGCGTGATGCATTTCGTATTTTCAACGAGCTCCGATTCATCAGGCGAGCAAATTCCGTGCTGACGGTCGGCAGGTATAGAACATGAAGGCCTTCCAACCACGCTTTTACCGATGGAACTTGCCCGTCCCCCACCTGCCAGTCTACATATTCTGCAACAAGAGCGTCCAACGTCGCAGTACTACAAGCGTGAATAGTGTAGTGGTTAGCATGCATGCTTCCCAAGCATGCGACCCGGGTTCGAATCCCGGTTTACGCAACCCTTTTGCCCCTCATCATCGAGGTTAACCTTGCGCATTCTTTTTGATCTCTACGGATCCAGCCACTTTGCGTAACAAAATAGACGCTTTATTCTTTTGTAACAGCCGCCTTGCTCCGACGTGAGCGCCAATTCACTGAACAAGGTGTCCTCCAACCATCGCCTGGAGCGCCAGCATCCAGAGAATCGGCATCCCAGCAGCGACGCGCAGCGCAGTGGCTCAACCCATTTCACCAGATCGGGTGCCTGGCTACCGCGCAGCATACTGTAGTATTAGTGCATACCGGATAGCAGGCGGTCATATCATGCCACAGACGCTACAAAGATATAGGAACAACGAATAAGGCAGGTGTCCTATGATGTGTAAAACTTGACGCCGCTTGCAGAGATCATTGCCACGGGAGCGAGGGGCCAAGCATCGGTCTGGATCACTGTGACGTACGTCTCAAGCCGCAAACAGGCCTTTGTTATGAATACGGGTCGGTGGTCAAGAGTTTTTCTCTGTAGCGGTAAAGATACGCAGCAATTTACACACATACACACACACATGTATACATGTATATAGTTATATACAAACAGCCACGGGGCAGCCCAGGTCTCCATCCAACCCCCATAGGCTCGACACTTTGAAATGCTGCATCGAACGCCCAAGTTGTCTTCCCTTACTTACCTTTCACCTACTTGCTTTCTTCCCTTCTCGTCCAAGGCACACGGTGGAGGCGCTTAGAGGTGATTCGGGCGTGAAACGGCTGTCTTAAGAGGCCGTCGCTGATGGGATGGGAATAACACGAGCACAGACGGGTACGTGGAGCATTGCTTAGCAACCAGGTGCTATTGCATGAAATGTGTGCGCTCACATATGTGGCTTGGTTCTATGCCCAACAACACAGTCTCCACCACTTCGTTTCCACGCTTTGCTACCAGAGCCGCGTCTTGTACAAAACCCATCAGCTCCCTGCCATCTAATGAAGCCAGGCACTGCTAGAGGATCGTCTTCCCCTCTCATAGAGCCATTTGCTATTCAGCCCCACGCTAGTCCTCTTGCCTCCAGTGTGGCTAGGAGAAGCCGGGTCCGAAAACAAGTTTGCCGACGTACCCAAGCCAAACGGACTACCTGATCCAAAAGATGCCCGTCGGCTATTGCCTAGCTCACCGATGCTCTTTTGCAGGAGCGGACTGCCGACTGGGGAGTATTGGGAGCCGGAAGCCCCAAAAGAGCCCTGAATAAGCGGGCTTCCTCGTCCGGACAACGGCGAGCTGGCATAGCTTCCTCTGCTCCCAACAGATCCCGCAATCGAAGGCGTCCTTGAGTACCGTGGTGGAGTACTGAACTTGGCATCTGGCGTCGGGGGCGCCGAAGACGGCGGAAGACCCAGCAGCTTTCGCTGGCCGGCAGTCAAGGGGATGTCTGAGAGGTCGTCTTTTGCGCGCACAAGAGGTAGACAGGCAAGGCAGATCTGGATAAATGGGATGAATTGAAAGACGAGCCACGCCCAGCTCAGATACGTTCGGAATGTGCTGGAGACACTGAGACAGAAGTTAGCTCGTGATGCTACCCCATGGTGCTCGCATTGTTTGTTTACATATGGGGGTTCATCTTCATTCTCACAAGCAGACGGAGAGCCCACATGGCTAACAAGGCAACTATGTTGTAGGCTATGTGCCGAACATTTTTCTCGGAGAAACTTGTTGCACTCTGCCTTTGTGTGATCTCATTCAATCGCGGATGCCGCCATGTGCCGGGACTGTCAACGGCGGGCGATGCCTTTGTGGGTGTCGACGGAACAGGAGTCGACATTATGGCCGGAGTTTTTTTATGCTCGAAGATATGGTTCCAAATCCCAAAAGCCTGGATTGGAGGGCTCGTAAAGGGGAGACTTCTACAGCGTAGGCACCGTCAGCGTTGGGTTCGGTTGAAAGCACAAGCTTGCACAGTTCATGGCGTACCGGAGACGGCGTCGGAAAAAAAGTCAAGAGAAAAACAGATGCGCCAATTATTCTGAACTGGTCGTCTGCTGCTGGTTAGTTAGTAGATGCACGCGTGGCCACGGCGGCCGGAGAGCTTCTGCTCCAAGTCGTCGAGGTTAGATTATTTGTTGACTTTGGTCGAGTTGAGGCGACGAAAAGCAGCAGCGACCCGTCAACTACATGTGCAGGCAGCCGGGTGGATGCAGGGGTCAATTGGTCAATTGGTGCACGGGCCAAGTCCAGTGTAAGAAGGCGGATTGGACAGAATCAGCAAGGACTCCTAGAGAGTGGGTCCTGAGTCGTGAGTCCATGTCGTGACTTGACTTTGGACTTTGTCTCGGGACTTGGCCTGCGCAACCAACGGGGATCGACTTTTTCTCAAAGGTCAATGCAGCCGATTCTCGCCAGCCCTGGCCACGGCTTCCTCAAACCCGACATAACCATCATCCATCCATTTTTCGCGTCTCCATCGAGAACTCATCACAGCTGCGCTTTTCACTCCCTCATTCCGTAGCGCCACCCCTACCATGGTGATGAAGCGCATTTGATTCGCATCGCAACCCGCGACACCATCAGCTCTGTGCCCGCCATCTTACTGTTCGGTTCTGCACGAATCATCAATATGGCTGCATCGCCCAGCTCGGCCGCGGCCACGTCCGAAATCGAGCCTCCAAGCTCGCCTGCTGCTCAAGAAGCCAAGTCGTTTGTCTCGCGCGCAGCGAGCGACGATGAGGATACGCAGATGGCCGATGAGCCCACCGAGGTCCAGGAGAAGCCTGCCCGTGGCCGGGGAAGGGCTTCAGCAAAGGGCGGCGATGCACCCCATCAGATCGGCAAGATTCGACATTTGAAAAAGGAAGATGGTGAGCCTCTTTGGCGGGAAGATATTCAATACGACTTCCTCAAGGCCGTTTTCGACAACGAGCAAAAGGTTTTTACCAACTCGTACGATCACGACATAGGCAAGCAATGCTTTGCCGATCTCTACATCGATACTATGTCGCGAAGCAGCAAAACTAGCAAAGTCCTCAGGGACAAACTACTGAGTGATCGAGATGCAGCCAAGGGCATGGCCATGGTCTGCTTGCTGGTCAACGTCGGCCGCATGAACACGACGCTCAATTGTACGGGCGCCATGTCCCCCATCCAGATATACCAGGTTACACCACCAGTCGCATCATTCGAACATTTAGAACTAACCAGACAAACCTTTAGTTTTTCCCGAAATGAGAGCTCAGCTCCGAACATACCACGCGATTCCATCGTTGCAGGCACACCAGGACGCACACGCGTACAAACAGCTACAAGACGCCCCTCGTCTTAAATCTATCCTGAAGGGCGGTGCTGAGGACAGGGAGGAGCCCAACTCGTTGGAGAAGATCAAAAAGGCCAAAGTGCCTCGAACCAATCCTGTCAATCTCATCTTTTCCATGTGCCACGCGGCGCAAAAGGTTGCCGAACTACACTTTCCTGATTATCAAGAGTTCCACGATCTCATCATGAAGACCCAGTACAGCAGCAAGTCTCGTGCCTTGGCTTTCTTGTGGCTCATGTGGTTTTATCTAGAGTCTGATTTCACCGAGGAGGGCTGCGAGGAAAATCCGTTTGGCGCCGGTGTCGACTACGGCCTAGACGTTGCGAACCAGGGTGTCCCGGAACTCGTCGAGATGTCGGAGGATGAGCGAGCCAAGGAAAACGTAGACACGCCTGAGGAGGTGAATTTTGGACGCGAGAAGCAAAAGACGCGAGCCAAGATTCTTGAAATGGACCAAGCTTATCTGAACGAGAGAGAGACAAAACGCGGCAAACGGGCGACTTTAAATGACGAAGGTCCTGCTATCCTGCCGCGCATCCGTCCTTCTAAGCATGACTCGGACCGAGACAGCACAAGATCTACGCCTCCACCGCGACACGCGGGCAGAGGTGGTCGACGAGTGTTGGGTCTCAAGTACCAAATCTATGAGGGGTCGTCCCCAGCTCGCCACGGATCAGAAGGTGTCGGGTCACGGAAGCCTCGGCCGCCAACGGCGCATCAGCTTGCGGTGGAAAGAAACCGCAATGAGCGCGTCGAGTACATTCTCGACCGAGGCCTCCGAAAGCAACACCACAGAAGCCGCAAGGTTCGACGCCAGGAGGGAGCCGTATACCGAGCATACAGGCGGACCCAGGCCCAAGAAGACCCGTTCGAGGACAGTGATGGCGAGGACGCAACACCACGCAACATTTCCAGCAAGGAGAAGACTGCCGTGTTCCGCGAGAGGGGTTTAGGTGGGCTTGCTCTTCTCAGTGCCGAGGCCGATGACTACGGCGAAGAAGTGAGTGCCTACGCGGCCGCTTTGAGAAGATGTTCGCGACGTCTTTGTCGGTGGGCAGGACGTGAAACCGAGCTGGGCGTTATTGCACCAATCAAAGGCAAGAAAGCAACAGCAAAAGCCAATGGAAACAAGTCCGCTGGCGGCGACGGCGATACTCTGAACGAGTCTCCCATGAAGAATGGTGATGTGAACGGAGATATCACCATGGGTGATGCAGATATCGACGACCAGACTGCCTTGCTGGATGACGGGGAAGACGATGTAGACGACCCAGACAGGACCGAAGTCATGGGTGATTCTGACGTGGAGTAGTAACTGCTGGGTTGGGTCTTGATTCAAAATGTCACAGAGCAGGTCATGTATACCTAGGTTATACTTCTGATTTTTCCACGGATGCAATCAGATGGGAGTTGAAGGAAGTATTCGGAATAGTGTATTACAAAAGGATCGTTTATGCATACGACTTTTGTTTTTTGTTTTTTTTTCAAGTTGGGCTGGATCTTCTACACCCGGCGACAATTCTAAAAGAATAGGGAAAAGACGGCACCAGGAGAAACATATACATATTGTGTGATTTGCTTTTTGTTTAATAAGCGACATGTTCTAAATGTTTTACAACCAGGCTTAGGTAATTGCGCCTCGGCTCCCGCGGACAGCACGGGCGTCGGGCGCCCGGTGCCATGCAATCTCGCTTCCGTCTCGCAAGTCGTCCCAGCCGGAAGCTGACGTCTCCGAGACCAGGGAGCGGTGTGAGACGGCAAAACTCCTTGCCCCCAGTCCGTGATGTTTTCTATGTAACGCGCATCTATATATTGTCCGTCCGTGTTCCAATTACTCGAGCCCAATTAGTCACTCGTTTTCGTCCATCGCTGTCTTGTTCTTGGCCTCGAAAATGCCCAAATCAAAGCGCCCCTCCCGCGAGGGCACCAGCTCCCCCATGGGTCGATTACTAGGCATCCTGTGCATCTTAACGGCCCTCTTCGCATCACTGGTGTACCTCGCGGAGCAGAACCTGGGCAAGTTCTACATCTTCGACCTGGACGAATTACACGACTTGACCGAGAGGGGCCTCGCCAGGCACGGCAACGACACGCGCGCCGTGGTCAAGTACATCGTGGACGACCTGCACAGGGCGCACGGCGTACACGTCAACCTGCAAGAGGACTGGGTGTTTAACAATGCCGGCGGTGCCATGGGCGCCATGTACATCATCCACGCCAGTGAGTGCGACTGGTCCAGAGAGAAGGGAGTAGGTTACTGTTTTTGCTGACGCTGAGCAAGGTATTACGGAGTATCTCATTATCTTTGGTACGGCTTCTCCTTTCGAAAGGGGGAAAAAGGGGGGGGCGGGCAAACCAGGGTTGCGAGCTGACGTGGTGATGTAGGGACGGCGATTGGCACCGAGGGCCACACGGGGCGACACACAGCAGACGACTACTTTCACATCTTGACGGGCGAGCAGTGGGCGTACGTGCCAGGCGAGTATGAGCCCGAGGTGTATCCCCCCGGGAGCGTGCACCACCTGCGCCGCGGGGAGGTGAAGCAGTACCGGATGCCGGATAAGTGCTTTGCGCTCGAGTACGCACGGGGATGGATCCCGCCCATGCTGTTTTTTGGCTTTGCCGACGGCTTGTTCAGCACCTTGGACTATCCGACGTTGTGGAAGACGACGCATTTGACGGCTCGGCAGATGGTCGGCAACTTGCTCCGGGGCAAATTCTAGGCTCGGCGTGTGTATATGTGTGTAGATTTGGCTGGCGAAAGAAAGCGGACTTGTTGATGGAAGCGCGTGCTGGAGTACTCGGCCAAGTCTCACCTAAGCTGTGCAAAATTTGAGACGCTATGCGGCAACACAATAGCCAATTTATTGTCCGGTGGGCCATTTCCAGAGTCCGTTTATTCAATTTGCGCCTCAAGCACCAAGCCTCAAGCAACCCGATAACAAGGGAACTTGCTGTAATAAGTCACTACGAACGACCGTTCCGCTCGACTCAAAGTTGCCGGCCAAGTCTTCTGTACGATAAAGTGAGTGTGGCTGACTGGGAGGAGACAGGAAGATAAAACTGCACGGAGTACTCGGTATGCCATGGTCCAGAAATGGTTGTTGAATATTGACGCGGTAGCGCTTGTTGAAATTGCTACCACTCCGTCCGGAACAAGCTATGCAGGCTCTTCTTCCATCCGGCGCCGTCTTTTTTCACGGGACGAAGCATCATCCAGTTGATATTGACCAACCCGAGACCGTGAAGACGCCAAGTTGGAGACGCAGGTGACAAGAGCACCGGGCATGGCTGGCAGGTCCTATCATACCTCCGTGGCACAGAACCAATCCACGCGATATACAGTAAGAAAGGAAGAAGGAGGACCAGAGAGAGAAGAGCACCTAGGTGAAGGGAAATTACAGGCGGGAGGGAAGCCAAGGTCAGGTGCCGAAGAGGAGTAAAGATAGCCGGCGCCATGAAACTGCGGCGCAGCAAAGGCCCAACACCCAGCAGTGGCCGCGTCGAGCTCCATATATTGGGACCTCCGATGGCGATAAGCTCACCCCAGTGGACGCACTCGAATGCCCAACGCCAAGGGCCCTCAACAATCCTTGCCCCATGGGCCCCAGATGTTGACATTCCAAAAAGAGCCATGTGTGTAAGATGGGGGGCGTTGGAGCCCTCCTGGCCAAGAGACGCATGACACGTCCCCCCATCTCGTCTTCTTCCTCCACGTTCTGACGGCTTTCTTCTTTCCTTTTCCGCCACTTCGAGCCCACCCAAAGTAACCCAGAGTGCCCAAAGGACACCGAGTCATTCTGCCATTGCTACTCAAGAGGAGAGGACATGTAAGCCGTTCGGAGAGGGGGGGAACCAAAACTGGTCTCGCAGTCCATGATGCCCACCGGCGAGGAACTGGCCCTTTTGCGCCGGGTCCCCACCCACATCCCGCTCAAACTCTTCACAATCGCCCCTGTCGAGCTCTGTGAGCGCTTCTCGTACCATGGCTCCACGGTCGTGTGTAAGTACATGATGCCGCGAGAGTTGCCATGTCCATTCTACACCGGCACCCCGTGATTCCAGCTGGGGGAGCAGCGGCTGTCTACGCGGACGCCCAGGAGCGGCGAGCGCGTCATCGCCGACCCGGCCGTGACGACGGAGCGCATCCACAACCGGTTCTACTTCTTCATCGACGTTGGCGCGCTCCTGTGCCAGCTGACCGTGGTGCACGCCGAGAACTACGTCGGCTTCTGGCTGTCGTCGACGCTGCCGACGGTGATGCTGGGCCTCTGCCCGGTCGTCATGTGGTGGGGCCGCCGGCGCTACCTCCGCCGCGAGCCGGCCGGGTCGGGTCGGTGCTCGTCCCGGCCCCGCGCACCTTCCTCCTCGCCCACCGCGGCCGCTGGTCTGCCAACCCCGTGCGCACCCTCCTCGTCTCTCCCCCTCTCCCTCTGCCTCCCCGCTACCCTCGTCCCGCCCAGACCGGCTCCTACGTGCTCGTCGCCCTCGCCGAGGTCTTCGCCTCCATCACGTCCCTCGGGTACGCCTACTCCAGGGCGCCGCGCAACATGCGCTCCATGGTGCAGGCCGTCGCCCTCTTCATGACCGCCTTCGCCGCCGCCATCGGCCAGGCCCTCGTCGGCCTCGCCTCCGACCCCCTGCTCGTCTGGGACTACGCCGTCGTCGCCATCCTCGCCTTTGTCGCCGGCGCCTGCTTCTTCCTCCAGTTCCGCGGCCTCGACGTCTGCGAGGACAAGCTCAACGACTTGCCCGAGGGGCAGATGGCCCGGGGCGAGCGATCCAAGCACCGCGATGGCACGACGAGACGTGGCGTTCCTCGCTGGCCGTTTGACAAACACTCATCCCGGGCCGCGGAACCCCCTCTGCCCCAACCCCGGCGCTTCGTGGCAGCTACCTACGTACGCAAGCCAACCACAACCTCGGTGTGTTGGCAAAGCTGCACGTGCAGCGCGGATCCCGTCACGCCATTCACAATGCACATAAACCTGCATAGGACAGTGTTTTATTCCTCCCGTATGCAACATCCGCCAGGGACACTAGTTATATAGCACGGCGCCCCTACGTGGACAATGCTCCGTGCTCCAGTTGCAATAAATGCCCGCCATCAATGGTACATAGATCCAATGTCGGCCACGATCAATGCCCTTTTTTTCTTTTTTTTTTTTGTGCATTTTTCTCCGATACCAGATGGGGGGGAAAGGGTGTCTGGACCATCACACGTTTCATGGCTTCATCCAGGGGATCCTGTACCCTTTTTTTTTGGTCCTACTTGGGACAAGTTCATTTCGCCGTTTTAAGGGTCAAAAAATCAATGCCCATCCCCGCCTCCTGCGCCACTCAAACGCCCCAAGAAAGCTTCATATATGTGTCGTGAAAAAAAAAAAATATGCGTACGGTTCGTGACATGCAAAAACATGAGGGAAATTGGGGGTCCGTGCGTGCTCCATCCAACTACATGGTACTCCTTTGCGTAAATAGCCAAGTCGGCGCTACTATGCCAACCATTGTTCTTCGTCTCGCTTCAGGCCTCTCATGACGAGGCCTTCGTCTTCGTCGTCCGAACCGTCATCCTCGTTCTCGTCGTGGAGCCTCAACTGTTCCACGGATGTTGTTGTGGCGTTGAGCTTATCGTCGGCGGCGGCCCTCTGCTCGATTTCGTCCTCGTCCAGCATCCACGTGAGTCCGTTGGCCTCCTCTTCGAGAGGGAACATTTCTCGCGCGTACTCCTCCAGTCCTCGGGGCCCTTCCCAGAGCTCAAGGGCTTCTGTGGGGCAGCTGATCTCGAGTTTCATGTCCCCAAAATAAGGGGCTTGCCTTTTCGGGTCCTGCTCACCGAGCTTGAACAGCTTCTCCAGTGCCTCCAGTTGTTCTCGGTAGCCGGTGGGTATCTGAACCTTGACCTCAATGGGCCCGCGGACGTAGTGCACGGGACGACCGACGCCTCTTGCAAACAGCCTGCAGGCTTCTTTGGGCGTCAGATATTCATAGGCCAGGGCAATCCTCTCGCCCTTCCATTTCGAGACTCCATCCTTGAACAGCTGTACGATTGCCGGCCCAACGTCATGTTCCGCGTCCAGCCAAGGGAGCTTGGCGTCCTCGTGAAAGGGTGCTTGCCAGATGAAAGACCCGTCTTCTTGGAGTTCCATGCAAAACAACGGATACGGCAACGACGTGAAGTTGTTGTTATAAATGCCCGTGTAAACAAAGGTCGCAGGGAGGTCCAGCTTTCGAACATACTCCTCCACCTCATGCTTTGCCGCCCAAAGTGGCAAAGAAGGCCAGTCCTTGTTATAGGCCTTGTGGTCAGGCATTGACGAGTAGATGTAGTGCTGGACACCCGCGTCCTTCGCTGCGTCGGCCAGCGCCATACCGATTTGGACTTCGTCGCCGTAAAAGGTGGTGTTTATGAAGGCCAGTTGTGCGCCACGAAAGAGATTTGTTATCAGGTCATGGTTGACACCGACACCGGCAATCGGACCATTTTGCGTGACATCCTTGTTTTCATTCGTAGGATTGTGTCTAGTATACAGCTCACCCACAAATACCGTCACGTTTGGGTTTGTCGAGACCTCGGTTGCAACAACTCCCTCAAGATTTCTCAGCTGTGCTCGAACGCGATATCCGACGGCTGTAGCGACACGGATCAGGGACGCAGCCTGGCGGCCGCTTGCGTTGGTAATAGCGATGGTCTTGTCTGGAGTTGACATGTGTCGCTTCGGCGGGCGGAAAGTCAACGAGTTGTTTCTAGAGTTGGCCAGGGGAGACGACTCTGAGTAGGATGATCGTGAGTGTTTGTGGTGCTTGCGGTAGTTGTTACTCTGGTCGCCACCGACATGAATCGGGATGCTGGCTGGCATAGGGCCGGTAATTTGGGCTGGCATGGTTCAATCCCTGTCGAGCTCGGCGTGCTGGCTGGGGGTGGAATAGCGCAACGAACGGTGACAAGGGGATCGGCGTAGGGCAGAAGGCTTCCTTTTCCGCAGCATGCAAGAGGCGAGGCCACCGTGGTCTCGCACACGACGGCCCGCCTGGGAAATGGAGACGGGTGTGTCCTGGATGCTTGACCGGTCGGTATTCACAGGAACTGGAGGAGAAGAGTAGAAGGGACAGAGGGTTCCGGGCGGGCCTGTATTGTGAACGGCGAGGGGTTGAATGAAAGCCTGTACGTAAAGTACAAGTCCCGACGGGCCGACTACGGGGCAAAGACAGGAACTGCTAGACGATGCAGGCCGAGTCGCGACGGGCGCACAACAGTATGTCTGAGCGGGGTGGTCAATGATTGGTAACAGAATTTGGAATTGGCGAAAAGATCGTGAGGTCAGCTGGATGAGGTGCGGTCGCGGAGGTGTTGGCAGAGACGTGTTGGCGGAGGTGTCGCTGGTTTTGGCGAGCAAAGGCTAGAGTCGGGATAGGCTACGGAACCGCCCTTGTCCTTGACTCGGAATGTGGTTGTCTCGCGCGCAAGCAGACCAGTTGACGTTGACGCTTTCGATGTGGTTGACTGAGGTGGGCACTCTGGGCCGACAATGATGGAGCACAGCCCAGCACAGCACAGCACGCAGCCGTGCAGGACCGTAGTGTCGCCGCTGTCTGACAAGCGTGGTAACGCTGTGAAGGCGGGCGAGCTGGGCGAGCTGCTCAACTTTGCAACTTGGGCGTGTTGAAGGCAAAGAGGCGCAGACGGTGCGCGTGACGATGCTGACCACGGATGTTGACAAGTTTGGATCCAGGCTGCCTCCTCGTGTCCACCGTCGCTGTTGACAAGAAAGATACCTGATAACCAGGGCCGAAGACGAGATCGGATGGTGGGGTTCCGGGCAAGAGCAGCGATAAGGGCTCCTTCCGCGAACGACAACGCGAGTGGCGTGTACTTCGGTACTCGGCGAAGCACTGGCCAAGTAAGCTGCCCAGGTACCTTAAGTAGGTACGTGAGCAGTTTGTCGATGGAATGAAAAACCAGCGTGTCAGCGCCGTGTCGTGAGTTTCAGTGCTGCTATTGATGGTTATGCAGGACGACACGGAGTACGAAAGAGTGACGACGCCGAGCACCACGACAACAGATTCAGAGGGCGCCTCGATGCAGGTGTGTGTATATCTGCTTTTTTTAATGCTGGATTGACAAGGACAGTCCGGGGCCGAGGCGCAGGGTGGAAAACACTTAGCCTTGGAAGAAGTGACGATGGGAAAGAGCAGGCATGACCCGGGTGGATCTGCTGCTCCTGCCTCCACACTGCACAGCAGGTTTGGGACTTCGACGCGGCACTGGGACCTTTTGGTTTCAAAGCCACGTTCCAGATGCCATGTCGGCGTCTCTTTATTGTTGACTGCTTATTCCATACTTTCGTACGGATGTATCTACTCCTATTAGGTGCCGATCCAGGTACCTCGCACCTCGAGGTAATTTTATGGTTTCTGATTGCTTGCAAGCTCCGCTCTGCTAGGAAATTGGCTCCGACTCGACACTCGACGCTCGACGGCCGACGATCCCTAGCAACATTGACAGAACCACGCAGGTACCCTCACCGCTGCGGACACAAAGCGCACGGACTGCGTAGCGCCAGGGTACTCCATGTCGCTTTCGAACCTGCGTCGCGGTCAGGCATTTCATCCACACAAGAGATAACAGCCAACAAGCTTGTCTAGTCAGTGACAATGGCTGACAAGCCTGATGGAGGGTTAGATGCTTATGAGTGGGTGTCAGCTCCCATTGGACACTTTGGTGAAAATTACCCCCGTACATGTGTTTGCCATCAAATAGCAGACGATGACTGCTAATAACTGACTTGCGAACCTAAGGCATTTCAGGACATTGCCCCGTCAAGTAAACAGCGGACCTCGCATGAATTTAAAAAAAGAAAGGAGAGGAAAGAAGTTCCCAAAATGGCGGCCTTTTGACCAAGGACCATGGGTCGAGGCTCTGGCCGAAAACTTGACAACGTCTCTCGCCACTATCTCTACGTGGCGTTCACGGTCGTCCAGGCGGGTTATTTATCAGAAGACCTGTTGTGAGGGCGGCGTCTCAAGCGTCCGTCCTAGACTTTGGCATCGTTCTGCAAAGTCTGGGGCTGTCCAGTCTCCCAATGATCAGCCAGTCGCCGTGCTTTCTTTGGCCATCATGCAATGGCTATGGCTGGTTGGGTAATGTCATTCCAGCGCATCTCCTGGCTGTTAAATGGCCAGTTGGACTCGGCAAACAAGCAACGAAGTTGTCTGGTTGCTTTGCTGGCGTGGTGCTACTGACGCCGTAACGTAAAGACGGGCTGCGTGGTTGCCGCGTTGACGTTAGGGTAAAAGTTTTCTGCCCTCTCTCCAGTTAAAATTCTTTGCGCTGACTGGATTTCTCATGTGGTTAGAAAAAGGTTGGCCTGAATGGGGCCCGCCTGACTCTCGAGTCTCAATCGAGTCGAGGGCGTCAAATGTCAAATGGTCACATGGGGCAGCGCTGGCAGGGATAGCTGGACGATTCGATCCGCCCTCGCTGTCCATAATTATGTTGTCAACTGCTTTGTTCGCGGCTAATCGAGATTCGACAATGCAGTTTTCGGTCCGCCCGTCTGACGCAAACATGACTGCGTCGGATGGCTCAACCCACCACCTTTCTCTGGCGAGGCCTTGCCCATCAGACACACCGACAAATAATCATCTCGTCCTGCGACACCACCACGACGCGGCCCTGCACCAGTCGGGCAAAGGCAGCATTGTGCGACTAATATCAATCCTGCCGCTTTTGGTAGATGAGCTCTCCCGTGCAAACTACGGCATGCAGCTCTTTGTCGCATGCAGGAGAATACAAGGGGCACTCGCATCGCCTGGTTGCCACCAATTTTAGACATGCGGGGGAAACGTAGACACCCGGGCAGCAGAACACCCACGTCGTGCGCATCAAGCATCTCGGCAGGAACTACACCAGCAAGGTCAACAGTGAGTTTCATCGCCGAGAAGCAATTTTCTAGCGTTGAACCTTTTGACATTAATCCAACTACTAGTCCCAGCCTTCCGGCGTCTTCTCCCCTTCTCCCCGTCTGACGCATGGGCGATTGTCAGATCCTGCTTATCTCTGCCCACTCACGATCCCACTTTTGAATCACCTAGGGGGTCACTGGTGGGTTCATGTTGCCTCCCAGGTAATTATGGATCTGTCGCCGCCCCAGCAGAGTCGATTTATTAAAAAAAAAAAAAAAGAAGGAAAAAAGAAAAAGCTAGTACTACTATCAATTTGGTTTCCCCCCGTCGAGGCGGACGGGGTCTGGTATCGACTATCTCCTGTCGCCAGGTAGCCTTCCCAACACCAAACGCCAAACCACGCAGGTTCGTACACTAAATGCCTGAAACAAAATATACTTATGTGCACAATATACCTAGGGCTAGAGATTTGAGCACCTGTCGTATAAAGCAATTGAAGAATGGAACATGCGGGGGCATGGACGAAGCCAAATGTGGCAAGATGGTATCAACATTGTCTGTATGCTTCCCCCAGATGGCTGGCTTCATAATACATAATACCCCAGCAAGCCCAGTTTTGTCCCAGAGGCAGCTTCTCAACCGGCCACCCAACCAATTCCGAGCCGCGTGTTGGGAATACACGCCTCCTCTGCCGCACTCAGATCCTCATCCGGTGGTTCCCCGAGTTTATTCAACATGTATTTGACGTCTTCCTTCAGTTCGGCCGGGTTGTCGGAAACCTCTGTCCATATCATATGCCACCGTTTCAACTGCCTGTTAGCTCCTCTTTTCCCGGCTTCTTCCCGCCAAAGTCGAAGCTCTATCCGTCAGCGTAACTCTATTCTGTATCAGCATTCTGTATCAGCAAACGTACAATCATAGGAGCGAGTAAGTATCTAGGTAGTTAGGAACAGCCAGGGTCGTCAAAAAACCCCAACGTGGATCCCAAGCACGCCGCGCCGGCTTCAAGTCCCGCCATATAGCATGTTGATTTTCAAGTAGCGACAGCGCAGCGTCGATGCCCTGCTAGAAGAATTATTGTGGCCTCTGTTGGCTATGAGTCTGCGGGACGTCGGCCATGCAGAACGCAGCGGCTCTTGTTATGGATTGCAGCCAGGCCCAAGCGCTGGACCAAGGTGACGGGTGCGTCGCCCACACACTCATCTGCGGAAGGCCATGAGAAGCCCGGCAGAGCGCCCCATGCATCCTGCAGAGCAGCGTCTAGCCGCAGCACGTCGGTATATTCGGCCCAAGTCTCTTGGGGTATTGGTTTGGAGGTTGTGGTAGGTCACGTGTGTGTGTGATCGGCGGCTGTTCTCTCTGGGGACAGCGATGTAGAGTCTTGGTCAAAGTCCTCGTCCCGGGGCTTACGGTAGACGGCATCTCGGGCGATACGTGTCCGTCTTGGTGCCCAGCAGCAAGCATCCTTGGCAGGCCAGGTGGGAAGGGACAATGAGCTCAATCTGCGCTGCCATGCCGCCTTCGCAGGGAGCTATGCTGGTCAGCTCGGGAGGATGGCGGTGGAGTGCCATTTTCAAGGGGCCCAGGCGATGCACACGTCCGATAGGATGTAGCACTTCTTTGGGCCGCGCAGTTGGGATGACGTGGGATTCGACGTAGAGCAAAATCGCGGGCAGGGTCGTGCACTTGGCTTGCGCGTACGTACTTGCCCCAGATGAGGGCCCAGCTGACGCAGAGCGGCAGTGCTTGATACGAGCGAGGACGGAGCTGGGGAAAGCCGGCCGTGAATCCGTGAGACGCGGCGAAACTGTTGAACGAGACACTTATGGCGAGCATCACAAAGAGTTGGGCGAGCTCGTGGAAGGACACGTCGTTGGGGCGTGCCACAAACGGCTGTACTGAGATTGTTCGTGTGAGGCGAGGTGAGATAGGATGCGATGGCGGGCATAGATGTTGACGAGAATGGAGGTGTTTTGTCAGTCTTGTCATGTAGGGCGATGGACAATATCTGCTTCTGCGTGAGACGTTGATGGAATTTGGGACGAGCCAGCCCACGCCGAGCAGGACTCATACATGAGAAGCATAGTTTCTCATAATCAGCATTTCTGCAACATGCCTTGGGCAGCTGGGCGACAGGTTCCTCCCTACATCTCGGTGAACTCCTCGGACACAGCATGAAGCGACTCAAGTTTATCCGTTAGCGAGGCCGCTTCCTTACATCCCTCTGCATCATCAAAATACGACTTGAAGCCCCGGCCATGTACAGATCTATTAGCAGCTCATTCAGCGCCACGACGCGGGCACATGGACAACTTTACTTACATCCTCGGGCATTGCCATGCAGACTCGCTAGGTGGGAGGGAGGCTTGGGCATAAGGGCGTGATACCATGCCTGGTACGTAAAGGGGGGAGAATAGCCTTAGCACTCAGCTGAAATCTCGGAGCATCTGAAGTGGTGAAGTGAGAATGAGATATTCGCGGTGATCCATGTTGCATGGTTGCCGTACATGCAATTCGAGTCCACTTGTGTCGGATTTGACAAAAGCTCAACTCCAGCGGCATCCACACACAACGGTTGCATCACAACACAGTCAACACTGCCGCACAGAGCAAACACACAAGACGCCGGGGTTCATGGTGAAGGATTTTGTCATTACGTCCCTGCCGCACAGATTACTCCGGCGCCCCCGGCAACCTCTCAATCACATACTTGCCCCTGGCCACGCTACATATCGGGACACCGGGAATCCTCCTGAGTTTCCTTTTCAATATTCGGTCGTTCGTGCCCACAATGTATATCCTATTCTTCGTCACCCTGTCGACCAGGCAGTCGTCCGCATAGGTGCCCTTGTGGTCGCACTCGAGTCGCTGCCACCGCTCGTCTCTCGCGACGCGCAGTGCCAGCCGATACTTCGGGCCCAGCTTCTCCAGCTCCGCCATGACGCACGACGTAATGATGGGGTTGCACTTGGCGTACAGGCAGTCCATCAGGGACTCCAGCAGCGACAGCTTCCGCTGCACCGTATGGTTGAGAAAGTTGGTGTCGACGAGGACGTTGTACGGCGGCACGAGCGCCGTGTTGTGCTGGAAGAACATGTTGCTCGGCACCTGCGGCGCCTCCCGGATCAATTCGCCATTGACCGTTCTCTTCTCCTTGGCCTTGGCATCTTCGGCTTTTTGCTGGTTTGCCTTGAGCCGTGCGTCGCGCAGCCCTATTACTCGCTTGACCTGGGGCACATTGCCGCCTTGTTAGCAAACTGGCTCCTTGAGATTGTTCTTTGCCTTATCGATAAGGACTGACTTGGCCGAATTTTCTGGTTTTCTTGGCGACGCCCATGGTGGCGGTCTTGAGGAATGCGCTTCTTCTGTCTCTTGCTAAGCTGAATTTTGTGCGGAAGTTTGGCGCAAGACTTGTGTCTTTACGGCGAGTTGCGCCGTCCGTTTGGCCTTCTTTTTTGGAAGGGGGGGGAGGTTCTTTGGCAAAATTATCGTCTCATCGACATTGTCGGGTTGTTCTTTTTGATTTTGCCGCCAGTCTAAAGGCGGTGGGCAATGTAAATGACGCACGGACCACATTCCCATCAACGCACCACCAGAAACGCGTCTTCCCAAGTCGCGTAAATTGATTGTTCCGTCAAACCGATCACATCCATCGTCGCCGTAGCCATGCCCGCCGCCAGAACCGAGGAAAAGGGCGAATCTTCGACGGCTGCCTTGAAGGCGGCCCTGGCCTCGTCTTCAAACTCATCTCCAAACTACGAACTGCCATGGTACTTTGCCCTCGTTGCCTGCCAAGCTTGCGGCCACTGACAATGCAATCTATAGGGTGGAAAAGTACCGCCCTGTCTTCCTGGACGATGTGGTGGGCAACACGGAAACAATTGAGAGGCTGAAGATAATAGCCAAGGAGGGCAATATGCCCCATGTTATCATTTCAGGAATGCCCGGCATTGGAAAGACGACAAGTGTGCTGTGTCTGGCCAGACAGTTACTGGGAGAGTCGTATAAGGAAGCTGTTCTGGAGCTGAATGCAAGTGACGAGAGAGGTATGTGGCCGAATGTCTTGAAATCAGGGCTTTTTTCTTCAGTGCTGACCAGGGCGTCAAGGCATCGACGTCGTACGCAATCGAATCAAGGGCTTCGCTCAAAAAAAAGTCACACTGCCGCCCGGCAGACACAAGCTCGTCATTCTCGACGAAGCAGACAGCATGACTTCGGGCGCGCAGCAGGCTCTTCGCCGAACCATGGAGATCTACTCCAACACGACGCGTTTCGCCTTTGCGTGCAACCAGTCCAACAAGATTATCGAGCCGCTGCAGTCGCGATGCGCCATCCTCCGATACGCAAAGCTGTCGGACGCCCAGGTTGTCAAGAGATTACTGCAAATCATTGAAGCCGAAAAGGTGGAATACAGCGATGACGGCCTTGCCGCTCTTGTTTTCAGCGCAGAAGGAGATATGCGGCAGGCCATCAATAATCTGCAATCAACCTTTGCCGGTTTCGGCTTCGTTTCTGGAGACAATGTGTTCAAGGTCGTCGACTCGCCCCACCCCATCAAGGTGCAGGCTATGCTGAAGGCGTGCTACGAGGGCAACGTGGATTCTGCGCTGGACACTTTGAAGGAGCTCTGGGACCTGGGCTACTCCAGTCATGATATCATCAGCACCATGTTCAAGGTCACCAAGACGATTCCAACGCTGAGTGAGCATTCAAAGCTGGAGTTTATCAAGGAGATTGGCTTCACCCACATGAAAATTTTGGAAGGCGTCCAAACGTTGCTGCAACTGAGTGGCTGCGTTGCGCGGCTGTGCAAGATCAACATGGATCCCAAGAGATTCCAAGTAACTGCAAAATAGACGAGCGTGGATTCTTTGCAAGGCTGCATGCGTAGGCGTTGGAGTTGGATCGGTTTCTATGAATTGAGCTACGTTGACGGGTGGCCTCGAAAAGCATTTAATTCATGGGGTATTTTTGGCCAAGGGGGGCATCTCTATGACATGAGATTTGCTGTTGGTAGCACAAAAAGCACTATCAAAGACTCAGAAGCATCATGCTTTACGTGGCATATTCCACTCCAAACCCAAATCCCAAATCCATATCACTTCTCGCCCTCATTCTTTCCAAATTCCTCCTCGTATCGCTGCCACTTTGCCTTCTCCCTCATCCATCTTCTCTGCATGCGCATCTGGTATTCGTATTGTCTCAGGCGCCAGTCGGCTTCGATCATGCCTCCCAGCACCATGCCAGACATTTGGAGGTATCTGCGGGCGGGCTGCTGTAAGCTTCAGGACCGAGGTCGTGGCAGGCGGGTGCTTTATGCCCTTACACTTTGAACTGGACTGTTGTTCCGCGGTAAATGGGCGACCAGACGTAGCCGATGGCGCCAAGAACAGCGGCGCCTGCTCCCCATTTCGCGGCGCCCACGAGAGCGCCTTTCCCGGCCTCCCATGCGGCGTCGTTGGCCTCTTCTGTTTTCAACGGATCGTGGGTTTTCATGGTTGTGGACCGTGGTTAAGAATCAACTACGTCACAGACTCAACCCCAATTGCGGTTGGGAATCTGCGTCCCCGGACCAGATCGCAATATGGCGTGAATATTACAATTAAAATGTCCTACACTGGTCAATGAAGAAGAATCGCATCATGTTTCATCTAGGAGTGCGTATGGATGATGCCTCGTTCAGAAACGGACGGCTGAGTTTCTACCGCCAAGCTTAGGGTAGCTGCGATGCCGTGCTGAAGCCAAGGTCCCCACCACGCCCCGCTAGACGCACTAAAAAAACGCTTATTGGCATAGCGGAGGCTGGTGGGCATCTATGCAAGCTGGCAACAAAATTTCGCTTCGCCTTGTTCCTCTCGTCTTTTCTACTCCGTACCGTCTTCTGCGAGATGTTGCAACGAGGCGAACTCGTCATGACCACGCTGGTGCTTGCTGCCTAGCCTCCTTTGCGGGAACTGTTTATCCGCGCCAAAGTCTGATTCGATTTGCTGCGGGTTTTTGCATTTTGTGATTTTCCTTGCTGCATCTGTTGCGACGCAGCGTATACCATCACGTTTGCCTTTGCTGATGCAACACTCTCCCCATTACCATGGATCTGGCCCTGGAGAATTACTGGCGGCTACCGCCAATGTCCAGGTAAGGACCAAGTTGCCCTGGCTGCCGAAAATACTTTGATTTTGATTTTGCTAACGTCTCTCGCCCTCAGAAACATTGCGACCTTTGCTTTCGTCATGTCTCTTGGCATTGTGTTGGGCATGGTGCCATCCCAGTACTTCATCTACCACCCGTTCTTCATACTTAGGTTTCCGCCCCAAATATGGCGTCTTGCGACGTCTTTTTTTATCACGGGCTCAGGCCTAGGCCTCGTGTTTGACACGTATTTTTTGTATTCGTACCTCAGCCAGATGGAAGTTGGCAACCCTCGATTCCCACGAAAGGAAGACCTGATTTGGTACCTCGTTTTCGTGTGTGGGGTGATTTTGGTAAGCTCCCATGTCCAAGTTTTGCAGTTTTGTGGGATTTCCCGTCCATCGTGTATCTTTTTTGGCAACATTCAGCTTGCAACGACACACAACACCTCATATATCTGCCCGGACAGTGTTATGCCTCTACTACTGTCACGGTTCCTGGAAATGAGGAAGAGTACCCCTGCGCTTCGGTTCAGTCCATCATTCGCAAAATCCGGACTGGGCTGCGGTGTAGGTATGGTGGGATGTCTTATGGATGGCTCGTGCGATTCCCAGTTCACTCGAGTGGTTTTAATTTGCTCCCTACATTTCATTCCCCCTTCTTCTAGCTTTGTGTCTGCTTGGTGTTTGTTTTCTTTTCGTATGTTGGCGTAGACGAAGGAATTGGAGCTGACTCCCAGCTTCAGGTAGCGAATCACCTTGTCGGCTTCGGGTTCATGATGTTCCTGCCGGCTCTTATTTTAGCTCTGAGCTATACCGTGACGCAGGACCAACGCGGCGCCAAGGTCAGCTACATGTTTGTTACCATGCCCGCCCAGATGATGCCGTACGCCATGCTTGCCATCAACCTCCTCTTTCCTGGGGGCGTTGAAAACATGATTCTTCAGTTCCACGGCCTGTTTGCTGGCCATCTCTTTGACTTTCTATCAAGAACGTGGCCCCAATACGGCGGCGGGAGAAACCTGATAGCCACTCCGGCAATCTTTTCCAGGATTGTGCAGTCGACCGAGGCATTGTTCCAAAGAGGCATTGGAGGTCCTGCCCGCCCTGCGGGCAGAACGCTTGGCAGAGGTACTGGCGCTCATACATCATCAGGTGGGCCATTACCGGACTCTTGGCGAACACGAGGTCCGGGGCAGCGACTGGGGTAAACGATGGCATTCCCAGTGCATAGGCTCAATTTACATATAAAGAAAATCCTTGACTTGGCATAAAGAGGTGCTGTATTGTCCCTGTGGTGTATCGCCCGTAACTCCTGGCCGATACCCGTGGCTGCATTACATGATGGCGGGGAAGCCTATCCCGAAACCGTGAACACCATGATGAAAATCCGAAATATCATCTTTAGACAACCAACGCGCCAAATGGCACCGCCAAAAAGCAAAAAAAGTCGTCGCCGTGTCTCTTGCCGCGCCGGAACGTACTACGACGCCCTTCCTACGATGCCTGACGCTGCTCGCTGCTCAGTAGCCGTACAAGGTGCTCTTGCCACTTAAAGGAACCTCCACGTAGCTATCTCGCCTGCCAGCGTTGACCAACGAGGGCGGCGCTGGGTCTCTCGACACGGCCGTCGGCCCAGTCATGGGTATATCGTGAAATCTCGGATCGTTTGTCATCAGCGGAGGCGAGATTTGCATCTCGCGCACGCCCTTGGATCCCCTCCTGCTGGCAAATATCTTGGGTATTCGAAGCCTGGGCATATGCGGCAAGTAAGGGGCTGAGAGGGCCGAGACTCTCTTGCCCCGGGAATCCGCGGCGCAGCTGGTAGGATGGAGGGGTTTTCGGGCCGCCAACCGGGCGGAATCCTCGGCGGCATCGAGATAGGCCTGCAATGCAAACGAGTCTGGTGTGTTTGGCCTGCGGTGGGCGTGGGTGTCTGCCGGCGGCGAGGGCGTCCGTGTAGGTGTGGCGTTGCGGAATGAGCGGGGGCGGCAGACGTTGCCGGCGGCTGAGGTGTCGTGGCTCTGGATGGTAGGGCTGGATGGGACGTGGCTGCGCGGTGCCGGGTTGACTCGCTTCTTTTGGCTTGCGGCGGCGAGCTCTGCTTCCACGCGGTCGTAGTGTTCGCCGCTCGAGTTGGGCTGCGGCGGGCGCGTCTTCTCGCTGAAGGCGTTGCCGGTGTAGTAGCGGCGGTAGGCCTGCGACACGGACTGTTCTGGGTGGGCGGCTGGAGGGGGGAACTTGGAGTAGTAGCAGGTCTGTTCCCATTCATCCCAGGAGCGTTCGCGGCGGAAGTGAACTATGAGGAGGGCGACGGCGAGGATGAATATGAGGAACACGCCTATGGCGATGCCAGCGATGGCACTGGGGGGGAGGCCGCCACTGGATTGGATCCCTTGGGCGTTGGCGGAAAGGTCCGTGATGTTGACGGGGGAGGTGGCGAAGACGCTTCCGCTGAGACAGAGAAGCGTGCCATCCTCGGGAGCTTGTTTGCAGCCCGCCTGAAGCGCAATTAGGACTGTATGTGCCGTTAGACTTTTTTTTTTTTTGGAAAATGGTAGAGGAAGAAGGCATTGGTAAACCAGTCTTACAGTTGGAGAGATAAACCTGGCCCTCGGTGGCCTGGAGACAGCTTATACATGGCGAGAGGTTGGGTCCCATGAAGGCACCGTTGTTCGCTGTGCAATAGTCCCATGTGGTGTCTGGGGTTCCGTTGAAGCCTGGCTCGATCAAAGGCTCCTTCATGGCCTTGCAGGCCTTGTCTGTATTGCATTGCGTTGCCACGGTTCCGTTCTTGGCCGTCTTGGGGGCGCCGTACATGCACGTGGTCAAGGTATATCGCAAGTTATCTGCCACTTGTTGTCAGTCTTTGACGGCGCAAGACGGCCTGAGGGCCACAAAGTCCTTTGACCGTACATATGTACCACCTCAGGTCCGACTCGGTCTTTTCAACTTTGTTGCTGTGCTGTAAGCAGTCCAAGCACTTCCTGAACTTGATGCCGGCATCGGTCGTCGAGTAGTCCAGGTCCCTGCAGCTGACGTCGTCCGGCGTCGTAGTCGAGTCCGAGGCACTAAATTCATTGCCCCCAGGCGAGTCGAGACATTCCACTGCACACCGTGACCCCGGGGTGACTTGCAGGGCGGTGATGGGCCGGGCCACAGCTAGCAGGAGGACGATGACGGCGGGAAGCTCCATGGTTTTGCGGCGCACAGGGCCCGGAAGGCGAGACGGCAGGAGTTCTTGATGAGTAGTCGGGTAACCGGTGCTTTGTCACATGGCCTGGACTGCCGAGTTGGCACTCTATTGCTGATGGTACACAGGGGAGCAGGAAAGCTCTCACTCGAGAGGGCCCAGAAGTTTGCGAGGAGCAGGAAGCGGCGTGTGTAGAGAAGAAGATTTGAAGTCTCGAATCAAGATGCGAGCTGGCTAGCCGAACAGCCCCAGCTTCCAAGCACAGAATATGATATGAAAAGCACCTCTGATCTTGTGTAACTGTGGTTCAGTCTTTGGGGGGTGGTGGGAACCGAATGCGGGAGAAAACATTCGAGTGCGCATCATGATGATGGGCATCAGGCTCTGCCAGGGGCAATGAGAGAGCGGATTTTGTCGCCCTTTTGTCCACATGTTTGCTCATCTTCTGTGGGAGGTTCCCTCATTGTCGTCGTCGTCTTCCCGAGCCGCGTCCGTGTGCTGCACTACCATGTTTGAGCCGGTCATCAAAGTATGCGGAAGAAATCTTTTGTCTGCATCGGGAGAAGGCGCCTCAGGTTGGTCACATCGCAGTGTGCATGTTGCCAACTTGGTTGTCGATATGTGCGAAACATGGCGCTAGACGCCGCCTCAGCGATTCGAACCCCTGCTGGCCGATCCAATCATTGTGCTGATTATTTACCACCCGGCGTCCCGACCTCCCACTCGCGGCATCTGCCTCGTCTTTCGTCTCTCGTCTCGCCTCTCGTCTCGCCTCTCGTCTGCGAGGTGGTGGGCGGGCGAAGGGGGCTGCGTGTCGGAGGCTCGCGCAAATGAAACGCTGTGAGAGCGTGATTGAGTCCTGGTGGACTTGCAATCGTCAAGTTGATGCGGGTGGACTGGACCCTCAATGCTTTGTCAGCAACTCGCACTGTCCAGACTCCAGAGTCTACTCCTAGCTCCTACACATTCCATTCTGCCACAGGCGTCCTCTTCACCGAGCACCGAGCACCGAGCGCAAAGAGACATGAGACAGGAAGCTGGCCTGGTCTGGTACGACGTGGCAATTGTCGAAGACCGAGGACGGACATCGGCGTCGGCTGTCACGCATGCAAATCGCTTGTTTGCTCCCAGGAGGCAACACACAACACAAAGGAGGGGCGATAGTAGTACTATCAGATCTCTCCACGGAGTACTGGTTACGGAGTCAAGGTCAAGATGCAGGGATGTGGCAGTTCGACGCTGTCAGAGGAGCTTGGCAATCATCTTATCCGTCCCGGTCCCAGTGGCGCTACTGATGTGGCATCGACGAGAACGAGCCGCCAGCGCGTTTGTTCAGACACGACGGATCCCTGATTTCGTACGAGTGCGCCAATCAATCATCCGAGTGATTCTCAACGAAAGGACGTTTGCTCTCCTGCATGCCGCGTGATTTGTAAAGCCGTCGTCACACTAAAAAATGGGCGTGGCCCACGCCACATATTCTTGTGTGTTAATGCCCTTTATATGACGGGGGGCAGTTGTTGCTGCCGAATCCTTGTCGGTTGGGACACGGGGGTTCCATCAGGCGAGACATGGTTGTTGCTTGACCAAGCTAGTGCAACGGCTTGTTCGGAGCACTTGAAGATTAGTACTATTTGCTGTGCCTCGTGGACTATGGCCAGCATGGCTAGCCGGGAGGTCGGGCGGTGACACTCGACCAGCAGAGATTCAGTGGCCGAGGCTGCGCTCTGGTGCATCGTCAGTTTGCCATTGACAAACACTGCGCGGCTTGTACGAGTGGTTTGAGCGAAATAGTATCATTTGGAGTAGCTCCGGATAGGAGCATCGGCTGGGAGATGGATGAAAACTCGCACTGCATTGCCTCTGTGCCATGATTGGGGTTTGCCCGTGTGACTGGAAGCGGTTTCACGCTTGCACGCTGAAATGCAGTCTGAACGTGTCAATATTCAGACTGTCTCGAAGTTATAAGAAGATATCAGACGAATGCCGTCTCTGCCTAGGCACGGAGTCGATTGGCAAAACGTCTCACCATCATGATGCTCACGATCAAGTACACTGCACTGCTGAATATTCTGACCGCAGCGCAGATTATCTACGCCACGCCCGGCAACGCGGACGACAGGTGTGGCATTGACGAAGCCATCTACGAAGCCCCCAGCTGGGCATTGACGAATATCACCAGGCGCAAGTTCACCAGACAGATTCCCGCTGCTCCTTCTCGAGCACCGAGCACCGAGTATCCTGCTTCTGCTTCTAACCGTCTGGTCACCATTAGGCATCCCCAACGACAGGGAAATTTGGATGAGATTCGACATCAGCAGCCCTGATCTCGACCCTCTGTACTGCTACATGCTGGTCCACGTCAAGGAGGACGCGAGGCATGCTTCCTTCTCCGACCAAAGGTGTGTCGGGAGCAATTTCAGCGTGTCCTGGGGCTACACCAAGGACGACGACGACGCGGGCATCATGACCATCGTGAAGTAGGCCATCGTTGATGCTCCACAAGCACAGAACGCGGATCACATACTGACCTGTTGGCAACGAATTGCTACTAGCCCCGGAAGGACCCGTCGATGTTGGTTCGGATGGCGAGGAGTCAATGCAGAGGATCACCTTGAAGACGCGGGCCCGAATGCCACCAAGGAGATGCCGCCGATGTGAATTCTGCGCCGCCGTCGATGGATACAAACGGGCTGAGTCGCCAGAGGCCTTTGGGGTTGGACGAGGTTCTGTGGTTTCGCGCCGCCGAATTTGTTTCATGCCGGTCAAGAAGCGTGACGGAGAATGCGCGACCTGATGGTCCTGTAGGCTTGAGTACCGCGACAAATGATGATATCAAGCCCCAAGCCAAATAGCCGCGACGTGATCCGCGGGAGCTAGACTGTGGACGTCTGAGACTATGGTCCAATGGCATACTGATGAATTGAACTGACGACTGCGCAATTCGGTGCGTATCGTGCGTAGCATGATTGAAGGTGTCTCGTGATGACTGACCAGGGAAGCACGTCAGAGTTGATGCACAGTTCGTGGGAAACCAGGCAGCTTTGGGCATCAAGCCCTTGGGCAGTGGGGACGCCGCCACAGTGACCACACAGCACGGTGGCCCCTGTCTGGACTTGGCTTCGGCGCTTAATCAAGCGTCATCTTTGGCTGCGCGTGGGTCGGAGGACACCGGGCGGCCAATCGTGGCACAGCTCACAGTTCGCCATCTGGGGTCGCACGCCTTCCTCTGCGAGTGCCGAGTACGGAGTACCGGTACCGAGTACCAGCACCATTGGCGTCAATGCTAACGGTTTCCGCAGCAAGCTCGAGCTCGAGCTGCCCATGGACGGTCATGGTGCGCCCACGTTTCGATGCGGAAAGAAAGCACGACGCTCAAACCACCAGACATAATAGCCTCACGCGCCCGGCCCAGCATTCCCCCCCATTTGCTCTTTTTTTTTTCTTTTTTTCTTTTTTTATTTGTTGGTAGCTGTAGCGGTGGTGTCTTGCTATCCTGTCGGACTCTCTATTTGCTTGCGGCCTTCGATCTGGCCCGCCGATCCGGCTCGTTTTCCAACCGCTCGACGAGCGTTGCCATCGGGGCCCGCGGTGGGAGTCCAAGGTGCACCGTGGCGACGCCATTTCGCCCGCGCCGTCGTTGGCATAGCGCGACCAGTATTGCGGCTGGGCCAAGATGAGGATCGCCTGTCTCCAGTTTGCGCCGCAGGTCGGGGATGTGGACAATAATCTCAACCGGGCAGATGCGATTTTGAGTCGCGTAGACCCCGAGGCACTCGATCTGCTGGTCTTGCCGGAGCTGGCCTTTTCTGGTACGTACTGCATGATAAACCGAGCTGATCGGACCCTGCTTGTTCGTTCGCAGGTTGAGACGAGAGACAAGACGTCCGCCGGCAAGGAATATCCAAGTTTCTAACCCCAGCGCAGGGTACAACTTCAAGTCGTTGTCCGAGATATCGCCGTTCCTCGAGCCATCGGGCTCGGGTATCAGCTCCTTATGGACTCGAACCATGGCCTTGAAATACGACTGCACCGTCATCACCGGCTATCCCGAAAAGGTCGACCCGACCCTCAAGTGGCCGACAAACCCGGAATACTACAATGCGGCCATTATCGTCAACGGCGAGGGAGAGACCGTTGCCAACTACCGAAAAACACACTTGTACTACACAGACGAAACATGGGCTTTGGAGGGGCCTGCGGGGTTCTTTGGCCAGACACTGCATGGTCTGGGGCGTACTGCCATCGGAATTTGCATGGACCTCAAGTACGTGAAATCACCCCTGTGGTCACTTTGCGGCCAATATTCTAATCTGTAGCATAGTCCGTACAAGTTTGAGGCGCCGTGGGATGAGTTCGAGTTTGCGCATCATGTGTTGGACTGCGGCTCTCGACTCGTCGTCGTGTCCATGGCTTGGATAACCAATGATGATCCCCGTCAGTTTAGCCGCATGCCTCAAGAACCAGACATGAGCACTCTCCTCTATTGGGTTTCCCGTTTCGAACCAATCATAAGAGCAGAGTCTTGCGAAGAAGTCATTGTGGTGTTTGCCAACCGTACTGGCTCCGAGGGGCAGGTCACGTATGCTGGTACCAGTGCTGTCATCGGCATTCAATCTGGGGAAGTTCGAGTGTACGGGATCCTCGGCCGCGGCGACAAGGATCTTCTTGTTGTCGATACCAGCGTGGCGCCATATGCCAAACTAGTATACCGGCCAGGAGAAAATGGCCTTGATGTTGAGGCTGGGGAGCCAGGGGGATATGACCAGCGCCAGGATTACGAAAACCGTGGTCCTCAACGTTCCCCAGGCGCAAGGGAGTCTGAAGGCTCACCCCCGACCCCGAGCAGCCATCAGACACCCCAGGGCGACTCAGACGCAATCCAAGAAAAGAATATGTCTGCCCGCCACAGCGAAAACAAATCACTTGATCAACATCACTCAGGTGCACCGGTAGGATATGCCACCGAGGGTCAGCACATCCGCACACACACAGCTCCAAGTCCAGGTCGAACTCCCAACTCGGCCCCGCCAAGGCTCATGGTTTCAACAAGGCACTCGAACAGCCATGGTTATCTGAATGCGCCCTCTCCAGCATCATTGTACGCGGCAAACGCCAGTGGCGGCCCTTTCCAAGTCTTGGGAGGAGAAGTCAGCTTCCATGGGCCAAATGTTGATGCTGGATCGTCTCCCTTGGCTGCTTACGAGTCTCAATTATCCGGGACGTCTTGCGAGTCGCCTCGAGATTACTGGGCACCTACACAATTTTCTCTAGCTCAACTGCCTGGTTCAAGATGGGCATTCCTAGGTGATGCGGATGACCAGATCATTTCGGAAGATTCGCCAGTAGCGAACCAGGAGAACCGCTATAGCATCAGGTCTGATGTCTCTGTGTGGAATAACCAGCCCGGCCGCCCTCCGAGCATCGCCAACGACATGATGAACCATCCTACACCACCTCGGGAACTATCTTTGGGCCGAGTTGGTCGCGATGCCCCTGAACGAACACCGTCTTTAAATGACCACCTTGATGTCGCGAGACACAAGTCTCTTCCTATCCGTACTTACTCAGTAGAGCCCCCCCTCAGAAGCCGACCTCGGGGCCACGAGAGATCAAAGCCAGCCACTGTAGACAACGACGACCTCGGAGCCGTCTGCCAAAGACCCGAGGGCATGGCCATGTCCGCAAACGCATCTCAACAACACACGCTCTCGCTCAATGGGGACCGAGATCGTTTCCATCTTAATTCTGCACACCGAACCTCGGGCAGCCGGGGCCACAGCCGAGGTGAAAAACCGACGCCAATGTTACAAGATGATGGCTCCCATGAAGAAAGCACAATGACTGCCTCGATACCAATAGCCCTTGGCCAGCATCCCACCCGCTCTGGAGGCTCGAGAGAATCGAGTAACACGGGTGGACAGCTGGGTTCCACTCCCAGGCCACCTCCACGCCAGGCTTCAAGTGGACATGCCGTACAAAGGACCAGCTCCCAGGGAAGAATCGGTGACAACCCCCCGCCCAGAAGCGCTTTCACGCAGCGCGAACTAAGGTCAAATACGCCAGCCAAACCTGTCGACAGAGGGACAAGTCGTGGCCGTCGACGCGAAGGCAGGCCCGCCACGAATCAAGAAGCTGCCACGCCGGGAATCCACCAACGGCGGAACAGCACAAATACCAGCCGAGGACACCACGCCGAGCCGGTGGACTTGTCCCATTTCACGCTTATCGAAGATTATACTGCACCCAATTGTCCCGTTCACGGCTTCCGATCTCGCTCTAGAACGGGGCCAAGTCAAGTTCAGCCTGGGAACAACACGTCTCCGGGGACTGATCCGGCTTGCTCCCCTCCCCAGCCAGAGAGGGTAGAAAGGCGACGGAAACAAAATACACCACGGCCAGCGAGCAGAAAAGACGCACCCAAGGTGGCCACGCGATCGTCCAGGCCCCATGCGTCGCCGCAGCTGAGCTCCAAGCATGCCGAGACGCCAAAGACGTCGACGCCCACAGCTACCAGATCGAAGCAGCGTCATCAACCACTGGTCCTCAGCGCACGACAGCGACCAAAGACGCCCGAGGCCATGATCCTCGCGAGTGACGGCAAGACGGACGCTCTAGAGCTCCTGGCAACAATGAAATGTATCGAGCGATCGCTCGGAAAGTCTACAGATCGGCCACGGAGCGCAGTCTGGTAACATTGTCATTTGCACCATGACCATGATGCTGGGGCCATAAAGGGGAAGTGTTGGTCTTGCGTTGTTGTCTTGGCCCATTTTTCCAGCTTGCCTGTTTTCTTATTCATCTCGCTTCCTCCCCCGGCAACGTCTTGGGACCGTTTTTTTTTTGGCCGAAAACAGCCCAAGTGAAACGGCTATGATTGGTTGGTGGGACTTGAAGCTGTTGCCGTTTGCATAGCGAGGGCGATGTGTGAAGATTTGAACATTGTTGGGCGCTCTGTGGTGTTGGCCGGAGTGATTTTACGGCAGACGCGCATTGATGGCGTTTTGTGATTTTGCCACGGAGTACGGAGTATATGCTTGGTTTTGTAGGATATTTTTTCGCCTTGCCCTTTAGAAAAGAATCGCCCTGCAATTTTGTCACCGAGTATGGACACTGGCGCATAAGTGACTCGTGACCTCTGAGAGACGACTGGGCGCCAGCTTGGGAGTCGGGACCGGCGCGTCGATGAATAAGTTTGGGCCATACGGAGCGTTTCAAGCAAGCCACTTCATCATGTCAACGCCTAGCCCAGGCCCAGAAAAGTCCCATCATGGGGGATGGCCCATGGGCCGGCCTGGAGACGTGTGTACGGAGGGAGTACGGAGTATCGACCCTGACAACTGCACCTTGTGACGATCTGGGGGCGGGACGGGCCATGAATCGACCAATCACATGTTGTGTTTGAAAAACGGAACGACACGGGACGGGAGGTTGTGATTGGATCTCGAAGCGCCGGACCTCGAGGCCCGCCGTGGGTGGATGCCGCTCCGGATGTGACAGGCTTGGCGAGCAAGCTTGGCAGGCCCGTTTGACGAGTCACACGCGAGGGACGAGGGACGAGGGGCTGGGGAGGTGCATGGCGGGTCCGAGTGGATATCAATCATCCTCGTCTCCTTCATCTGCGGAGGAGGCGCTACCCGCATTCGCACTTGTCGGCCTGCAGGGTGACCTGAATGTCCGTACGGAGTACACGGTACAACAGTCTTTGAGCCGGTGTGCCGGGCGAGCTGGGGAACCGGTCGGGATGGCGGGTGCGTGTGCGTGTGCGTGTGCGTGTGCGTGTGCCTTTTACCCCTCAAGTCTGGGCTGGGCTGTCTTCACACGCATCCGGCGCGCGATGCGACTTCTCTGCACGTCCTTCTCTCTTGTGCCGTGGCATCTCTTTAAAGCCAACAAACAGCCTGACGGTCGGACGGGCCTCACCGGAAGGGACGGAGGGGCGGGATATATCAACGTCGCCAGATATCCTGGATCCTGTTTCAGAACAAACAGGGAAAAGGAATCCGGACGCTTTCTTGAACGTGAGGCTCTGCCAAGTCGCCACAGAGAGGCCTTGGCTGCAGACGTCCACCATCGTCAGTCATCCTTGGTCAGAACCGTTGTTTGCATCCTTCCTTGGCGCGTATACGAAGTTACGAACCCACCACAACGGCATTGTCCGTCCCAGCAACATCATGCTTTTACGGCCTCCTTCCCTGCCAATCCTCCCGGCTGCCCTGCTGCCGCTGGTGCAGTCGATTCTCGTGCCCTCTGGGTCGCCATGCGCTGCCAACTGCGGGAACATCTTGGACAAGACGTCGCCCGAGGACTTGGTTTGCAAACAGGGCAGCTTTTCGACCGATCCCACGGGGCAGCAGTTTGCTGGGTGTGTCGACTGCGAGAGATCCAGCGCGTACCACAGCGGAAACGACAGCGATATCCAGTCCATGCTCTGTAGGTACACGACTCGTGGGCCAGACCAGCACGGGGAAATCTGCTGACAGATGAACTCGCTCGAGATAACGTCCGCTACGCATTGTCGTACTGTGTCTGGGGCGATGCGCCGACACGCAATCCCGAGGTCACCAACACGCCTTGTATCACTACGTGAGATGTTGCTCCTGTACCACGGCGTCTACCACGACTCACGATGCTGATGTTGGAGCAGCAAGGCATGCGGCCCGTTCAAGGATGCCGTGCAGTACCGAAACCTGTCTTCCACGGCCCGCGCCTACCAGTACTGCGATGCTTGGCCGTCGAACGATACTCCAGACTTCGAGGGCTGCACCGATTGCCTAAACGCAGAGGGCAGGCAGTACATGGCCAACTGTGGGTTTTCCTCCCCGTGGTTATCGCTCTGCGCCGACCTGACCCCCCGCTGACTGTTTGTCGTGTAGTCGTCGTCGCCCTCCAGGCTGGCTGCGAGCAGAGACCGTCGGCGGGCCTCTACATTGGGCTCGACGGCGAGCTGTTTTCCACCACGGCCGTGGAGATGACGACGCCGCGCCCCACGGCATCCGTCGGTCCAGACGGGCTTGACCACGGCCCCTTGAGTCTCGGTGCCAAGGTTGGCATCGCGGTCGGGGCGTCGGTAGCACTCCTCGTCACTGCCGGATGCTGCATCGTCTGGAAGGGGAAGCGCCGCCGGAGGGCGTACCTGCGAACTCTGGACACCAGAGTCGCTCGAGGGGGGTGGCCGTCGCCGAATAGCCAGCGAGAAATGGGCCAGGCTCCCGGGTCGCAGTCCCTTCGCGGCCACGACGACACCCCCCTCAGCCAACGACCTCTGCGGGGCCACGGATGGGATGACGCTCCCTCTCGGGGCTGGGATGATTCGCCGGTGAATGCCAACGCCGAGAAGCCCTTCACCAGATACTTCTCGCCGTACTCCAGCCAGTACAACAGCCCGATCAGCGCTCGTGACGGGCTGACGATGCCGTGGCCGCGAGGAGCACCACCCCAGGATCATCATGCTGGTGCCGCGTCCGGTGGCGAGGGCTCCTCTGGGCCTCGGGGCGCAGTTTCAGACGACAAGGGCACGGCAGGACCGGAGGAGGCCTATGAGATGCACCTGGTGGACAGTGGCGAGAGCCGCAGCTCAAAAAGCCAACAACGGCCCATGGGAAGAAGCGAGGCGCCTGCGTTGAATCATGCAGGCGATGGGAACGTACCCTCGTGTCAGGCCGCGCCGACTGGACACCATGGCACACGCGGAAATGTCGTTTAGAGAGCCATCTGACGGCGACAAATTGCGCTGGCGATGGACGATGGGTACGCTGGTCTATTATTTTTGCATGGTGTTGGGTGTTGGAAGAGTTCTCTGTATCTGATGTCTCGTACGTAGTCATTCACACATCACGACTTTGCGAGACGGCAAATTGTGGCTGGTTCGCTGGCCGGCACCCCATAATTGCCCTGGCACGTGGCTTGGGCGAGGCCATGGCCCCCAAATAGGACTAGTTTATGTTGTTCAGCCACTCTCCGGCCAGGCTTGAAGTCCGTCCCCACACCGCGCAAAGGGCAGAGGAAAAAAAAAAAAAAGAAGCATCTTCTAGCCACAACCTACTTCTTCAGTGCAAAACATCGCCACGAACCTGCAAGCACGGCCTCGTCGAGCTGCCCCCCATACGAGTGTGCATCATACACTGGCTGCAGGGTCTCGGTTACATCATCAGTTCAAAATGACGATGGAAGTCGTCAAAAGTAGCAAGGTGGAGGAGGAACACACCATCAAGCCCCAGGCCGTGACTCCTGCCGTGGACACGAGCTCGTGGCCGTTGCTCCTCAAGAATTACGACAAGCGTGAGTGTTTACACGTCCCGGAAGTGGTCAATTGGTTCCCCACGCTTGATGGAATCAAATTGAGCACGCGAGAGATGGACAGATTTGAGATTTGACTGACACTCCGTGCCTGCAGTGCTTGTCCGGACGGGCCACTTCACCCCCATCCCCAATGGCTGCTCTCCGTTGAAGCGAGACATCAAGTCTTATATCAGCTCTGGCGTCATCAACCTCGACAAGCCTTCCAACCCGTCCAGTCACGAAGTCGTCTCCTGGGTCAAGCGTATTCTTCGGTTCGTGGACCCTGGAAAACTGGGTGCTTGGATGCTGGAAAGCGAAGCGTCACGGCTGACTGGTGCAACAGTGTTGAGAAGACCGGCCACAGCGGCACCCTCGATCCCAAGGTGACCGGATGCTTGATTGTCTGCATTGACCGCGCTACTCGCCTGGTCAAGTCCCAGCAGGGTGCCGGCAAGGAATACGTCTGCGTCATTCGCCTCCACGACAAGCTGCCCGGCGGCCAGGCCCAGCTCGCCCGCGCCCTCGAGACCCTCACCGGTGCTCTGTTCCAGCGGCCCCCCTTGATCTCCGCCGTCAAGCGCCAGCTTCGTGTCCGAACCATTTACGAGAGCAAGCTGATCGAGTTTGACAATGACCGTCACCTGGGCGTCTTCTGGGTCAGCTGCGAGGCCGGCACCTACATTCGAACTCTCTGCGTGCATCTCGGTCTCCTTCTCGGTGTTGGTGCTCACATGCAAGAGCTGCGTCGTGTCCGCAGCGGTGCCATGGATGAGAGCAAGCACCTGGTCACCCTTCATGACGTGCTGGATGCTCAGTGGACCATGGACAACACCCGTGACGAATCCTACCTGCGCCGTGTCATCGCGCCGCTCGAGACCCTCCTGACTGGCTACAAGCGACTTGTTGTCAAGGACAGTGCTGTCAATGCTGTGTGCTACGGCGCCAAGCTTATGCTTCCCGGTCTTTTGAGATATGGTACGCACAACTCAAGTCTGCAGTGACTTGAAACAACGGGCTGACGTGTGCGTACAGAATCTGGTATTGAGCACCACGAAGAGGTTGTCCTCATGACCACCAAGGGCGAGGCCATTGCCATTGGTATTGCTCAAATGTCTACGGTTGAAATGTCTACTTGCGACCACGGCGTGGTTGCCAAGGTGAAGCGTTGCATCATGGAGCGCGACCTCTACCCTCGCCGCTGGGGTCTCGGCCCTGTCGCCCAGGAGAAGAAGAAGCTCAAGGCCGATGGGAAGCTGGACAAGTTTGGTCGTCCCAACGACAGTACGCCTGCCAAGTGGACCTCGGAGTACCAGGACTACAGCGCGACGGATGCCTCTGCTGCCGCCGCGGCTGCCGCGGCTGCGCCTGCGCCTGTGAAGAAAGTTGAGGAGACCAAGAAGGAGACTGCCACTACTGCCGCTGACGATGGCGACAAGAAGAAGCGAAAGAAGCACGAGGGCGAGACTCCGGATGAGAAGGCGGAGCGAAAGCGAAGAAAGGCCGAGAAGAAGGCCGCCAAGGCTGCGAAGAAGGCCGCCAAGGGAGAGGCTGGATCGGACGACGATAGCGACTAGGCTAGGCGGCGGCAGGGCAATTTGATTGTCTGCGAGGCAGGGGCGGGGGTCACGGGAAGGAGGGGAGTCTTGATTTCAAATTTTGTTTGGGATGTGGACGGTCTTGCCGTACCATGTTTCATGTGTTGGGCACCACGGCGTTTTGGCATAAAATGTTTTCTTTTCGGGGGCAGGGTGCAGGTGTAGCTGAGAACTCAACACGACGACATAAACCAACCGCCAGTGGTAATTTGGCATCTGCTCTCTGCCGGCGTTGCGACGTGGTGTCTGCTGACGAGAACATGTCCAGATTTGTTTGCCCAGACGGAGAAATGTGTACGGCATGCCACTGACACGGGGCTGTGCCGCATTTCGGAAGCCATTGTCCCGCGAATGCAATTCAGCGGTCGGGACCACATGTAGTGGCCGGAGCTGTGCGTGCTTGAAGGACGGAAGGAGGAAAAAAGGGATGACTCCGAGTATTCGGGACGGTCGCCCGGACCGGCGACCCCCTGCCCGACCCCGACGCGCCGCCTGCTTCCGGTGCGTCGCCGGGGTTGAGTGCGCCCCTGCTGAGCCCCTTTGGCAGGGGCGGGCTCGCCGGTGCTCGTTGTCAACATCCAGACGACGCTTGATACGCCGCCGACGAGGTAGCCGCTCTTGAGCTGCGCCTCGCGAACCCTTTCGTCGGCGCGAGGGTTCGTCATTGCCATTTCGTCGGGCGAGCGAGCTTCGAGTCGACGAGGAAATCGTGTCGAGGAGCGGCGCGGGCCACGTCGCGTCTCATGTGCCCATCAAGTAAAGTAGTTCAACCCGAGTCACGACTCACGAGCAAACAAAGTAACGAACACAACAACAGATCCCGTGTACTCTGTAAATGGGACAAAAGAGACCGCCACAGCCTGTGACGCAAAGGACCAAACTTCATTATCATGCCCTCTCCAGAGTCCAGAGCATGCAACTAACCTGGCTAGTGGTACAGCGTCATGCCCGCTTATGCAAAAGAAAAACAACAAAAAGACAATGAATATGTAGGGAAATCATGACCCGTCAAACCAAATAACTTGGGCGGACACGCCGCCGTCCAGGCGGGCATGTGTGCGCCGGTGGGGGGGAAACCGTCCGTCATCCAACTCTATGGGTATCTGGCGTCGTTGACGGCCGCCAACGACATGATATAGACAGCCAAATACGTGCCGTGAATGTGGTCACCGTCGTGAAGAAGAAAAAGAAAAAAACGTAAAGCCTTGCGCGGATGCGCTCTCCTCTCTTGGAGCTATATTTAAGCAGCGAAAGAACCCTAACCCCGTGACTCCAAACGCCGAATTAGATGCTGTCGTCAAACCAAGGAGACTCCGTCCGTGATTCGCTCCGCAGTCGCTCGTTCTGGGATTTGTACCACTTCCGCCCTTCTTCCAATTCTTGTCGTATTTCCCTCAGTTCGCTTGTGAGCTTCTCCGCTTCGCTCATGATCCGCTTATGCTTGTTGCGCTCTGGGCAATCCTCCTCCTCTGCCGCGCTCGCGTCCTCCTCTGCCGACCTCTTCCTCTTGCTTGTTGCTGATTCGTCATCCGCGGTAGATTGACGAACCAGGGGCATCTCGGAATTCGGGGCACGGGCACCTCCGCTAACAGAAGCCCGTCGGATCGACTTGTCCCTGGCTGTTGACCCGAATGCCAGGCTGGGGTAGCGACTGGGGCTTCCCATCATGTCGTACGCCATGGACTCGGGCACGGCGGTGCCGTCGGGCAGCTGCACGATGCCCATGGCTTTGAGCCTCCACCGAGCCGAGGCATTGCTTGCGGACCTCGAGCTCTCCGCTGGCTCGCTCTCCCGGGACGATGTGGAAGGCAGAGAGCGGCGGAAGCGACCAGGTTTGGCCAAATAGAGGTCACGCAAAGCCTTGGTCTTCCCGCCCACTTCCCTGCTCAAATTGGGCGACGACTCCCGAGATTGGCGGCTTGTAGACACCGACTTTGTTCTGGACCTGAAATCTTGCTCTTGTCGCACGACCGATTGGACGGCATCCTGCTCCTTGTTCGTGCCAGACGATACTCCGCTGGATGGGAGCGCCTCGTGAGCCTTCCGCCTGCTCGTGCCCCTTTGCTTCAACATGTCCATGAATTCTTCGGGGTGGTTGACTTTGGCAAGTTCTGCTCGTCGCTTTGCAGCCATCTTGGACGCCTCTTTCCGAGCCCAATTCGCAGCAGCGTGTTGCGATGCGTAAAACGCTCGAAGTTGATCTCGACCACTTCGCCTCAGGGCGCTTAGACGCTTCTCTCTCGCATTGTTCTTCCATCGGTAGAAGTATCTGAGAGAAAGATTATATGTCCGAAATTGTTCAGCCTGTTCGTTCATGGCTTCTGCCTCCTCCTTTATTCGGGTTTCTTCCACTTCTTGTTGAAATTTATCAAATGTCTCTTTGGCAATCTCGTCAATCACGTACACTTGGAATTGCTCCAGCAAACCGTTGTCGCCCATCACGAACCACCTTGCAAAGTCGCCTAGCAAGTCTCGAAATTTCTCAGCAGGTTTGGGCGGGCCAGCCACAGCCGCAGTGCCAGGCAAGTATGTGGACTTCTTGCTGAAGTGGCTGGATGCGGACGATGTGTTGCGCACATTACTGGGCATGGCTGACCCCGACGTCATCGTCAATGATTTTGGGGCAGAGAAGGCCGATTTTTCGGTTGCCAAAGGCGGAATCGCTGGTGCAAAAGACCCGGTGGGCTCTGTATTTGAGGCTGTCTGAGAGCCCAATATGCCAGGTTGTTGCCTCGCGAGACCTGAAGTGACATTCGAAGCGTTGATGCCAGACTTGCTCACATCCTGGTTGTCAAGAGTAGTTCCCGGCTGTGATGGAGGAAACTTGAGGCCACCAAGCCCGAAGCTGGTTGGCTTTGCTTGTGACGGGGTTGAGGAATCAATGCTCTGTTTGAGGATGTCAGGCGTTTTGGGCAATGCTTGGTGCTGTGGCAGAGGTGGAGGCGGCATAGAAGACGCTGGTGCCAGCTTGCTGGCATCTGATGCTGGGTTTGGCCCACCTAGCAGTCCGAAAGCAAAAGGACTGACAGTTGGAGGGCCGGCATTATTGTTTGGTAAAAGCGAGTCTGACGCCGTGAGCGGAGAACTCAGTTTGCTTCCTGCCATTGTAGATGTTTCAGTGGCTGGTGTTGCTGATGCGAACGAATGTGCAGTAGCGACATTTCCAAGTACAGATTGAGCTTTATTCTCACCACCGTTGATCTCCGAAGCCGACAATAGAGGTGTCGATCCGCTGGACGCAAAGGGATTGGGTTGACTGCTGGCTTGAAGAGTCGACACTGGAGCAACGAAGCCCTTGGTGGTATTAGACCACGAATGATTGTTGATATGGCCAGGCGGGGTTGAGGCTGAGGAGTTTTTGTTAGCAGTTTTCTTTGGGCCGAGCAACTTCTCCCTGATGGAAGGACCAGACCTTGTTGAGCATTGGGAGTCGCTCCCGTAGACGACCTATTGGTTCCAGACGGTAATGGCGTAGGAAAAGTCGAGGATTCATCGTCCTGTACAAAAAGACTGCCTTCAATCCCCGACCCGTTGACTTTGACCACGGCATTGGGATCCTCGAAAACGGTCCGATGTATCAATTCAGGGAGTGGTGTCGACCCTCGTTTCCGTTCCACCAACGTATGCGAATACTGATGCTGCAACCGGCGGTGAGGCAACGGCCGTTTGCTGTCGAGAACCAAAATTTTCCGTCCATTGTCAAATGGATTGTCGGTATCTTGGGCGAACTCCAAGTCGTGGAGTTCGGCAAAGTCGATGGCCTGCTGCACAGTGTCGAATTGCAGGAACTTGTTAAGTGCTGCCGCTGTTACATCTCTAGCTGGATCCTTTGGTCTCGCAAGTGCGCGCTTGATGGTTTGTAATACTGATCTTCGGAGCTGAGGAAAGTGGCATTCCGCGAAGCATGCCATGGTGTACGAAACCTTGGGGTCTCGCACAATGCGAAAATATGCTTGCGAGGCTGCCGAGGCGGCCAGTGAAGGTCCATCCTTGAGTGGTCCATGGAAATTGTGAGTGTCCTGAAGTGCTTCGACCAGCGATACCGCAGTTCTGACCTCGTCTGAGTCACGCCAAAGGTACGGCTTCCACTGTCGCTGGAGAGTGTCCATGATGCTGGGGTCTTGTGCGTGGAATACTAGATAGTATGCTCGAAATTCTGGTTCGTTCTCGCATTGAATACCCTGTTCGTTGCAGTCGTCATAAACGTCTCGAAGTGACAAGAGGGCTTTGCCCAGCTGCTCCAGCTCTTGTTGTTGAACGAAATCTTCAGGCGCCTTGCCTTCCTGTGACAGCAAATGCAGGGATGTAACATGGAATCTGGCAATATTTTCCAACACGTACACCTGAGTTGTAATCTCCTCCGGTGTAAGCGATGAGAAGAATGAAAAGTCGCGGCGAATTGAGCGAGTACGATCCCAGAGAAAGCCATGTACAGTTGCCAAATTTTCATCGTCTCGCAACACATCGTCCAGAAGATAATCCAAGGTCCGGCGCAGGGCTGGAACGGAACGGACGTCCATGGGAAGGGGAGCTTCCTGGCCAGCAGCCGACCGAGCCAGCTTCTTCACCATTTTGCTCGTCTTGACAAATGAGGTCCGAGGATCCTTCTCGGCCTGGACCACGTCCAGTTCCGTGATCCTCATGATCTTCTCGAACTCGGGGCACATATCTTCGCAGATACCCTTGAACTCGATCGCGTCGCTCAGCGCTTTTCGTTTCTCCGGATCATCGATCAATTCGGCGTTGGTTAGAGACGCTCTGACGCGCTGGCGAAACGTTTCATACTGCTCGCGGAATTTCGCCATGGCCTGTTTGTTCTTCGGGTTTCCTGGCTCTGAGGGCCAGGAAGGCGGGTAAATTCCATCTTTGCGTAGCTGATGATAAATTTTCCGGGCTAGGGGATCTGTCGAGTTGTGAGGAGTTGCCGGGAGGTTTTCATCATGGCCTATTTTGTCAGACAAAAGGCCCGAATGTGGTGTGGCTCGCGAATACTCGTTATCCAAAATTGACGGTTGGGGCGATCCGTTCAGTTTGTTTGCATTGTTTTGTCGAGTTCTGCCTTTACCTTTGGGCCTCTTCCCGCCGGTATCAAATGGGTTGCGTTGTGCTCGTTTGCCACCTCCATCGCTCAGGCTGCTGTCTGTGGTTTGAAAGGGATTGATTCTCGCTTTAAATTCATTTTTCGTTGAGTCGCCCACAACATCGGTGCTGAATGGATTCCTCCCGCCTGTGGACGGGGGGGCGAACGGGTTGACCACTGGCGCCGAACTACGCGTCCCTTGGGAGAGAGACGAGAACATCTGGTTCGACGATGCAACGAACGTCGCATGCACCTATATTGTCGGTTTGCACATCGAGGATGACTCTCGGGCGCCCGGACGCGGATGTTGCAAGCAGTTCGGGCGCGCAGACAGATATATGGTCTTGAGGTCGCGGAGGCGCTATTCAGACGTTCCAGCTTGAGCTTTGAGGAATCCACCTCAGCGTTGCTCACGTGATAAGTCGCAACCTAGTTCAAGCCACTTGTGCCAACGTCACCCGCGGGTTTGTCCCAAACAAAGAAACTCATGCACCATCCTATGGCGAGCAAATGATTCTGAGAACGCCTCAAGGACTATGTAACGTACACTGAAACAGTTTGAATACAATAGCAGCATAGACCATGAGCAGACTGACAGTGCCTCTCTGACTCCGTACTCCTGTTCATGGACCAAGGTCTCCAATGTCAATTAGTCAGCATCCCACCAACCTCCTCCTTTCTTCGAATCACCAAGTGGAGCAACTGAGCGAGACAGTACGAATGCTGCTTGCGAGGAAGACCGGATGTTTCATCCGGATAGCCCGCTATTCTTCATTCTTCGTCGACTGTCAGCTACGTGCATGGCTAGGTGGCTGCAACTTTTGGCAAAGATAGCAGGCCGGAGCTGACGCGGGATTGTAGGATGACCAGCAAACACCCGACCGGAACCATTTGACGAAATGCCGGCCCAGCTGCTGACGAGCTCTGATGACAGTGATGAAAATCGAAAATTCGACGTTTAATTTTTTACAGCACCATTGGTATTCTAGCTGTCCCGCTCAGTCACGCCGGATATAGCACGCGCCATTACAAACGCCATTCCCGAGTAAACTGGGAACCGAGAACGACTTCCACGGGGAAAATCGGCCAAGGCCTGCCCTGGCGGTGTTCCAGAACGCGGTCGCGGGCTTATTGTTTGCGTAAAAAGCGCATACCTGCGCCTCACCGCCCGCAATCAGATTACGGCTGGTCCTTGCATCACCATCTTATCAGATCCTCTCTTGACGCCGGTGTCTTGACGAGCCAATCGCATGGCCATGATCTACCGACTAGGGCGTCGCTAGTTGCAGTGGAGATGGGAAGAATTCTCTGCGTTGAACGGCGAGGTTGCATGCAGCGCGGCGGGTTCGAGGCTGGGCTGTCTCTGATACTATGGTATTTACAAGCCCAATCCCCTCGCAATCACGGCGTCTGGAGCGATGAATAGTTGAGCAAAAGGCCAGGCAGGGAGAAGCCAGCGCCAGCACCTCGGCCTCAATCTGGCTGCCAACCGCGACCCCGTCTCTGCCGTGCCGCCGGCATGCATACCACAAAGAATGCTGGTCCCAGGACCCCTGGCCATGCCAGTTTGTTCCCACCCACGGATGCTGCTGAGGATAAGCCGAAGCCCGGCCAAGACCAGGAGGCCTTAGCCAGCGACTCCGACAACCTCAGTCTCGACGAGAAGAACGAGAGGGAGGTCCAACGGCACCCTCGGGAGGTCACGGCCAATGCCGAGCTTGGTGTTCAGAAGGCTGAGGCTGCTGCCCTGGTCTGGACCCAGAAGACGGTCTACTGCACATATGCATGGTAAGCCGTTCTTCGTCCGGTGTTGACGAGTGCAATCAAGCCTCACAAACTCACACTGTTCTCGTGCGCAGGATCTGGCTGTGCTTCTTCATGCTGGCTTTCCAGCAGGCCATTCTTTTCAATGTCACTGCCACTGCCTATTCGGATTTTGCCTCAGCACCTGCCATCGCCACGGCCTCGATCCTCTCCAACGTAATCGGTGGGGTCTTGAAGCTGCCCATCGCCAAGACGCTCAACATCTGGGGACGTGCCGAGGGCTACCTGGTTTTCTTTGGAGTTTATCTGCTTGGCATGATCATCCTGGCATCCAGCGGTGGACCTGACAGTTACGCCGCTGGCTATGTCTTTTACTGGATTGGCTACGATGCCATCTACCTGATCCTGGACATCTTCGTCGCCGACACGTCAGGGCTGCAGAATCGTGCCTTTGCCTTCTCCTTCGTGTCGACGCCCTTCATCTGCACGGCTTTCACGGGGCCGTTGGCGGCCCAGGCCTTTTTGAGGAATAGCACGTGGCGCTGGGCCATCGGATCCTTTGCCGTCATCCAGCCCTTCGTCTTCGTACCCCTGGCCGTCGTCTTCAAGTTCTACCAGAGGAAGGCTGAACGCTTGGGCATCTACAAACACCAGCCGAGCGGCCGAACTGCGATACGGTCCATCATTCACTACATGCACGAATTCGATGTCGTCGGCGCCCTGCTCCTCATGGCCGCCTTTGTTCTCTTCCTCCTCCCGTTCAGCCTGGTCAGCTACAACCGCACTACCTACAATAGCGCCACCTTCATCGCCATGCTGGTTCTTGGAATCCTGCTGTTTCCCATTTTTGCCGCCTGGGAGAAGTGCTTTGCCCGCACGCACTTTATTCGATGGGACCTCTTCAAGCAGCCGACCGTCCTGGGTGCCTGTTGCATGGCGGCCCTGTCCTATTTCAGCTTCTACTCGTGGGACCTCAACTTTTATAGCTTTGTGCTCGTCGTGTACAACCTCAGCTACGGCGACACCGGCTACATGACGCAGATCTACAACGTCGGTTCCTGCTTCTGGGGCGTCGTGTTTGGTCTATGGGTCAAGTATACCAAGCGCTTCAAGTGGACAGTCCTCTGCTTCGGCCTTCCGCTCATGATTCTCGGCGCCGGCCTCATGATTCACTTCCGCGGGCAAGACGCGGACATCGGCTACGTCATCATGTGCCAGATCTTCATTGCTTTTGGAGGTGGCACGATTGTCATTGGCAACAGCATGGCCGTCATGGCTGCTAGCGACCGCGACGGCGTCCCCATGATGCTGGCCGTTCTCAATCTGTTTGCCAGCATTGGTGGCGCCATTGGCGATGCCGTCTCTGTTGCGATTTACTCTAGCACCTTCCCGGAAGCTCTCCGCTCCCGGCTGCCCCAGGACATGGCCGACCAAGTCGACAAAATCTATCTCGGCGGCTATCGCGCTCAGGTTGCGTACCCCGTGGGCTCACCCACTCGAGATGCCATCAACTACGCCTGGGGCCAAAGCCAGAGGTATGGTTCCATCTCCGCCACCGCCATTCTTGCCCTTGGCATTCCCGCCATTGCCATGTGGAAGAACTACCGGGTGGACAAGAAACAGAACAAGGGTACCGTCATTTAAACAGTGTACGCCAGTGTCTTTCCGCCTGTGGAAGAATCGCTCAATCTACGTCTATCCCAGTCGCTGCTTCGTGACCTTGTTGGTCCCTGGCGCTCGGATTCAAACACCTTTACGGTCCGAGAAAACGAGGGTTTCCCCCTTTTTTCTCGTTTCCGCGGGGCGAGTACCGTTGCATCACGAATGACATGGAATTTAACCAGCCGGCTTACACCAAACATGATCAGCGAAGCTACATCATCCGTCATCGCCAAACCCGCGTGGATCTGGTCCAAGCAACCGGAATTTGGTCCTTCAGGGCGTCATGCCCCCCAAGTCCTGTCAGAAGAGACAACATGTAGCTGCGATTCCGGAGAAACGCCAACTACATGAATACTGACTAGGTGTTGCGAAACCATGCAAGGGGGATGACTGCCTTGCAATTGCCGTATTCGGGTGCTTGTCCTACCAATTTGTTTAGCATAGCTGCTGCATACATGTCACGTAGTCAGTGTACCCAAGTACATTTCATAAACACTTTTTGATTTCGGTTCCACTGCACAATGTGTGCCGCAACTACCTACGGGCCGTCTCAACAATACGCACCGCAGCAAACTTTGCAAACCCCCGCCGCCCCGTTCAACTCTCCTACGCGTTCACGAGGCGCATCCCACAAAATTGGCAAAGCAAGAAGAAAATATAATATACTTGTCTTGGGCTTCAGTAGGAAAATTCATCAAATTCATCATCTTTTTGCCAGATTGTCAAATCTACGCCCCTACATTTCGGCCGCGAATACGAGGCGGACCCAACTCCCTCCGGATCTCTTCCAACTGCTCCAGACCAGTCTGCGCCTTGGACTTTTTAGACGTCCTCTTTCCAGGCTTTGCGTAGCTCCCGAGGAAGTCGTCCAAAATCCCATCAAAGTCTCTCCTCGTAGGCCCGACGACGCTAGACGTTGAGGCGTGGGAAACGGAAGCCATGTCGTCCTCCGGGTCCTCGAGGTACGCCTCCTCAATCCGGTCGAACCTGGCGTCGAGGAGAGTCATTTGATCGGTGCGCACAAGCGACGACGACGTCATGGAGTAGCTGGACGCGTCGGTCAGAGCACCCTTCCTCTTCTTCTTCCGGCCGCCGTTTGTCGTCGTGGTCCAAGCGGACCGGAGTTCGGAGTGGGACGGCGCAACGCGCGGCTTGCCGGCCTTTTGTTCCCTTTTGAACTGCTGGAAGCCCTCCATCCAGTCTTGCGGCGGCCCGACTTCGGGCTGCGGCTGCTCTGGCGCCGCGACGAGCGCGGGTATCTCCTCCTTGTGCTCCTTTGCGGGCTTGGCGGTATCGTCCGACTCCCAGCCCTCTTCGTCGTCGTCGTCGTCGAAAAGGTCAGCTTCGCGGAACTCGCTGTGCCCAATCTCCCGGCCGTCCTTTGTTAGGCTCTTGAAGATGTCGTCGTCCTCGTCGTCGACATATGCCTCGTCATCCAGAGCCTCGAGAACCTCCCTCAATCTGGGGTCCATGTCTGGCTGGAACCCGCGGATGGAATCGGGGATATCTTGCTGGGCCTGGTAGGTCGCTTTGGTGAGATTCTTCGAGGGCAGCATCTCCTCGTCAAATAAGTCGCCCGACTTTTGCTCCAGGTCCATCTTCTTCAGCGCATCCTGTAAGGATTCTTTTTGTTTCCCGCGGCTCTTGGTGCTTGCCTCGACGAAGACGACTTGCCCGCCGGGGGCCGAGCCGAGATCGCGCAGATGCTGCATGTAATCGTATTCGGTGTCGTCGAAGTAGACTCCGTAGCTGGCGGCTTCGCCTTCGTTGGCCCGAATTCCAGAGGCATCAGAGCCGAATTCCGAGGCCAGGTCGTCGAGATGTTTGACTTTTGAGGAACCAGGCTTTGGCTGGGTCGGATTCAACACCATGGCCGGGGCTTTCTCGTCGTGGATGAGAGGGTCATTTTGCGGTCGATGGACCAGCGTGAAGTGCTGGGCCGTCTTCTTGTCGCTGCATGCATGCGTGATCAGGTTCGTTATTAGGAATACTGGTGCAGTGCAAAGGGAGCCAACCTACATCCACTTTCCCCGAGGCATTCTAGCGATATGCTATGGTTTGATGGGATCAGACTCTGCCAGCTACATACTCGAGTACAGAGGGTGGTGGAGTGTTGCATGTCCGAAGAATTTTGAGCGTTGGAAAGCACAGTGTGCGATGCGATAGGACTGTACGAACGCCCGAGTCCCAAACCCATGTATACAGTGTTAAATTTAGTGCCAACCCTATCGCAGAAAATTTGCCCCTCCATCGTGACGCATTAATAATCATCAGTCTCCAACGCGGGCAGCGGAGGAAGAAGGAAGGCCTGACTCATCCATCACCAGGCTAATCTGCATCCTTTACACCAACATCTCTGGTGAACCGATTCCTTCCCGACGCTTGATTGCGAAGACGATACGACACCGCCAGAGACGCACCGTACTTCTTTCCTCGTGATCCCACCTCGGCAGGGCCGCAACCGTCAAGCATGGTTCTGGCAAAGTCGAAGAAGAGCGTGGGGCTCGGCAATGCCTTGATGAATGATCGTTTTGGCAAGGGCAAGGGCGGCGACAGGAAGAAGCAATCTGCCATCACCAGAACCAACCACGCCACCGGTGAACAGTACCTCGTCAACGAGAAGCAGGATGCCTCGTGGGTCAAGATGCGCTCCGTCACAGAACAGGGCGCTCTGGATGAGTTCCTGGCCACGGCGGAACTGGCCGGGACCGATTTCACCGCCGAGAAGATGAACAACGTCAAGATCATCCACACCGACCAGAAGAACCCCTATCTTCTCTCTGCCGGCGAAGAGCGCACCGTGCTCGGCAAGCACAAGATGCACAGAGCTCGTCTGACTGTCCCCAGAAGACCGCAGTGGGACTCCACCACCACGCCCCAGGAGCTGGACGCCAGAGAAAGAGAGGCCTTTTTGAACTGGAGACGGGGGCTGGCAGAGCTCGAAGAGAACAACGACTTGCTAATGACGCCCTTTGAGCGAAACCTGGAGGTCTGGCGCCAACTGTGGCGAGTCATTGAGCGGTCCGACCTGATCGTGCAGATCGTAGATGCCAGAAATCCGCTGCTCTTTCGTTCCGAAGACCTCGACATCTATGTCAAGGACGTGGACCCGAAGAAGCAGAACCTGCTCCTGATCAACAAGGCAGACATGATGACTCTGGCCCAAAGAAGAGCGTGGGCCGAGCACCTCACGAAAGCCGGCATCGCCTACAAGTTCTTCTCGGCGCAGATGGCAAAAGAACTGAACGAAGCGAGGGGCGAGGATGGGGCATCGGAGGACGAAGCGGTGGGAGCGCAGCCCTCCGACAGGGCCGGCAAGCAGCCAGCGACAGGCGACGACTCATCCGAAGAGGAGGAATGTGAGCATGGCGGCGGCGCTCCGGCTGGGCCCGACGAAGACGAGGGCACTCGGATTCTCACCGTCGAAGAGTTGGAAGATATTTTCCTTCATCACTCCCCCAAGGACGAATGTGCGTTGGAGAGAGTACTCCCACGGCCCGGTAGCAACGAACTGACCGTCACTAGCATCGGATCGTAAATTACAAGTAGGACTGGTGGGATACCCCAACGTCGGAAAATCTTCCACCATCAACGCTTTGATAGGCGCCAAAAAGGTCTCCGTCTCTTCAACGCCGGGCAAGACTAAGCATTTCCAGACCATCCACCTGAGCGACAAGGTCATACTCTGCGACTGCCCCGGTCTCGTGTTCCCCAACTTTGCCTTTACAAAAGCCGACCTCGTCTGCAACGGCGTGCTGCCCATTGACCAGATGAGAGAGTACACGGGCCCGGTCGGACTGGTCACCCAGCGAATCCCGCAGAGGTTTCTCGAAGCCGTCTACGGCATCCAGATCAAGACGCGGCCCGTTGAGGAGGGTGGCAATGGCGTTCCGACCGCGGAGGAAGTGCTGCGCGCGTACGCCAGGGCAAGGGGCTTTCAAACTCAAGGTCTAGGTCAGCCCGACGAAGCACGCGCATCCCGCTACATCCTGAAAGATTACGTCAGCGGCAAGCTGCTCTTCGTCCACCCACCGCCCGGAATCGAGGACGCCGAGGCCTTTAATCGAGAGCTCTACAGCGAGCTCAACCTCCCCGAAAAGCGACGGGCCGCGCTGGTCGCTGCGGCCGACGCCATGTCTCTGAGGGACGATGACAGCGTCGCAGCCGATTCTGACATGGTGGCTGTCCCCGCGGGCCCAAAGACAGAGAAGCTTGACGCCCGCTTCTTTGGTCCCGACAGGTCCCAGGGCCACATCAGTATGCCGTTTAACCACAAATATACCGAGCAAGGCCAGGCCTCTGGCAGGATGCTCACTGGAAGGAAGGCCCGGACTGTCGTTGCGTTGGAGAATGGAATAGACCCCAGGGACGTGCAAGTGTTGAACAGTAAAAAGCACTTCAAGGGTGGAGCAAAGAACGGGAAAAGCAAGAAGCATAGGTACATGAATACGGATGACTAGATGGCATCATTGGTGTCTTGATGTAAGCAAACAAAGTTTATCGACAAAAACATGGCTTGTGGCGGTAAAACCGGTTGCTTTTCAACTGACGCCATTCAAATTGTGCTCCCTTTTCCCACTCGCACCAAATATTGATATTCGCCAACGTCATGTATTCGTCGGCGCTTGTGTGTGCACAACATCACACGCATTGCCGCGCGCACTAGCACACACAGCTAGGATCGAACAGTCTCGGGCCCTTCTAAAAGTCGGCATCATCACACTCCTTTCTCCGTCGAATGGCAAGTATGGGCCTGCGTTTGAAAAACAGCGGCGGCACCGAATGCGAATGCGTCAAAAGCAGCACAACAAGCCACACCAGGCAGATTGTCGGCAACAGCCAGGGGCTGAAGAGGAATCCATCCGTTGCGTCCTCATCCACTCGGACGGCAGTAAGGAGCGCAAGGCCAAGCGCGAGCAAAAGGTAGACCGTGGCTCGGACGACTGGCCACGGCGTCCAGGGCGTCATGCGTGAGACTATCGTCAGGAGGGTCATGGAGGCGAGACACGCCCCGGACGCAACGTAGCCGTAGACAAACTATGCCCTCGTCAGCCATTCGCCGCTTAGAGGACGTGTTGGCTCTGGAAGAAAAGGGGGTCATACAAAGAGCCACACTTACCACGAGCCGCAACCGGTCCCAAGCGTCCATGTTTATCGTCGTCTCAAACCCACCGCCCAGTGTACCAAAAGTCACATCCCTGTACCTGCCCTCCTCGATAGACTCCTGCTTGAGATGGACGTCAAACGTGGCAAAGAGGCTGTTATGCATGGTGGCGAGGAGGGCCGAGAAGATGTCGAAAACGAGCTCGGTGGTGTTATCCGCGGGTAGATGCACGTCGGCAAAGGTGGTGAAATACCTAGCCATCTGCGGCCAGGAGGAGTCCGGGACGGCGGTGATATTGTCCAGTGCGGCGTTGACGGTCTCGATGAGGGACGGATGCTTGGGGTTGTAGTCGAGTCGCCGAAGAAGCGGGTGACTGCAGCAGAGATATTGCGGTGAACGGCGGCGCTGGTGCCGGCGGAGAATGCGGCGGTCATCCAGTCGGTGTGGATGTGGTTGAGGACGTTAACAATCTCGGACCAGACGACGAACTGGGTGAAGCCCTGCATGAAGAGGACCATGGCGAGGTGAGGAATGCTGTTAGTGCTTCGTTGAACCACAACCTTCTAGATGAACGAGGGAGAAGAAGAGGCAGAAGAAAGTACTCCACGCCTCGGGTGACTTGACAAGCGTCACCACCTTGTCGGCCAGGACGACGATGCCGTCGCCGAGGATGATGATGGTCAGCAGGCTCATCCGGCTCATTAGATGGGTCTTTGTGAAGCTCAGGACGGGGCGGTACAGCCCCAGGCCAAGCAAGGGATAAGAGCACCTCGGCCGCGCAGACGATGTACCAGGCGATGAAGACGCGGTTGTGGCCGTGTTGCAGGAGGAACGACACGCCAAGGTATATCGAGGTCGCGACGGAGTGCACGGCGATCTGGGCGTACAAGGCAGGTCGGACTCTTTTGAACTTTCGTACGTGCCATACTATGCTGATGTATTCGGCTGCCAGGCACAAGCGGGAGACCATCGAGATCAGGGCTTTCCCCCAGATTCGTCTTAGTCTTGATGGTGTTGTTCCTTTGCAAGAATCGGGGGCAACGATGACATACACATTGCTTGCAGAGAGCTGCCCCAGTCATAGTCCTCGGGCTTGAAATTCGGAGCAACAACGGTGAAGCCGACCACGACGCCGAGATGGACCGCTCGCGCTACTCGTTCTACAGCCGTGTCAGTACGCTTCGGCCATGAATCCACATGTCCAGTGGTCCAAACTCTCGACTCCCGAGATATCAAGTACTCGACATGTATGGTACTGCCAGTAGGTGCGTGTGGCGACCAAGGCTATGTGTGAGTACCGGACCGCCTGAGCAGGATCAAACCGCCTGCGAGAGAAAGGAGACGTCACAGACAGTTAAGGTGGTCTTGCTGTCACAGGGTTCTGAGAGGAGTCGTACATCAGCAGCCACACAGCGGTTCCTTTGTTCAACGGCTAGATGGACCGTTACTCACACACACAAAATGGCAGTTCCAAACAGACGACATGGTTACTCGGTTGAGGTTAGGGATTCAGGTGGACTCGACGCCGTTAGTACCCTCCAAGCCGTGGAGAAACGTGGCCTGTTCGATGTTGTGCCAACGTTAATGGCAACGTTCCAAGGTTTGATCAGTTGCAAAATGCAAGTCAGTACGACGACCAGTAAGGAGTAGGCTAGTAGCACGACGACGAGGGACAAATGGGGCGCCATGATTAGCATTATCACGCTCCAGACGTGCCGGGCACCACGCGTAGGCCATGATTCCACGAGCTCACGATAAGACTCTGGACCCCGGCTGTCAGGTCATGAAAATTATCCGTCATGACTGATTTGATGTTAATTTAATATGCCGCGTAAATGCGGGCGTCCAGGGCAACAAGTTATCACGCAGAAAAAAAAGGGGGGAGGGGAGAGTTTATGGAGGGCAAAAAAAAAAAGAAGAAAAAAAGAAAAAAAAAGAAAAAAACAACTGAAAAAACTGAAAAAAACTGCAAATACTGAAAATACTCACAGCTTTCTCCTCGGGGATCATTTCGCCACAAATGTACTTCGTGCTTGGGCACCTAGGTTGTTAGTTGACGTTCTTTATGAACGTGCCACGTATCCACCGAGCAACTCAAAATATGATGTGTGTATTTTGCCGGACAGGAGTACCCTATATACAGCCCAAAGCATGCAATATAGTACTCATCAATCCCATGTCAAATGGATGGCCTTCCGACATTCCTACTCAGATGTTCCACTCGAATCGCCGTCCTTCCCGCCCTTCTCGAAATCCTTGCCCGACTTGCGCTTGCGGATGCAGGTGCGTATGATCCACGAAGCACATGCAACTGTCGCGGCGATTACGGCACTGAACATGCCCCAACGGACGCGGGGGTCGCCTGATCCAGAAGATCCATCATTGTCTACTTTGAAGACGGTCTTTACCGCGGCGTGGTCTGAGGGCCATTCGTTGTAGTAGTGGTCTGGCTGCGCCTTGGGCTGGCCAACCACGACAGCTTCCGACGAAATGGTCTTGAGGCCCTTGTGATAGATGAAGTCGATGCGATCTTTGGGCTCGGTTCGACCTTCGTTGTCTAGGTAAATGGGCGACCAGGTGATGCCGGGTTTCGTCAAAGGGTCCCCGTGGACTTCTCTGAAGGAATCAACCATTCCTGCATCGACTGGATGCTTGGAGGTTGGCCAGGGGAAGTATCCGATTCCGCAGTGAAGCTCCCTGGTGGCATTTGTCCAGTCGAGATGTGATGGGGCGTTGAAATCACCGGCGAAGATGACAGGGACAGTGCCGGATTGCGAGAGATGGTTCTGCATGTGCTTCATGATATTAACAATCTGAGGCGTACGGCGAGACTTGGCCTCGTTCTTAAGAACCTCATCTGGGGATAGGTGGTCGAAGCAAAAGTCGTATGGACCATATGGCGTGTAGCCCAAATGACAATTCCAAAAGTTGATCTCGTGACCCCTGTCCAAGGCTATACGTACAGCACCGGCCGCCTCGACAGGACCATACTGCTTGACCATGGGATATCGAGAAATGATGCCGACATCATCTCCCTGCCAGTGGTCCCAGCCCATGGCATTTGCGAGACGAATTGCGTGTCCTCCGGTGCTTTCCTGGAGTCCGACAATGTCAGCTCCGGCGTTCGTAATGAAGCGAATCTGCTTCGCATGGTAGTCCTTGACTTGTGTGCCTCCAAACCACAGGTTGAATGACAAGACGGTGAGCTCCCTAACTAAAAGCTGGCCCTTTGGGATGACGGGGATGACGACCGTGATTTCAGCGGTGGACCCATCTGATCCCAGAGCCTCGACAATGAATTCAGTCGTTGTGTTTCCATATGCCTTGGGTGGCGTACCACTGAGAACTCCGTCGTTCGATATATCGACCCAGCCGTGGGTTCTTGCATCCGCAGCGCTGTACTTGCCCTTGGCGAACTTGCTGTTGGCATCACGTGGATTCTCCAGCATTCCACTGAGGGTAGCGTGGAAAGGCTCGCCTACGCGAGCATTGTGTGTAGTCAATTGGTCGACAATAAAGGCCAACGGACCATTTCCGGGCTTGGCAATTTCGATAGGGTTAGCGAGCCACTTGTACCCTCCCTTGGCAAGGAAGAAGGCTCTATACCGCAGACCTGGCTGCAAAGCAGAGGCATCGATCTTGACGGTCCCATTCCTATCAGGGGCATAAGCCCAAGTCAAGGACCCGCTGATGAATCTTTGCCACTTTGGTCCGCCGCCAAAAGAGTTGTAGATGCCAATCCAGTTCTGAGAATCAGGAAGGGGCGTCGAGTATTTGAATGTAAAGGAAGAGCCGGCATCACTGACTGAAATGGAGCCCCAAGGATTCGCCACCTTGAATACAACGGGCTTGGCCAACCACTTGTAGCCTTCATCAGCGAGAAAGTAGGCCTTGTACTGGCCTGGAGGAAGATTTTCAGTTGATAACTGTACTACTCCCTTGTCGCCCTGAGCATATCCCCATGAGAGAGAGTCCCCGGTGTAAGTCTCGTTTTCCGGACCAGTGCTGCCAGACGGATAGACGCCGATCCAGTTTCTCTTACTAGCATGCCTTGTGGCATAGCTGAAACACTGAGTAAAGGCCGTATCAGTGGGAGCTAAGTCGAGCGAGCCAGACGTATCCCGCTTGGGACGGGAGACGTGGTGAAGTTCGGTTTTCTCGTCCATAGTGGCAGCCTTTTCGATAATGCCCGACATGGCGATAGTCTAGGCAGCGTATCTGTCCAAAATGACGCTTTGAGGAGTGATGTTCGGTCTTAAGGTACCAGGTAAAGAGATGAAGAGACTTGTATTTCCGCAGGTATCACGAGCTCAGATTCCTAGACTACGTACTGTCAGATGGTGTATACTTAAAGTGTGAGGCTCTTTCCCGGTCATTTATGCTTCATCCGCCCTCTTGACCATGGGATAGATTCTCCCTATTTTCCCCTTCTATCACAGACCCCCGTCTGGTCACGTCTTTGGAAAACATCATTCAATTTTACTCACACAACTTGAATCAGCACTCAACTGACTGGGGCATTCCGAGCACAAGAGGTGCAAATTGACCAGCTGCTGATGGTGGACTGGATACGGACAGGTACAGCTGGACCCGAATTAACAGTCAATCATTCTGCAAGGGGAAGATGGCAGAGCAGAGATTGAGTCGACTATGCAACAGGTTGCTGTTAACAGGTCAAGGTGAGGCGGCGGGATGAAGGTTACAACCGGGTATTTTGCGGGGGGACAAGGGGTACAAGGCGGGGCGAAAGCACGCTGATTGGAAGACGAAGAGGGAGGAGCAACGGGAGCCCTTGGACACTAGCCCATCTGCGTCACTCCTGCCCCGCTGTTCCTCTTGTGCGGGTACCTAGGTGCCTAATCAGTAGTACAGTAAACCACCTCTATAACGATAACCTTCGTGAGCCTTTTTTCATCGTAATATAGCGACTATCGCTAAGATGCGACTATTGTGGGGTTGTACCTCCCCTTAGAAATTACTAGTAAAAGTTTATATTAAGGGATTATTAGCGAAATTTGCCCTATTATTAGGAAACCTAGCCCCACCTAACCCCACTATAAGAAAATTCAGCCTAAAAAGTAGGGCCTTATAACAATAAAATGCATAGTGACTAAGCAAAAAGTCAACGATATTGTTAGTAACGCAACTATTAACGATTTACTAGGGAAAAACCTTAGATGACCGTGAATTATCGTAAAAACCCGAATATCGCTAAGATACAGGATCGTTATAGACATAGTTTACTGTAGCGCGGAGGGGTATGTCCCCAGCTATTTAAAGGCGCTTTTTTTTTCTTTTTTTTTCTTTTTTTTTGGGGGGGGGGGGGT